CTCTATCCACTATTGGTTTCAAGTTGGTGCGTGTTGAAATATTTTCCATCTCTTGCCTCTTCTCAATCAGGCACATAGTGCATATCATGGAATTGGGGTTGTGAAATTGATGGGTCGTAGCAGTGGCTTTATAGCGATGCATGCGTCTCTAGCTAGCGGACAGATTGACATATGCCTGATTCCTGAGGTATGTAATTATAATAACAGAAATAATTGATGGGTTTTCTGTTTTCCTTGTCATTACTATAGTTCACCACAAGTTACTGGGTGTGGTTCTAGGTTCCGTTCAAGTTACATGGACCACATGGAGTCTTAAATCATCTCAAGTACCTCTTACAAAAAAAAGGATCAGCTGTACTGTGTGTAGCAGAGGGAGCTGGACAGGTGATTTTTAGTCTTACGTTGAGCTAAAGGAAACGGATACAGAAATGATTATTATTTTTAACTGATACTGAAATTTTATTTGTTGATTATTAAACTAGAGGTAGACACTTAAACTTTCTAAGATTTATTCTTGATGCAGGATTTACTTCAAAAGATTAATGCAACTGATGCATCGGGTAATGCTGTCCTTGGAGACATTGGTGTACACATTCAACAAGAGGTTTGTGATTGCATGACTTGAAACTCGGTGATAGAAGATATGCATTGTGGAAAATAGCTCTCTGCTCTAAGCATGATAATTTTTGCCAACATAAAAAAAACATCTTGCAAGCACATCTTGTTTTACAGCCTGGATTCTTTGAGTTATGCTAAATTGCTTAATTATACTTATTTTTCGTTTTCTACATCCTAAGTTGTATGCTTTGATCAAAATGCGCTGCAAACACGTGTGGTAGAACTCCTTAGCCACTAAGATTTCCATTGAAATTAGTAAAATTTGACTGTGTGTCTGTCTTTTAGATGCTATCGAGGATGGCGATTTCCCCTATTCACAAGGAACCTTGATAGGTGGCCCCAAAGCAGGGATTCGGGGATAGATTACCCCGCCAAGAATAGGGGGATGGGGAAGAGAACCATACTCTTCACCCTGTGCGGTCCCATTTATGTTAAAATTAATATATGCTTGATTTATTCCATTGAATATAAATATATATGTGGTATTTGTATATTTATGATGTATAATGATAAACTTACATATGCGTTTCTTTTTAAGGATGCATCTAAGTTGAGATTGTATTTCGAGTAACTGTAATTGTTTTTTGCTGCTTAGTGGGAATAGATAGATGTTATAGTTTACAATATATTTTCCGAAAAAAAGAACATTTTATACTTAGAGTTTCTATATTTCAGACCAAAAAATATTTCAAGGACATTGGTGTTCATGGTGATGTGAAATATATTGATCCAACGTACATGATCCGGGCATGTAGAGCAAACGCATCAGATGGAATTCTATGCACTGTACTTGGGCAAAATGCTGTAAGTCTCTCTCTCCTTTTGTGCTTATTGTCGTATGCTTGAATATAAAAGCATTATCATTGGCACAAACTTCACAGTTCATGCCTCTATCTCATGTTTCGATGGGGAATAATGGAACGGGAGGGAATGTTCCATTGAAATATTACAGGGTTTGGGAATTCGAGAACAGAGGATAGTGAAATATTGAATATTGTAACATCGAAACATGAACACATGGGCGTATTGCTGTATATCTGATATTTGATTGATGGTTTTTGCAGGTTCATGGTGCTTTTGCTGGATTCAGTGGCATAACAGTAGGCATTTGTAACACTCACTATGCTTACCTTCCCATACCAGAAGTAATATCTCATCCTAGGCTGGTGGATCCCAACAGTCGAATGTGGCATCGTTGCTTAACATCAACCGGCCAACCCGACTTCATTTGATGATCTATGATTTTTAGTTTATTCAAGAGCCTTGAAATTCAGGCTTCCAAAGACTATATGGTAGGAAGATAGGTTCAAAACACTTCTGGCCGACCTGTTCCAACATACCCCTCTGGAAATAATACCGAGGATGATATTTCCTCTTTGAAAACTGGAAAAATTTGTTTCCTGTATAGCATGGCAGTTTCTTAGTCCTGCAAATTGCATACCCAATAAAATTCTGAGAGGAAATGTCAAAGATTTTGTGATTGATTTTTCATTGATTTGTAACATTGGTTGTAACTTATTGAGGGCCAAAAGGCCAATTCAATAGAAGTACTCAGAGTAAAGCAGATGATCTGTTTGTATTCGTAATTCAGGCCTCTGATGTTGGATTGTCCGCTCCTATTTATATTTGAGATAAAAGCTGTCTTATGCAGATTTATTTGTAATACACTTTCGTTTTTGTGCTTTTAATTTATATTTGTTTCTTCTGTGAATTTTAATTAATTTATATTTGTCTCCGTGCGACCAAAAGGTTACAGGTTCGAGCTACGGAGCTAGTCTCTTGGAAATAATTTCCAAGGTAAGGCTGCGTACATCATATTCTATGGGATCCGGACCCTGAGTGAGCGCAGGGTAGCTTGTGCACCGGCCTGTCCTTTAAATGTATTTATGGTTCTTCCCTATCCATAGTTGCAGGTCGAAGAAATTTTGACAATGTGTAGTAACCTCATTCTGGGATAACATTTTTGAAAATCGCTCCATATCAATCATCTTCACGTTTCATGATTTGATTTACTCCAGAATAGACAGCATCCTTATAGTTCTTTTTGACAGGCTGGTGAGTGGTGACAATTGTAGCACACAATCTAAGATAGGTTCTTTAAACCTTAACATCCCAAAACATATATATCATCATAGAGTTTAAGCTTGAGAGAGAAGATACCAGCGCACGCAGACCACTTGGATGGAGGGTTGTGCTAGTTTAATGAGAGGCCTTGAGTTTCAAACTTGGGAATGTAGCAGTGAAGGTACAAGGGTCCCCATGAGGCTTGAATCTGAGTTAGCCTGGGCCATGCAGTTTTAGAGAAAGAGGCCGGCCTAGGATACCAGGTGTATTACGCAGGAAAAAAAGAAGAAAAGAAAGAGGAGGTGATGAAAACTGATGTTGTGGTGTGCGGTTTGGTTCAGAGTCCCAATACAGAAGCAGAATTAAGAATGAACAGTGAAATACTGCGAAAAAAGAGCATTGAGATGAGACTTGAAATCAAGAAGTTGCTCACACACTCACTGTAGTCTCATTCAAAGCTGCATAAAATGTTGCAACAACCTCACACTGAGTCTCGGAACTGACACAGACCCACTCATCTCTGGATTCAGTCCCCACTACTTACTGCTTCACAGAAAAACACATGCCTTGCTCATGCACCAATAAAACTAAAGATCAAAACACAATATTTCTTCAATTTCTCTTTCTGTTCTTGTTTTTCCATCTGAGTCAGATTATGTAGAATTTCTGTCTAGCAATATTTATTTTACCTTCAGCATTTTTTAGAGCTACTGTATCTAGGCAAGTCTAACTGGGGAGAAGAAGATCGCTTAAAAAGGATTCAGTGGTTAGATACAATTGAACATGCTCAGCTGTTTCGTACAATCAGGATACCTTTTTTAAAATTCGGGTCGATGGTTAGGATGGTTTGTATCAAACATGTGCACTTTTTTTTTCACATTTTTTTCCCAAGAACCCACTACGATTAAAATAAAATCACCGACTGTTGTGCTCGTGACTCGTGAGCGATAATGTCAAGTTCACCATACTATAATCATTAATGCTATTCCATCAATTTAAAATAAAATAGTTTATTTATCGTATTGAATGCCTGAATGGAGGTTCTAAATCAATTAAAATATATATATAAAGAATTTTAATTAAACATTTTAGAATTAAAATTTCGCATTTCAACTTTTGAAGTATCAACGAATTAAAAATATTAATGTATGAAGAAACTTTTATATTATTTAGGGGGAAAAAATAAAAGATGTGAATTTCTGGGGGTAATAAAATAAGATAGAATTTTTTTCCTTGGAAAGTATTAATTTAAAATGTAACAAATAACAATAACAACAAGTCTTATCCTACTAGGTAGGGTTGATTACATAAATCACACTATGTTATTGTACTCTGTCCAAATAATAATAAGAACAAAACAATATTGAATGGATCCCAAATAACATAATCCCTTTCTAGTTGTACCATGCTCTTCTTTTGTCGCTAGAAGCCAAATATTGACCGGTCAAATACCGCAAAACAGGTGGGCCTTCGATTAGCAGGCTCTCATGAGCCATAAATACCCCATATCTTTGTCTTTGCCTGTTTTTCATATTTAATTATATTATAAAAATAAAATTAATATAAAAAGGAGAAGAATAAGTAATATAAGAAAAAATTATATTACTTAATTATCTTAAACTACTTGAATTAATTAATTAAGTCTTGCATCAAGAAAAATAAAAAAATTATAAAAAGAAGAAGAGAATCATCTCGTCAAGCACACGACCCGATCTAATTTATAAAATTTTTTGCTGTTTAATTTGTTACTCTTCAAGTTTGTTGCACAAAATAATTTATTTTAAAGCCGAGCATGGCTTTTAAAGAGAGATTTTAAATATACGTGGAATAAATTATTTCCATTATCTTTTTTTCAAATAAAAAAATAGTTTACAAACTTATAATTTTTATAACCACATTTTATCTAAATATTAACAATGGAAGTGATTGACATAGGTACTCTTATTTTTATTCCTGGAGATTGAAAATCTCAGGGTTGCTAAATTGTGAACAGCTTCTCAAAGCACGTTGAAAATCTCACATAAAAAAAATCCAATTGTTGTATAAGAATTAAAGTAGTAAATCATTTAGCTTCTTATAGCCATGAGGAAAAAGATATGACTTTTCAATGAAGATTGATCAACAACAGTACTCACCATGCAATTAAACACCAATTCACCATATTCGGTGGCACCTTTTTGCTCAACAGAAATCTGTCTACTAATCTTTATTAGGGTTTTTATTTATTCATTTATTTTTATTAAAATGGCAGAGAGATGAATTTCCGGTTCTCTTGAAATTCAACATTCGCCAACACAAGGAAGCTGACAAGAAAAAAGAAAACAAAAGAATCTCCCTCCATATATTCTATCTCTTCTCAGTACAACAGAGAAAATGAATTTAAAAAAAAAATTATAACTTTTATCTCAAAATAGCATACCCATGCTAGACATTCTATGCCACAAGAACAAACAGGTTTTGATCAAAATTTCCTCTACCATCTGCATCTCTGGAGAATTTGCAGCTGTTTCTGAAATCCGATTATAAACAGCTTATCAACCTCTCTTGCCAATGCTAGAAGCATGAGATCTCTTAATTTTTTTCTTTTAAATCTGTTATTCATCCAAACTAATAGAACCTTCGTGAAGGAGAAAAAGTTCACATTTCATGACTTGGAAGTGTCTTCAGATTTGCCTGATTTGTTCCTCTTGGCATTTGGACTATCGTGTGAAGAATTTGGCCATGATCCATCTGTTAGTTCCTCACTTTTATAGCTCAAGCTTGCAGCATCCAACACCCCCATAGGACTTTGAGGTAAAAATGCCCCCGAGTTTCTCCCTAAATTAGCAGAGGAAACACTAACCAAAAACAAATCTCTGATCAGTTCAACACACTTCAGGACTCTCTCCTGCAAAATTAAAAACCCCATAACTCAAAAAATTCAACTTTTCAAACAATACACCGAGTATCTCATTCTGGACTCTCTCACTCTCCTGTTTGTTATGAGAGGGTCACCATTTTTACCTTTTGCACAATCAGAAAACAAGTTATAGCCTTATCAAGCTCAGTCGATTGCAGTTCTCTTGAAACAGAAATGGCTACGGCAGCGGCTATCTCAGAAGGCCTGAATTCCAAGAAATCAACACCTGCATTGATTTCCCAACATGCACAGTTCATATTCATTGCTTATAAAGAACAATGCACAGAAAGAGTAAAGGGTATACCTCTGGTTATACTCAGTATGAGCTGTATTGATCTAGAAATGGATGATTTGAATGTGTCTGTATGTTGGTGGTAAGGGATTTTAGCGAGGAAGTTGTCTATGAAGGAACAAGGAGTGAAAGCATGCATTTTCCATTGCAATGTGTTCAGTAACAATAGCTCCATTCTTTGAATGGTTCTAGCTTCAAATAAAAAGTTCGCTCCTTCAACCTGCAAATCACAAACATTGGTGATAAACTAAGAGGAAAATGTGTAACAAAAGGTATAATTAGGAATTTAGGTGATAATGTGGTTCTAAACCTGAAATTCTATCAATTGAGGCATTTTGGTTTCCTCCACTTTGGTTGCTATTGACAAACAAGCCACGGCTAACAATTGCCCAGTCCATTTGTGGCTTCTCTAAACAGGGTAGGAGAAGGGACCAGCAAAACCAAACAGACTATCAAAAAGAGATCATGCAAACATAAAGCTAGTAAAACACCAGAATGATCAAGTTTAATAGATGATCTTACAGGCAAATCATACATCGATAGGAACCGATCAAAGTAGTTGATGGATAAACACAAGCTCAATGGTCCAAAACCATAATAGTTGTGAACCTGTTGACCACGTTATATGAAACAAGGTTACTTACCGAAGTTCCCAATAAGAAATGAAGAAAAGAAACATTCATCACACAGTTTCAACAAGAAATGAGAGGAAGCACGTTAAGAAGGAAATAAAAAATTCATTGAAAAGAGAAACATATAAGAAGGAAATCAAAAATTCAATTTGAAACGTAGACGAGTTTCTGCAAAACCAGTTGAGGAATAGGCATAAGCAAAAACAGCTGCATTGACAGTTTAGAAGTTGACAGAAATTTCACTGTCGAACTCAATTGCAATTCAAATAAGAATGCCGGACATTATAACAAACTCGAGATCAAGAAAAGCAAAACAAGACTTTAAAAATTTAAATGTCAATAGGAGAATTTGAACACCGAAATGAATGGCCCATATCAGTGAGAAAAACAATCCAAAAGAAAGATTTCTTTCCTCTTTCTTTGAATGAAAGGTTCGATGGGGCAGGAAAATTCCCAAAACCCACAACCCCAATTGAAAAGATCAACCAACCAACCTTCCAAATCCAATCAAGAGCCTCTCTCCTAACACTCAAGTCCAAGTCCCCACTACGCAATCTCACGAGGTAATCATCCTTGGGCATATATACTCTCTCCCTCTCAGCCAATAATCTCAAAGTTTCTTCACTCTGCAAGGGAAAACCCAATACGGATTCGAACCCGCCCCAGTTCGAACCAGCGTTTTGGTGGTTCAAAGAACGGGAAATTTCAGAATCATCTGCAGCATTACATTCGAAATCAGCAACGCCGGTATCACTGTCCTCCGAACAAAGAAGGGTCGAGGTCGTCCTGTCAAAGCTATCTGCCATTGAAAGGCCCTCAAGACGCTATGAAGCGCAGAGGAACCTCATCAAGTTAGTATTGCGTTGGATAAAGAAATGATCTTTATAGAATATTTCTGGTGAAATGATGAACCAAGTAGCTATGATGGCTGTGGAATTGGAATGACGGTGTAGGAGGGTGGGACTAAAGGTAATAGTGAAAGAGACGAACTTTATAGTGAGGAGGCATACGGTAGTATTAGGGTGAAAGGAGGGAAGAAAACAGGGCATCCACAGTCGCAGACATAGAAGGGAAGAAAGGAGGGGGGGGGGGGGACTGCTTTTGGACTGAAACAAGAGAGAGAATAAAACGCCAGAAGAAATCTTGGTCTTCTGTTTTGCTCGAGTTATGAAGATATCTTTGCACAAGGATGAGCTGTATAATATTCATTATTTTTTGTTCAGGATACAATAATTATTTTTGCCAGCTATTTTTTTTATATATACTTGCTATATTTTGCATTTCTTCAAATTTTTAAGGTGAGGAAAAAAGGACGAAAAAAATGAATGCAACAATTCTTTGCATTATACCTTGTCTTATTTAAAAGAACACTTTAACATTTTAAAGGATCATAACTAAAATATTAATTCAATAGCTAACACATGTAAAAGAAGCAGGGGTAAAAAAGTAGAGCTAAAAGGTAAAAGATGACAAGCTGTAAATAAGATCCTGTAAAATGATGATTTTATGTGAAGTGGTGATTCGCTTTCGTGAGATTCAAAATAATAAATATTGGTCTCCAACTTTCCTTCTCTCCTCAATTCCAGTTAACATTCCATTGAATTTGAATTAAATTCTCTGAACAGTTGGCTCTAGAGAATGATGGCAGAAAAAATAAAACATAGTAAGAATGATTCACACATCCTATTAAAAAAAAAAAATTACACGCTATTAACTCATCAAAATCAATAAATACAGTTAAAGTTATTTTTTCCCACAGTTAAAATTTATAAATAAGAGGATACTGTTGGAATTCTTATAAAAAGGATAGAAGGGAGTACAATTTCTTCCGGCTGAATTCATATTATAAATATATATACACTTATATATATTTATATATATATATATATATATATATATATATAAAAGAGACATTTGAAACCAAAGAGTGTAGATACAACCTGTAGACTTGCTTTTGGATGCTATGTGTAAGCCCATTGAAGGAAATTTGTTAGTACATAAGCAGTTCATCACAGGATTAAAGATTTTGTAGTATGATTTTTATGAGCGGATCTGATCACACATATGCATAAGAAAAGCACATTCTTTTGTGTTTTTTGGAAGCCAAGGTGGTAGCAATTGGCAAATGGGATCCTTGTTTCATGAGTATCACACACAAATGCACTCTCGAAGTGGAAATCCAAAAGCATATGGAAGCAAGCAAGCATGCATGCATGGTGTAGCCACTTTTATAAGCTTTATCACCAAACACAAATTCATAACCCTTTAACTCACCCTTGAGATTCTACCTCTTTCTTCCCCTCCTTTTTTTTTCCTTCCTCTCTCCCCAGAAATTCCCCACCTCCAAAGTCCAAATCACGTGTTCCTGTCGTCATTTTCAAACAGTATCTACATTGCTTATACCTAACCTCAATAATCTTCTTGACTTGTATTGCTATTCTCAACTACTATTTCTAATCCTTAATATAATAGTGAGATGGCTAATTTGAAAAGATTAAAAAAATTAGTTAAACTAATTATTTATAACAAATATGTGTTGACTTTCTTAGATTACTTTTATTTAATTATATACATTGAAATTATACTTGGGTGAAAACACTTTACAATTAATAGGGATATTTTTTAAAAACACATTATAAATTTGAAAGACAGAGTAAATAAGAGTCTTATATTTAGAACAGTCAAATACCTCTTATATTTATGACCAAAGATAGTAATGTATTGCACCATTTACGCATACACCCTCTACTACTAAATGTACAGGAATGGTGTGATACAAAAAAAAAATCTCAATTCATGTCTCAAATTTTTATAATTACTTGATCTAGTTTTCGTTATAAGCATATAATAGTAACTTTATTTGAATTAATAAAGTTAGTTAAAATTAGCTATTTCTTGTCAAATATCAAAATTACCCTTAATAAAAGTCACTAGTTAGAGGAGTTTGATTAATTGGTTAAGTTTTATAATCAGTTAGGAATATTAAGTACACAAAATACTAAGTAGAAAAGATTAATACTTTAAACTAAAAAAATGTTATAGTTAGTCAAAAGAGAGGGAAAAACCGTGTTATGTTATAAAGTACGCCAGAGGTGCTTGTGAAGACCAGATGGATGGAGTATCATAAACGGTACAACCAAGGATGAGATGATAAAGCGGAAGGAGAATGGGGTTGCATTGCATTTGGGTTACCAACTAATCTGGGCCTTCACAAACACTCCATCATTCTGGGCCTTCTCAAGTAGTGTGTTCTTTATTTAATTTTCTGCGATGTGTATACCCCAAAACAAAAAAGAAGAAGAAGATATGCAATGCCCTCCTCAAGTTAGGGAGTGTTTGGGAACATATAAAAGTACTTTTAAGAAATACTTTTTCATAAAATAAAGAAATTTTTTCTTATATATACTTCATATATAATAAAAATACTTCTAAAATTATGATTTCGTTTTTATCTAAACACCTTTTTAGTTGCAATCCTTGTTCTTTTTTTTTTTTTTATATGTATTTTCCATTACATTTCAAAAGGACCTAATTGAGAAAAAACTAAAAAGACAGTACAACTCAGAGCTCATGTGTCAGGCCTAACAGTGCAGAGCTTTACCACTTCTCTTTAGCTTCTCTCATTGCCTGCTGAGTGGGAAGTTGTATGAAGGGCCATTCTGCATCACTCCTGACTTATTTTTGTTCATAGAATGTTCTGGGACATTTGTCGAGAAAACAGATGAACAATGCACTACTTATTAAAAATTTTGAAGGCACAGAAAGATCTTATTTAACGAGTTTACATATCAATCCTGCTCCTATGAGATTTGAGAATCAGACCACTGGAGCAATTCGATTTCAGGATTCAATTCTCATGCTACCAAAAATTGATGCTCATGGTTAGTATATGGACCGCAAAATAGTTAGTAGTAAATCAAGACTGATCCCACAAAAAGACTCAATTAATCAGTTGTTAGGCATTAGATTTCCACTTTTCTTTAAAGTGAGCAAACACAACTGAATTTAAAATGAGTAAAATGAACTTAAAATAGAACGAACAAAAGAAGATTTTATCAAAATATCGAATGCAAATGTGTGTGCGTATGGATATAAAGAGTCCACTTGAGAGTTTCAAAACGTGTTGCGTCTCGCAGCTCCTTAGGTTGGCTACTACTGGTTTTATAAGTTCCGTTTAGTATGAAATATTGAAAATAAGAGATAATGATCATAATTGAAAGTGAAAGATTTTATTAAAAGAGTATTTAACATGAGTAACTGTTTGATACTTGGAATTAGACAAATCTATATATATAAGATTGGAAAATACCATGAGGAGAGGTGGTATTCTCCAATCCTATATACATGAGATTGTTTAATCTCATAAAATAAGAAATCACTCATGATAAACATTTTTTTGGTACATAGTTTTAATCTCAATCCTAATCTTTACTCCTCATTTTTAAATGTTAATGCTTCGTATCAAACGAAACTAAAAGGCATTTGATTACTTCAAAAATACTTCTAAAAAAAAATGCTTGAGAGTCCCCCAGTATTACTTTAGAATTTTCAAATATTACAAAATTACATAAATGCTCTTCACTTTTTTTAAAAAAAATATGGCCACATCAACACCCTTAGCTAGTTCCAACCACCGGAGCTCTGGTGCTGGTGGCTTGCAGCTGGAGTCATTGGAACTGCAATGACCGGTCACCGAAATTTTGATGATTACTTTTTTTATATGAATTGACTATTTTTTTAGTTATTGACTATATTTATTTTTAGAATTCCAATGACTACTTTGCTTTAACTATTAACCATTCTAGTATTGTGATTGACTACTTTTATTTTTAAAAATTTAATAACTACTCTTATTTAACTATTGACTATTCTAGTTTTGCTTTTGATTACTATTGTTTCAGAAATTAAAAAAATGTATTAAGTGTTGTTGGAGATCTAGTGACTATTTTTTATTTAGTTATTTACTACTTTTGTATAATCAATAGTTATATAAAAGTAATCATTAGAACTTTAAAAACTAAAGTAGTCAATAATTAAATTAAAAGTAGTCAATAACTATGTGAAAGTAATCACTAGGAATAAGGACAATGTTGTCATTTTATAATATTTTAAAATTTCAAAATAGTACAAGGAGTTTGATTTAAGATTTTAAAATTCATTAACCCTAATTTATCTTTTAACATTTTTTAGGGTATTTTAGTGTCTTTTTTCCCCAAAAATAATAACAGTAAAATAAAATAAGAAAAAGGTAAAATTATGATTTTATTTCTCATGTACCCAGAACACAAGATCTCAACTCTCCAACTATCACTCAAAATGAGCTAAAAATGGAGAGTTATCAAGTCGCCATAGGATATCTGGCTCTTGTTGGAGGTTTTGTGAGAAGGAATGTAAGATGCGGAACCGATCTCCATATCTTCAAGTAGCGTGTCATTAAAGTCAGCACGGCCACGGGTTTCCATGAAAAAATCTGAGAAGGATCGGATATTTGTAAAGACGTAGCACAAGATTGCTGCAAGTGGGGCCAGTTTGAAGTTGATCTTCATCAGCAGCACCAAGAAACTCCCAAACAAGAAATTGAAGATACCCACTTCGAATCCAAGCTGAAGCTGTCTTGACAAGCTGAGCGACATCAACCCAAATGCCCCAAACGAACAGAGGTTTAGGATTCTGCCACGCGCGTTGTTCTCCTTTTGGCTAACTCGGTCTTGCCAGATGGAACAGAGGGAGGTGAGCATCAAAACCAGGAAAGCCACATGTGCTTTCACCAGAACTGGCCTTGAAAATCTCCTGCATTTCTCGATAAGTAGCATCAAGATGGTTAGGATCAAACTAGCGACACCGTAGACGACGCCTTTGAGCAGGTTCCACCTCCCAAACAAGTCATAGAAAGAGGGACTCAAGGCAAAACAGGTGAATGCAGTTATGCTCGACACAAAGCCCAGAATTCTCCAGAACATTGGATGAATGAGGATGAGTTTTGAGATTTTAATTATTATTTGCATTTTGAGATCCAGAGGATTAGGCGCAAGTTGACGAAGGATATTGGAAGGCAATTTAAGGAGGAGAAGAATGTTTACACGAGAAAAAGCCAAAAGGAAAGAGCCAGGATGAGGAGTTCATCACAGTTTCTTGGAAAGAGGCTTTCCGTGTGGGGTACTAGGTAGCTACGTTCATGAGTTTGAAAATCCCTTAATTTACATCCCCCCCCCCCCCCCCCCAAAAAAAAAAAAATTACAATTTGATTCATTTTTGTTTACCATACCTACCCCAAGTTAAAGCAAAAGGGTCTTACTTCACGCGCAGTTCACGGGCCCACACACGCTTTAATTATTTAAATTTTAGTTTAAAATATTCAAATTTGCTTTTGAAAGTTAATCGATAAATTGAATTCTGTATTGCTAGTAAAATAAAACTTAATTGATTAATTTAAAAATATTAAAAAATTAATTAAATTAGTTATTTATAGTAATAGATTTTTTTTAAAAAAACTCTTATTAATCATATATGTTTGAATTATTTGTTAATAATAACTCCTTAACATATATGTAACTATTGTAAGAATTACTTAAAGACAAAATAAATAAATATTAAAAATAAAATAAATTAAAATCTTATATTTAAAACTAAATTGAAAATAAAGTAACGGAAGTAATATTTTGAAGTCGTTCTATACATAATTGCATCATCAATATGAACACCCAACCCAATACATCTACGTCAAAACAAGAAGTCAGTTGCATCTTAAGGACAAATCTTCAATAACCAAATATATATTTTTTCTAAATATAAATAAAAAAAGATAAAGAAAAATGTATAGAAAAATGTAATGTGAGAGAGTGTGAAAAATAAGAAAGAATAAATAATGAAAAGTAAAATTAAAAAATGCATTAAATTTCAAAATAAACTTAAATTAAAACTTATAAAATAGAACATACTCTTAAAGTTTATAAATAGGACACTACTGAAGTTTATAAATAGGACTAGGGAGCAGCAAATAATTAGAAAGATAACATGTTAATAATAGAAGTTGCATGTATAAATTTGAAAGTATTAAGAAGTTCATTATCAAATGAAAAAAAAACTCACGTGATATTTATATTTAAAAATCACCAAACTTGAGGGTGATTTGACCTGAAAAACAAAGAAAAGATTATTATTTGTCAAATTTTCAATGACAAATAATAATATAGCTAAAGTTACAGAACAATGATGGGAAAAAAAAAACTGTAACTAATTTTTCTTTTCTATATTTTTCCTGATACAGCCTTATCCTGGACGTTGGTGCAGGATGAAATAAATACAAATAAACAAACTGCAATGTCCATGTTGGGCATCAATCCTTTAAAGACATAAGGCCTGTTTGAAACACTTTATAAGTAGCTTTTCAATAGTGATTTATAAAATACGAGACAAATATATAAGAAGAATTTTGTCTCGACTTACGTGAAACGTGTTTACAAAGAAATTCTACCGCTATCTCAAATAGGCATATAGTTTCCAGTGTAAGTCTCAAGCAATCTGTTTGAATCCAAACTTCTGAAACACTAGTCTTATCCTTTGATATGGAATATGCGATGCCCTCCTTGAGTTGCTCTCATCTTGCAATCCTTGTTATTTTTATTAATACTTTTCTTTACAGAAGACCCAGTTGAGAGCATAGGGTCCATGTAAGAAAAAAGTTGGTAACATACAGAGTTCATGTATCAAGAAGCCTAAAAGTACCGAGCTTTTCTCCGATACTTCTCCTTAGAGTCTTTCTCCTTCTTCTTCTCTGTTTTTTCTTTTCCAAATCTGAACTATTATGCTGTTGTTGAACTGCTTCCACAGACACATTTGAAGTTTAGAGTCTTGCTATGGGTGATACAGAATTCGAATTATGACTTCATTATCTCAGAAAGAAGCATCAAACCTGGAATTGCCTGCATTTAAAAGAGAGGGAAAAAAAAACTAATGAATCGGTCACCTATAGTTATAGACAAATACAAGATTTGGAAATAAGTATTTACTTAAAGAAGGAAGCTTTCCAGATTTGAAAGAACAGCAGCACAAGCTGCGGATTGCTCGGCGTCCTTTTTGTATTTGGCTGGATCACCTGCATGGCGCTTACCATTGAAAATGAAAGACGATAAATACCCGGCATCCCCTTCCTGTTGAACCGTGTCGTATGGAGGAATTACAAGGTTCATCTTCTTTGCATAGTGATTTAAGATAGACTTGAAAGAAGTTGGTCTCTGGAATATGATCACAAGGAGAAGTAGTAACCTTAGGTTTCATGATATTAAATGCAAAACCAGAGACTATTACTAACCAATAATCTGAAATTAATGCAAAGGACTGAATTCAATAATGCTGCCAAACTAAATTAGCAGAAACAACCTTAAGAATGCATAGCACAGCTTAGTTTCTACGCAATGTGGTGTGGACTACGATGTCATGGCAATATATAAATGATAAAATCATGAAACGACAATCCCATGCTAACAAACCTCGAGAATCAGAGAAAGGCCTTCATCTTTGACCCCTTCTGTTATGTGCTTTAAAGCAAGTCTTGCTACATCTTGCTCAGCAGCCTTTAGTTTGGGAAAAAGATTTTCCGAAATATAGCTCTTTCCATCAATCGACACTGCTGACCTAAATTGTGGGCGATGGGCCAGTCCAACATTCACAGATTGATAAGTGGGAAGTGGAATGTGGCGTCTTTCAGCATGCTCTTTTAACCGATTTTTGTGCATACAATGTTCTGAAACACCTGTTTAAAATAATAAACAATTCAGTAGTTATAGAATATTTGAAGGCACAAAAAGTCAAAAAGATCTTATCTAACTAGTTTCAGACCACTCCTGTTCTTTGGGCAATTCAATCATAGTACGTACTATTTAACTATTACTATCAAATAGATAAGAGGCGCAAAAAAAAAAAAAAAAATGACAGAGTCACTTGTCAAGGAACCATAGGAAGGAAAAAGAAAAGCTGTGAGGATTGAATTCAATCTTACTCGTTCTTTGCAACTCAATGCCATGGTTACCACTCTCTATATCTTCAGGTACCGGGTCACTAGTGTGGACTCGCCCACGCATTTCCTTGAAAAGATCTGAGAAGGACCGGATATGTATAAACACGTAACAACAAAATGCTGCAAGTGGGATAAATTTGAAGTTCTTCTTCATCAGCAGCACCAAGAAACTCCCAAATAAGAAGTTGGAGATACCCACTTCGAAACCAAGCTGAAGCTGTCTTGAGAAGCTCAGTGTCATGAACGCAAATGCCCCAAAGGAACACATGTTTAGGATTCTCCCACGCGATCCCGTTTCCTCGTTCTCCTTTTGGCCAACTTGGTCTTGCCAAATGGAACAGAGAGACGTGAGCATCAAAACCAGAAAACCCACCTGTGCTTTGACCAGAACTGATCTTGTAAATCTCTCGCATTTCTTGATAAATAGCATCATGGTGGTTAGGCCCAAACTAATGACGCTATAGATGGCGCTTTTGAACAGATTCCACCTGCCAAACGAGTCATAGAAAGAGGGGCTCTGGGCAAAGCATGTAAATGCAACTATGCTTGACACAAAGCCCAGAATTCTCCAGAACATCGGATGAATGAGGATGCGTTTTGAGATTTTAATAAGCATTGCAGTTTTGAAATCGAGAGCATTAGGTACAAGTTCGTGAAGAATATTGGAAGGCAAATTAGGAGAAGACTGTTAACACAAGAAAAAGGGAAAGCGCGAGGATGGAGAGTTAACAGTTTCGTGGAAAAAAATTAAGGGAAAATTTCACGTAAGGTCCACAATCTGAACTTAATAAACAAAAAGTCTCAAAAGATCCTGAAATTTCAAATCAGTCTTTTTATCCCATAATGAAATTAATATGATATGCCTTTTTACAGAAATGCCTTTGGTTGAAAGAAAGAATAAAGGAGACAAAAGAAGAAGCATGAGTGCTTGAAATGCAACTCAACATACTCTCTGCCATTTCTCCAACTTGATGCGATGGTGAATAATGTGGTGGCTTATGATTCTCATTCTGCAATCATTTAAGGTAGTATGAATTAGAGTGTTGTATGAAGTCTGAAATAGCACCAATGTGGGAACTCCAGTGGCGACTTGGTTGAGCCTTGCCACCAATAGGAAATTGTGCTGTGCTTGAGGAAAATTCTGAACTTGGGTTTTAAAAGCTCTTTCTTCTCCATCTAAACTGCTGAAGAGTTGTAGCTTGTGATGGGTAGACAGTGTGGGGATATGGGTGTGGAAGCCTGGAAGGCATGAGTTACATTACAATGGGTATATTAGCCAGTTTCTATAGTCTGAACAAATCGGTAAAGATGGCGGATATTGATGGCATTAAACTTACTTGCTCAGAATTCAAGTTGTGAAAATACTAATTTTATGTTGTGAATATGCTAATTGTAGTTGTAAATTGATAGTTTATTTAAGCTTTGCTAAGTAATTGAAATTCACATAATAATGAAGTGCTGAGACAAATGGCATATGGGTAGCACTAGCTGTTGAAAAAGTTATCTGGTTTGCAGTTTGATGATATTAAAACGATTTATCCATAATATGTTGTGGAAATGCTAATCTGGTGTTGTAAATTTACAAATTGTTTCAATTTTGCTAAGCAATTGACATTTATATAATTATGAATCGCAAATACGCATGGTATCTGACTAACAGTTATGAAAAGCAACAACTTTGCATTTTTCGTGTAGGAAAAATATGCAAATACTTTATATAGGAAAATGATATACGAAGACAAGATTATAATTGAAAGATTGATAATAAAAGAAATGACATATAAAGAATTAAGAAGTCTTGTGGCAACAAATATGTGATATGAAAGTGGCGGATTTGATATGAAGCACACACTCAGTTATGTTAGAGAGGCACTATTATATATTGAAGATGATACTGGAGTAGCACAACTAATAATTGAGTACAACAACCCCGAGGGCTTAAGTCAGCTGGCTGGGGCTGTCCTAACTTAACAACGGGTCTTGAGTTCGAGCCGTGGGAACGTAGCACCTTGAGGGGCCAGAGGGCGCCGACCGAAATGTTTCTTGCAAGTCTTCGATCCGGATTAGTCTGGGACAGATGTCACGGCTGAAAGACGCCTATTGTCCTGGGATACCGGATGGAGAAATCCAAAAAAATAATTGAGTACAACAATAGCAATCATTATGTATATGTTGGTGAGACAAGGAAAAAACTTCAAACAAGCATCATGATTGGATTGTGCATGGTACATGGATGTCCATGGACAATTTCAGCATCTATAGTGGATAAGAAAAATCCATTCCTACTTGTAAATTAAGTTGTAAATTTTCCTATGTAAAATTGTACATTATGCTGCTATTTTTGTTGTAAATTTTTATGCGCAAAATTGTTATTTTTCTAATTCTTTGTTGTTAAAATTTCTATTCTCATTTGTACCTGACTTGAATATTTGTAAATTGAATTACAAATTGTTATATGTAAAGTTGTTATGTTTTTAGTTCTTTATTGTTAAAATTTGTATCCCTACTTGTAATTTTCCTAAACACTTGTAAATTGAGTTGTAAATTTTTATATCTAGAGTTGTTATTTTTTTTTATTGTAAATTTGTATATGTTGAATTATTATTTTTTAATTATTTATTGTAAATTTTTATATGTAAAGTTGTTATTTTTCTATTCTTTATTGTTAAAATTTGTATCCTCAACTTATTTAAGTACTTATAAATTGAGTTATAAATTTTTATACGTAGAATTATTATTTTTCTCTTCCTTAATTCTAAAATTTGTATCCCCAGTTGTAACTTATCTAAGCACTTGTAAATTGATTTATAAATTTTTATATTTTGAGTTGTTATTTTGTTATTATTTGAACTAAGAATATGCAGACATGAAGAAACACGATGATTATGCCCTATAGGATCCCCTTTCTTCTTTGCAAATATTAAGGGCAACTTTAATTTAATTTCATTTAAACTTTAAAGACTCCATTGATATTTTAGAATGTTTTGGGCCTTACTTTCAATAAAGTCCCTTCCATGGGACTTAAGTGAAATTTCCCAAAAATTAAAGGTTTCTCCGCGTGGGGTCCTAATTCTTTCTTTATTATTCTTCTAGCATCTTTCTCCTTTATCCGCCTCTTAACCACGTTGAAATATGGTTCTTTCTTAACTCATTAGCTATATGTCACTTTGTTGGAGCCGCGTTCTTTGATCCTAACATCCTCAGCGTTGAAAAGAACTTTTCTTACCAGTTTTCGACAAATTAATGCATGCGGGGAAATACGGAGAGAAGCCAGAGACTATTTAATATTTCTGCTAATTGGACATTCAAAGTTCAAACTATATGTGTGTGTCTGACTCGAGGAGTTTACTTTCAATTAACATGTACAGAGATAATATAATATACATATATACTCCCTCCGGTCTTAAATATAAGACCTATTCTGTAGTGTAATTTACACTTCAAAATAGGTCTTAAATATTACACTACATAATAGGTTTTATATTTAAGATCAGAGGAGTATATGATTATTCTTTGGAACTCTAATGACAGTAATATGTAATGAAATGGGTTGGTAACACCACTACCTTTTGGTTTTGACAATAAAATTTTTAATGCTCAAATCTTATGAAAAATATCGGAAGGCAAATTACGAGAAGGAGACTGTTAACAAAAGAAAAAGGGCAAGCGCGAGGATGATAAAGGTGACAATTTCGTGGGAAAAAATTAAAGGTTTTCTCCATGTGGGGTAGTAATTCTCTCTTTATTATTCTTTTAGCATCTTTCTTCTTTATCTGCCTTTTTACTACGTTGAAATATGGTTCTTAACTAATTAATAACTATATGTTACTACCTCCGGTCCTAATTATAAGAGCCAGTTGACTAATTTGAGGAGATTAAGAAAGTAATTTGAGTTAGTTATTTGTCTTAAATAGATGTTGTCTTTTCTAAAATATCTTTGCCAATCAAGTGTATTAACTAGGACTATAATTATTAGAAGGACTATCTTAGAAAAAATTGAGTAAATATGAGAGACAAAATAGATTGGGGTCTTATATTTAGGATCAAAATAAAAGTCAAACAAGATCTTATATTAAGGATCGGAGATAGTACTTTGTTAGAGCCGTGTTCTTTAATCCTTACATCCTCAGCCAAATAACGCACTTTTCTTACCAGTTTTCGACAAATTAATGCATGTAGGGAAATATGGAGAGAAGCAAGAGATCTGCTTAATATTTTTGCAAATTGGACCTTCAAAGTTCAAAATCAAACCAGATGTGTGTGTCTGACTCGAGGAGTTTACTTTCGATTCACATGTAGAGAAGTGATATAATATGTGTGTGTGTGTATGATTATTGTTTGGAGCCCTAATGGCAGTAATATGTAATAACGTGTTGGTAACATCACTATCTTTTGGTTTTGCCAACAAAATTTTTAATGCTCAAACCTTATGAAATGGGACTTGCAAAAGATATTTAATTCGTCAGCAAAGTTATCGATGCGTCAATCCTCTACAGAATATCTAAAACATTGACAAAATCACTGGCTTCATCTGAAACATCATAGGGGAGAGAGGGGCTCTCTTTCTCTCTCTCCCATCGTCTTCCAGCGCTGTAATGCCACCGAAGCAAATAAGTCATGAGAGCTATCATGAAAAGCCACGTGTCCCTTCACACTTCACTTCATAAGAACCCAACGCCCGCGATCTGCATCCTACACACGGTCAGAGACCGGAGGACAGAGTTGGCTTGTTTCTCCGGGAAATGGGTTCTGTGGTAAAAGCGATAGACGCCATTATCTTCTTCTTCTTGCTCTGGCATTTCCTCTTCTAGATGCTCCAAGCTGATGATGACTTTATAGTTGGCATTATGTAAGAAACAAGCCCCCTTTTTTTTGGGTAATAAGAGGATGATGGCTTTCAGTCTGAAAACATGCAGTCTAGAGAGGAAGAGACCGACGAAGAAGCCATGTGAGCAAAATACTTGAATCGAAACATGGTAATAGGAAGAAAGAATCGGCTCTCGCTCGTTCCACATCGGACCTTGCTTCCTGCAGCATCTTCGCCTAGAGACCATCATCCTCTTCTTCCTCATGGAGAAATTAAATTCCTCCATAAATGAACAACCGGGAAAAATGGCTCGACAGAATTTTGCATAGTGGAAAGAGTGATCGATGCTATGTCGCATATTTGAACTCCGAGAACCAGAAAGAGTCAGTTTCGTGGGTATTGAAGAAAGTGGAGGGACTATTGAATCAGGACCTGGAAGCGACGTGTTAAAGAGAAAGAGCAGGTTGTTCTCATGGTATGTGTGCGTGAGAGCAGGGTGTGCTGCGCAAGGGAGGTACAGTACAGATTCAGTGTTTTTTTGATTTGACTTCAACACTGAAATTAGGAGTGCTCAGAATAAAAGTCATGCTTGCTTACTCTGTTTCTTTGAATCGGGAGCGGCTTCTCTCCACTGCCTTCCCGTTCGCTGCCTGTCCGCTGCCTTCAACGCAGTGCCGTTTACCTGGGTGAAAGAGGAGCAATGAGATGTGATGGTCTGACACTCGCATACATGGAAGAGGCGGAAAAGCTACCAAATATATTACCCACCTGTTGGATCTCAACAATATAATAAATAATTAAATATATTTATTTAAAAACTAAGTCTCAATTGAAAAGTTATCGTTATAATTTCACTCAATTTTTAATTAGGCTTTTCCATCTTTTATAAGATTTTTATAGTGTTTCTCAATGTAGCCATTAGTTTATATGGTCATAATAAGCTAAATAAGAAATTAAGAGATATATAAGTTTGCATATTATCCTCTCTCCCTTCTTTTTATAAGATCTTAAAATTTAAATTGGTTTAGTCCTTTTTACAAGATACTGTTTACTGTTCTTAAATGTTAAGTATGTTTTTGTCAATTTTTTCTGTGAAAAAATAGATTAAAAAAAGGACAATTTATTATGTTAAGTTATTCAATCATATATAGTCATATATTCTATTTTAAAAATTTAATGTTTAATAATATTTAATTTAAAATTTATATTTAAAAAAATAAAGTACATGATCATATGAGTAAATGAGTTAATGACTATACTAGGAAAAACTATAAAAATATAATAGAAGATAGAAAACCTCATTAAAAATTGGTTGAAATTATAACAAATGGTGAAATTAATTATTTCTAAGATCTAATTATTTTTAATTGTAAAATATAATTGATTTATTATTATAAAATGGATTAGAATAATTTACAAATAATAAATAGATTGTAATGAAAATCTAAATTTGTTGTTAAATTAATTATTTCTAAGATTTAGTTATTTTTAATTGTAAAATGTAATTAATTTATTATTATGAAATGAGATTAGAATAATTTACGAATATTAACTAGATTGCAATAAAAACTAAACTTGTTGTTGATAACAACAATAATATATTTCAGACAAAAAAACACAACAATAATATATTTAATTATTTATTATATTGTTGAGGCTCATCGAATGCGTAATATATTTGATAGCTTTGGCTGGTCAAAATATATATATATATATATATATATATATATTTGATAGCTTTGGGGCTCTCCGCTTCTCCCATTTATGCGAGTGTCAGACCATCACATCTCATCACCCCTATTTCACCCAGCTAAACGGCGCTGCGTTGAAGGCAGCGGACAGGCAGCGAACGGGAAGGCAGTGGAGAGAAGCCGCTCCCCTTTGAATCTCAGTGCCAAAGACGCCGGCAAGCTTGTGGGCTTGCAACTTTTTCTCCCCTTCGTCGGTCCTCCAGCCCGCCCTTCTTTTATTTACATTTTACAAAAAGAATGCAGGTGGACGAATGACAGGAATAATAAAATAAAATAAAATAAAAAAGATAAAAAATTGAGACATAAGTGAATCAATGATTTAGGGATCAAATCACAACAAGTCATGATTAAGACGCTAAGGTATAAGTAAGTTAAAGAGCTAAGAAAATAAAAAAAATAAATATTTTCTACCTATTTGTCAGACTAAGAATCAATATCACTTATTATATTTATAATCAAAATGGGCTGTACAAGCATGAAATAATTTGAAATGTGAAATTGTATTTATCAACAAGTCAAGGAGCACTGATTATAAGTGAGGGTACCAAATATAACTACCCACTCCCCACTCCATACCAACTTGACAACTCATATTATTTAAATTTTAAAATATACTTTTAATTATTTAACTCTATACAAAGTTTTATATTAGTCTATTAACTTTAAAAAAATATGTTTTTAGTCATTTAATCATAAAACCGTTAAGAAAAATAATAATATTTATATCTTAAATATTGATAAAATATTATCAAATACTAGCATATTGAGTTTAATTTTCAAAACAATCATAATTATTACAAATAAATCATATTTTAAAATTGGTGATTTAAAGGTTAAAAAACTAAAATTATACTTTTAAAAGTTAAAAAACTAAGTGAAAATCTTATCTAAAGTTAACGGACTAAATAAATACTTTATCTTATTTTAAAATAATTAACTTCATATTCAAAACATAATCACTTTAAATTATCATATATAGCCTAAAGTAGCAGAAAATATATTGCATTAAAAAGTCATTTTACGTGAGAAAATATAACTTTATATCAGACTTAGGATTACAAAAATGATAAGTTAAAGTGGAAGTATTAACAATTGTTTTGCCGTATATTAACAACTTATGTCAACTTGCACAAGACATTTGTTATTAATAATTAAATTAACTATATTAACACTTGCCGTGACTATTAACAAGGACAATAAGGTATTTTTATATTTTCACTAAATTAAATCTCTTACACTCAGGTTCCGTTGAGATTTCTAATTACTATAATTTGCAACTCTTGCTGTATTTTTTTGTTGAGATCTTAATGTAATTTCCCTCTTTTCCAGTGAAAATTTGAGGTTTCCATTGTATCAGAAATGCCATGTTCGATACAGGTGAGACATGTCAGCAAATAGCCATATCATTTACCCTGTTTGTATGAAGTCTCGAGTTCAAGTGAAATATATGATGAGAGCAGCTAGTCACGTGCTCCCCTGTGAGTCAACTCGATTCGCCTACTTTTCTTATTTTTATTTTTTCCTCAAAATCATTGGAAAAGCACAACAACTTAATTCACTCATTTCTCTTATTTTTATTTTTTCCCCCTCAAAATCATTGGAAAAGGCCAACAACTCAATTCACCTACTCCTCTTATTTTTCTTTTCCCCTCAGAATCATTGGAAAAGACCAACGGAAATGGTTGAACATTAGGTGAGCACTCCTTTACGTAATTTCAAGCTATGGGCCACAGCACATTCTGCTTGTCATCGTGAAATCATATCCTAAGCATTAATTGTTACAATTATCAACTCTAAATATAAAAACTAATTAACTAATTTGAGTGGATTAAAAAAATTGATTAAGTTGGTTAATTATTATAAATAGATGTTGTCTTTATTAAAATATTCTTATTAATAAAGTATATTGGTTTGAACTACTATTACTATAAGAATTGTTTTGGAAAAAAAATAGATAAATATAAGAGACTAAGGGTATGTTTGGATTAGCAGTGGAGAAGTAACTTTTTTTTCAATCTGACTTTTACAGAAGTCAGATTGGATAAAAGTCAGATAGGGTAATGTGATTTATGTTTGGATTGGATTTTGAAAAAAAGTCAGTTTGAGAAGCTGAAACTTGTTTGGATGATAAATATAAAAGTAAGTTTGGATATAAAATGACTTAAAAGGACATGAATTTTATTAAATAGTATATATCTAATATTAGATATATATATATATATAATGTGACTATTTTTTAAGAAGGAAAATAAAATTATTAAAATTAAATAAATTTAATTTATTATTAGAAAAAAAACTATATGTATAATGTGGCCATTTTAAAAAAAGTACTGAAAATAAAATTATTAAAAATAAGAAAATTTAATTTATTGTTATAAAGGAATTATATATATAATGTGACAATTTTCCAACGGAGGAGTGTGTGTGTTGTGAACTTGTGATTTTGTTTTATTATTGAGGTGAGAGAATATTCATGCAGGGGTGAGGGTCAGGCGGGTAAAAAATTTTTAACACAACCATAAATTTTCTAATGGTTTCTTTCACCGCCCACAACACCCCAAAACGCACCGAAAGTTTACTTCTCCCAAAAGCCCACAACAAAAAGATATCTTTTTTTACAAAAAAAAATACTCCTCCGGTCTTTATTATAAGACCCTATTTGACTTTTTATTTGGTCCTAATTATAAGACCCCAATCTATTTTGTCTCTTATATTTATGCATTTTTTTTCAAGATAATCCTTCTAATAATGATAGTTTTAGCCAATATACTTAATTAGCAAGGATATTTTAGGAATGACAACACTTATTTATTATAAATAACCAACTTAACTTACTTTTTTAATTTCCTCAAATAAGTCAATTGGGTCTTATAATTAGGACCGGAGGAGTATTAAGTAAATAAATGAAAAAATAGCATGGTTCTTCTTTTTTTTTTCCAATTTTACGTTAGTATTTACTTTTGTGATAATTTATGTTCAGTATTTACTAAAAAAATATTATCCTTAATTTATTGTTCCACTTTTACAACATGTGAATGTCAAAAAAAAAAACTATTCATGTCCAGTATCATCATCTCTTCTCCTTCTTTTTTTTTTCTTTCCTGCACACCCCACCGTCCCTCACCCCCAACCGCTCATCACTCCAAAAGCCAAAAAAAGTAGCTTCTGCCCAATAGCTCATTAGACCCCATAAGCCCATCACAAAAAGAAGTCAATCCAAACAACTTCAAAATCCCAAAAGTAACTTTTACCGGTGGAGACGTACGTTTAGGCCATGAAACGCGATGTCAAACACAGCCTAAGTAAATTGAGGTCTTATATTTAGAATCAAAATAAAAATTAAATAAGTACTTATATTAAGGACAGGAAGTAGTATTTTTTATTTCAAAAATCATGTTTTCCCCATAATTCTCAAACATTATTAGATTAGAGCGGGATTCTCATTTCTCCTAAAGAGTTCGACTGATTAAGCATAGCCATAAACTAATAATGCGGCCACTGGAATAAACAGGAAGAGAGCAAATAAAACTACCATTTTTACGTTTTCACTCAAAAATTAGATGAGAAATATCCGCAAGTCGGACTTTAGAATTAGGTGTGAAATTCACTGTCAAGCAATAGGTAAAAAACATGAGTAAAGTACATGTTACTAACTTTGGTACTTGATACAAAAGTTAATTCACTAATTTGGACAAATTAAAAAAATAATAAAACTAGTTATATATAACAAATCATTAATTTAGATAGGTATGTAAGAGAAATTTTATCTTGATTTTTATAAAATATTTATAATAAGTATTCTAAACAATCACTTAGGGTCCAGTTTGGGTCGTGGAATAGAGAGTCTGAAGGTAACATGTGTTGGTAACACCACTGTTTGATTATACTTAATATTTCTGCAAATCCCATGTCTTGATCAGACATAGCATGGTTTGAAGGCAAAAAAATTAATGTTTAAATCTTATCAACTAAAATGGTTCTTGCAAAAGACACTTGACTCATGAACAAAGGGGTTCGTTCTTGAAGATAAATATTCCTTCAGTCTTTAATACAAGATTTAATTAGAAAGTTGATGTTGGTCCCATATAAAATATCTATTTCACATGTTTATCAATTTTTTTCACAATCAACCATATTGATATTATTCCTTTAACAATAATCAAATAGGAGAAAGGGAAAAGGACTTAAGAAAGATGTTTAGGATTTTTTTAAAAAAACATATCATATTAACTAAATCAACTAATATACTTAATCTACTCAAATTAGTTAATTAAATTTTATATCAAGTGCAGGAGGAGTAATTGTTTTCCTAAATAACTGTGCCTACGTGTATAAGGATGATAAACAAGTTTCCTTCCCTCAAAATAACATGCAAACAGAACTTCGTTCAAAATCAAAATCCATTGAATAAAGTTTAGCAACAAAATCTATTACATCGAAAATAATTGTCTTTAATCACAAAATACTTGTGTTTAGTAGTAAAAAAAATTAATTGCTTCATCTGAATATTTTCATTGATTCATAAGATTAGGGGAAAGAAAATCAAGTATTTATATTTATTTTTAATTTTGATTTAATAATTGTTCATGAGCATCGGATTACACGAGATCCCGTTGTGCACCCATAATCTGTCATGAGTTACCCTGTAGCTGGCAATGAAACAATGAAGCTTGACCCACGCAAGGCACATACTGATGAGTAGATTACTTTGTCAATTGGCCAATAAACCATAGACTGCATGCTGATTTTGGCACATGGCGGACAGATTCAAGAGTGGCAAGTTTATTTTGTTATAAAAAAGGGAAAATTTCATTTTAAAAAAGTGAAAATTATTAAATTTTAAATCAGGATTATTTTATATATTTTAATTGACTCTGATTACACTTGATTCTCTCTTTCTGATTCCTACCACCCAAACGGTGGACCACTACTGAAGCAACAATAATGAGTCATTACAAACACCTATCCCCGTACCTGTCCCGCTCCCTGCGCATCTTTTCCTTATAAGAACCCCATTTTCTGAATCTTGAGAGCGGAGAATAGAGTTGGCTTGTTCAGTTCTCTGGAAAATGGGTTCTCTAGTAAAACTTATAGACCCCATTCTCATGTTCTTCTGGGTGATATTGCTTATTGTGGTTCCTTTTCTGGATACTCAAATCTTCATACCTGTCAAGTACTACCCCCGTTTCCTCATCCAACTCAACGAGTGGCTCGTCCGTGAAAGTGGCCACTATCTCATGATAGAGAAGCCCTATTTCTTCATGGGAATCGTCTTCCATGACTTCGCCTACCAAACGCCACTCGTTATTTGCAATTTTTACGGCTTGTTGACTTCCAAGCCCTGGCTCAGGACCACTCTCTTGATCTACGGCGGCTCTCTGACTGCTTCCTTGGTATGTATAATTAATTAATCACCTGATCTTTCAAAGATCTGTGTATATATGTGTGTGTGTGTTCTGTGATTTCATGTTTTGATGAACACTGCGTTTCAGGTTCCGACATTAACAGAAATGGTGGGTTCCGGAAAAGCACCTGCTCAGCTGCTCATGTCGTACGGCCCTTTCTATGCTCTGGGATTCTTGGCAACTCTCCGAGGTTTGCTTACCCCTCACGACCTTGGGAAGAGCCCTCAAATGTCCGCCAACGCCAAGAAGCATGCTTGAAGTCATTCTACTGTCCTTCTTCATGGTAGATTTGGAAATGATGAACGCTGTGATCTGAACCATAATTCGGAGACTGTCAACTATTTTATCTCAGGGCAGCTGTTTTATCGTAATTATGAACTTTTTAGCATATTTTGTAATTGTATTTTAGAATGTTCTGCTTTAAATTCTTAAGGTTAGAGTGGAGATTATATCTAAACCCCATCTCATTTTGTAGGCTTTGAGAATTAAAATAAATTCACTGTTAAGTTTATCTCTTTTAGAGAGTATTCTTTCTTTGCTCTCTATCCCTCTTCCCCTTCTTTGTTCCCCTCTTTCTCTCTTCAACCTCCCCCTGCATCATAATCCCATCCGCTCCTCCTTCCTCCTCCTCGTGATTCTTGGCCGAGAGAGAGTTGGACCTCTTCATTGACTTATCAAAAGAAGCACATTTGTACCAATTTTCTTGTCTTGACTTGCTTTCTTGGAAGGTGCAAATTGATGCTTGCATTATCTTTGGAGGACCAAAATCCATCGTAAAAACACCCACCAATTACTAGTAGTTATTTAGTACTCCTTTTGGAAATGGTTGACCAACAGTGACACGCCTTTACGTAATTCCAAGCTACGGGAGGGGAGATGGGCCCCAACAGATTCTGCTTTTCGCCGTGAAATCGTATCTGAGGCATTATGATTCCCCACAAAAAATCCACGTTTTCCCCATAATATAACTCCCCAGCATGCTAATGGCAATAGATAAGAGAGGATTCTCATTACTCCTAGAGAATTCGGCTAATGATTAAGCAAACGAATTTTAGTCCGTATATTTTAAAAAACAAAATTAGATATTTTATCAAATTTAGAGACTAAACATTTTAAATGATTAACACTATAGAAACTCAGTTGCATCAAATCAAAATTCAGAAACTGAAATACAAATGGCTTAAAATTTAAGAATGAAGTTGCACTTAGTTAAAATGTTCATAATTAGTACTCTTCGGGTTCTTAACATAAAAACTAATTGTGAAATTAATATTGGTCCTATATATAAAAACAATTTTACATATTTATCAATTTTTTTTCTAAATTAACCCTAATCAAGTAGGAGAGGGAGGGATGAAATTAAAGAAGATGTTTATCGTCAGTTTGGTATGAGGGAAACGGAGGGGAAGGAAAGGAAGAAAAAATTTTAATGAGTTTGATTTAAAAAATTGAAGAAGTGAGGTTAAAAGTTTGTAATTAAATTCTCTTCTTCTTTTATCTTGTATATTCTTTTTATCAAAATTTCAGAATCCTACTTCTTTAATTTTTATAAATTGAGCTTATTAAAATTTTTCTTTCCCTTCAAGTCCCTCGTACCAAACATAAGGTTAGGGTGTTTTAGAAAAAAAAATATTATATTAACTGATCTAACTAATATTATTAATTTATTCAAATTAATTAATTACTTCTTGTATTAAAGACCAGAAAACTAATTAAATTTTAAGTATTATATATAACTGTAAGTATAAAATGCTAAGTATTAAAATTAAACAAAAGAAGAAATCAAATTCCCTGGTCAAAAAAAAGAAGAAGCCAAATCAAAAATGTGATTTTTGGAGATATAAAATATATTTATGTTTTATAAATAAAAATTAGAAAAAAAATAAATACTAAGTAATGATAATAAGATTTAATGAAAAAACTTTCATGCTGACTTGTGTTTATATAAAAGATTTTTTTTATTATGAAGTTTTTCTCCTTTTAAAATTTCATCACCATCAGCTTTTTGAAGTTCGGTGGTTCACTCATCTCTTACCCATCCCTCTCCCTGGTGCAGCAAAACGCAAGGAGGTGACAAGAGATTTGAGTTTGGAGACGGTGCGTTTGAAGGTAGCAGAAAGGCAGCAGATAGGAAGGGTAGAGATTATAGAAGAGAAGGTGGATCCATTACTAATTTACTATAGCTTGCGAGAATGGCATAATATGCACACGTCTTCCCTCAAGAATTTGGTGAGAAATTTCTGCAAGTCAAACTGAGAATTAGATGTCAAATTCACTATCAAGCAATACATGAGGGACATGTGTAAAGAGACATGCAACTAGACCAGAAATTTGATTTCATCTTAAATACAAGGAGTCACCTCACTTCGTTTTTTAATTTTATAGTTTTTCTTAAAATATCTTAATTAATTCTATAGTTATACAATGCATATGATCAGAAAGATTATTCTTAAAAAATCAATATACATTTGTTATAAATAACTAACTCAATTTATTTTCTTGATATCCACAAATTAATTATCCAACTCAAATGTTAAGAATGCTACGGAGTGCTTAGGAGAACTATATGATTTGAGATGACTGAACTCCTCAATCTATTTGATCTCTAGATCTTTAACAGACAAAGTCTTGAAGAAAGCTGAGGGACAATGCCTATAATTGTGCGCAAGAGAAGCATTTGGAAAAATGATTATGTGGTAAAAGTTGATCACTCAATGACCAAGAATTAAAAATTGACAAGATAAAAAATTATAAAATATATTGAATATCCTATATTGATTTTTATGAAGTGTTCAGGAGTGCAAGAGGGAGGCAGAGATGAAGTAGTGAGAAAGAAGAAGACCATAGTGGGAAAACACATGAGGGTCAAATTCCATGCCTTACCCCTATAAGCGTTCATAAAGCCTGGTTGCCTATCTAGACCCACACAAAAAATGCCTCTTGCCCTAAAAAATTGGCCCAAAAAAATGTTGGGCATATTTGGGCCAGACAAATTGTCGGACAAGGCCAGACATTTTATTTATATATTTTATTCACCTCCCTCATAAATCAAACGTATTGTTGTATCATTATTTAATGTTTACTATACTTGCTTTTATTTTCAAATGATTATAAGAATCAGACGTCTTATCATTTATTGAGATATGTATGGCCTTTTTTTTAATGCAAATATTATGGCCATTGGCAATTTGTATATTGGCATATAAGTAATTATATATAGTTTATTTTGAGCATGACTTAGATATAATGCCCATAGAAGGATAATTGAATTATTTTGAAATTTGTTTTGTTTCTTGTTTTTCTAAAATTGCTTTCTCTTTTTGGTTACAATTAAAAACTGAATAGGATACTTTAAAAATTTACTAAACCACAACAAAGAGATTTTTTTAAAAAATATAACTGATTCCATCCTCTTATGAGCATTTAAGAGTATTAAGAAATTTTAAAAACCAGAAAAGCAATTAAGTTTAATAAAATATACTAATAACGTTTTTCTTGTCATAGTCCACTCCTTTATGTAGTTTAATAGTAAACTAATTAGAAATAACTAAATGCAGGCCAAGTTGCTATTTTAGTATAAAGTTACCTTAGATTATTTAGAGAAATATAAATAATTAGTTAATACTACCTATGATCTTAATTATAAAATCTTATTTGTAGTTTACAAACAAAGTCTTATAATTAAAATAAAAAATAGTAGTTAATTAATGTAGTATATTGATTTTTTTTGGCACAAAAGCCCGTCCTATCCGGTCCAAACTCATTAGGACTTTTTATGGGTATGGCCAAACCTTGGGCTGGCTATCACGCAAGGGTATTGTCCTACCCAATTCTGCTTATGTGAAGGCTTGCATGCGAACAATGGCTAAGTCCGCCGGGTTTCCAACTGCTGCACCCACACCTCCAGCCAACAAACCGGCGGCGATCTTCCCGGAAAGCGACATGTTGCCGCCGGCTTTTTGATCGGACCACTTATGCTTGAGGTAATCGTAGAGTCCCATTCGGGTGGTGGAGTAGAGACTCTGGCGGAGGACAGTGGCGGAGGCTCCGTTGTAAAGAGCGGCAACACCTTCTTGTTTGATGATGCGAACGCCGACGCCCGACGGCAATAGGACCAACACGAGCCGGAGGTGGCGCGACACTGACTAATAGATGACTTTGTCAATTGGCTACTAAACTATAGACTGCATGCTAATTTTGGCACATGGTGGACAGATTCAAGAGTGGCAAGACTCTGAAGTTTATTTTGTTATTAAAAAAGGAAAATTTTATTTAAAAAAATGTGAAAATTATTAAATTTTAAATCAGGATTATTTTATATATTTTAATTGATTTTGACTACACTTCGTTTTCTCTCTCTGATCCCTACCATCCAAACGGTGGGCCACTACTGAAGCAACAATAATGAGTCATAACAAACACCTATCCCCGTGCCTGTCCCACTCCCTTTGCATGCTTTCCTCATAAGAGCCCCATTTTCTGAATCTTGAGACTGGAGAATAGAGTTGGCTTGTTCAATTCTATGGAAAATGGGTTCTCTGGTAAAAGTTATAGACCCCATCCTCATGTTCTTCTGGGTGACATTGATTCTGGGAGTTCCTGCTCTGGATACTCAAGTCTTCATACCTCGCGAGTACTACCCCCGCTTCCTCGTCCAACTCAGCGACTGGTTCCTCCGCTATTCTGGCCACTATCTCATGATAGAGAAGCCATATTTCTTCGTCGGAATCGTCTTCCATGAAATCGCCTACCAAATGCCACTCGTTATTGGCAATTTTTACGGCTTGTTGACTTCCAAGCCCTGGCTCAGGACCACTCTCTTGATCTACGGCGGCTCTATGACTGCTTCCATGGTATGTATAATTAATTAATCACCTGATCTTTCAAAGATCTGTACATATATATGTGTGTTCTGTGATTTCATGTTTTGATGAACACTGCGTTTCAGGTTCCTACATTAACAGAAATGGTGGGTTCCGGAAGAGCATCTGCTAAGCTACTCGTGATATACGGCCCTTACTATGCTGTAGGATTATTGGCAACTCTCCGAGGTTTGCTTACCCCTCACGACCTTGGGAAGAGCCCTCAAATGTCCGCCAACGCCAAGAAGCATGCTTGAAGTCATTCTATTGTCCTTCTTGACGGTAGATTTGGAAATGATGAACGCTGTGATCTGAACCAAATTCGGAGACTGTCAACTATTTTATCTCAGGGCAGCTGTTTTATCGTAATTATGAACTTTTTATCATATTTTCTAATTGTATTTTAGAATGTTCTGCTTTTTTTCCGGGCCACCTGGAATGTTCGTCTTTTAGTTCTTAAGATTAGAGTTGAGATTATATCTCTACCCCATCTCATTTTGTGGGCTTTAAGAATTAAAATAAATTAACTGTTAAGTTTATCTCTTTTAGAGAGTATTCTTTCTATGCTCTCCATCCCTCTTCCCCTTCTTCGTTTCCCTCCTTCTCTCTTGATCCTCCTCCTGCATCGTAATCCCATCCGCTCCTCCTTCCTCCTTCTCGTGATTCTTGGCCGAGAGAGAGTTGGACCTCTTCATTGACTTATCAAAAGAAGCAAATTTGTACCAATTTGCTTGTTTTGACTCGCTTTCTTGTATTTCAATTTGTGATGTAAAACATCTTTGAAGGTGCAAATTGATGCTTGCATTGTCTGTGGAGGACCAAAATCTATCGTAAGAACACTCACCAATTACTAGTAGTTATTTAGTACAAACGTCCGCAGATAGATTTGTGGCTTCACTGGTTTCATCTCCTGGAAGCTTGTTTGAGGTTGCTTCCTTCTTCTTCTTTTTTTTGTTGGGTTGAAAATTTGAGGTTTCCATTTTTTCAGAAATGCCATGCTCCAAACAGCTGAGGCATATGATGAAGGCTGCTAGGCACGTGCTTCCCTATGGGTGAACTTAACTCAGTTTTTTTTTTTTTTTTGGACCTGAGTGTGAACTTAACTCAGTTACTTCTCTTATTTTTCTTTTTCTCAAAATCATTGAAGCCCAACGGAAATGGTTGACCAACAGGTTAACAGTCCTTTACATAATTCCAAGCTATGGGAGGGGAGATGGGCCCCAACAGATCCTGCCTTCCGCCGTGAAATCATATCCGAAGCATTATTCCTCACAAAAATCCATGTTTTCCCCCACAATGCAATTCCCCAGCGTAGTAATAGTAATAGATAGGCGAGGATTCTCATTACTCCGAGAGAATTCGGCTAATAATTAAGCAAACTAATTTCATTTCGTATATTTTAAAAGATAAAATTATATATTTTATCAAATTTAGAGACTAAAAATTTTAAATGGTTAAGACTGTAGAAACTGAATTGCATCAAATCAAAATTCAGCTGAAATAATACAACTGGCTTAAAATTTAAGAATGAAGTTGTACTCAGTTAAAATATTCATAATTAGTACTTCTTCGGTCCTTAATATAGGATCTAATTGGAGAGTTAATATTAATCTTATTTTACATGTTTATTAATTTTTCTTAAATTAACCCTATTGAAATTTTTCAGATAATAATCAGGTAAGAGAGGGAGAGAAAAATTAAGAAAGATGTTTAGAATATTTTAGAAGAGACATATCATATTAACTAATTTAACTAACATCTTTAGTTTATTCGAATTAATTAATTGGATCTTATATTGAAGATTGAAAGAGTAATAAAATGTTAATTATTATTATAGATAACTATAATAATAAAATGTTAAGTATAATGTTCATAATTTATAGATAATTATAAAATGTTAAGCATTAAAATTAAACAAAAGAAGAAATCAAATTCCCTGGTCAAAAAGAAGAAGAAACCAAATCGAGAATGTGATTTTGGGGTATATAAAATATTTTTATATTTTGTAAATAAAAATTAGTGAAAAAAATAAATACTGAGTAATGATAACAAGATTTAATAAAAAAAATTTATGCTGACTTGTGCTTATATAAAAGATTTTTTTATCATCAAGTTTTCCTCTTTTGAAATTTCATCACTATCAACTTTTTGAGGTTCGGTGGCTCGCTCGTCTCTCACCCATCCGTCCCCTCGGCGCAACAAAACGCAAGGAGGTGACAACAAATTTGACTTTGGAAACGGTGCGTTTAGCATAGAGGCAATAGATAGGAAGGGTAGAGGAGAGGAGAGGAGAGGAGAGAAGGTGGATCCATAATTATATAGCTTGCGAGAATGGCATAATACGCACATGTCTTCCCTCAAGAATTTGGTGAGAAATATCTGCGGGTCAAACTGAGAGTTGGATGTGAAGTTCACTGTCAAGCAACACGTAAAATTTTGATTTGATCTTAAATACAAAGTCTTATTTCACTTTTTTTTTAATTTTATAATTTTTCCTTAAAATATCCTTATTAATTTCATATAATAAAAATACTTACAGTGCACATTATCCAAAAAATTATTCTAAAAAAAATTAATACACATTTATTATAAATAACTAACAAGATTTATTTTCTTAATATATATAAATTAATTATCTAGTTCATCTATTAAGAATACTATGGGATACTCAAGAGAATTATATGATCTGTCTATTTGATCTCTAGATCTCTAACAAAGTTTTAAAGAAAGCTTAGGGACGATGTTTATAATTGTGCGCAAGAGAATCCTTCGGAAAAATGGTTCTGTGGTAAAAGTGGTAGGCGTCACTTTCTTCTCTCAGTGATTCAGAATTGAAAATTGACACGATAGAAAATTATGAAATATATTGAATATCCCAGATTGATTTTTATGCAGTGTTCAGGACTGCAAGAGGGGGGCCGAGATGAAGCAGTGAGAAAGAAGAAGACGACAGTCGAAAAACATAAGAGGGTCAAATTCCATGCCCTACCCCTACTCAGGTCATGATTTTCTCTTTATATAATTAATTAAAATTATCATCCCTCAAGTCTTTCCTTCCAGCCCAAACTTCCTGGCCCATTCCTCGCAAGCTTTGGCCCATCTTCATATCACCACACAAATCCTTCTCCCTCCAACCCTCTACTTAATTCGTATTCATCCTTCTATGTATTAATAATTAAAGTTGTACTCCTCCGGTCCTTAATATAAGACCCATTTGACTAATTTGATTAGATTAAAGAAATTAGGTAAGTTAGTTAATTATAAGAAATGTGACATGTTTTTCCTAAAACACCATGATCATCTTTCTTAATATCTTTCTCCCTCTTCTACTTGATTATGGTTTAGGGAATATCTATAGGGTAATTTAGAGAAAATTAAAAAAATATGAGAAATGGGTCTTATATTTAGGACCAAAACCAACTCAATAATTGGATCTTATATTAAGGACCGGAGGAGTATTAATCTGATGGTATTAATAAGATCACTATCATATAACAATTAAAACTAATGGAATTATACTGTATTTAAACTGAATAATGCTTGAAAAGACTAATTTTTGTCAAAATTTCAATAATATATAGTAAGATGGCAAAGATTAAGACAAAAATTAAGTGCTTAATACTTCTTTTAACCACTTTTAATCGAAGCTGTGGGGATCATCGTCCATCCCTTCACGGAAGTTCTGTCCCTCAGAAATCCTTCAGCAACTTGCGAACCTCTTCGAGCGTCACAAACAGCACCACGGTGAAGGGTCCCTGCCTTGAAATCGTCGGTATAAATCCTTTATAGAGCGCCATCGGACCCTCTGCTCGCACCGTCTTAACGGCGCAATCTATGGCGCCGGAGTACGGCGGCTTCCCACCTTCCTCCACTTTCATGTTCATCACTCTCGTCTTCAACACGTCCACCGGGTTTGTTGCCACCGCCGCCACGAAACCCGCCACAAAGCTCGCCGTCACGTGGGTCCCGAGCCCATCGCTCATCGTCCCCTTCTTCAGTATCTCCTCCTTGACCTGGTCGTACGACGCTAGTTGCGACGCCGTCACCAGCATAGCGCGATTCACCGTAAGCGACGAGCCTCTCCACAGGCTAGTTACTCCCTCTTGCTTCACGGTTCGTACAATGGCGTCCACCACGGACTTGTAGTTCCTCCGCTGAGCTGGCGGAAGACGGCCGTCGGCTTGCATGCGAACCATGGCTAAGTCCGCCGGGTTTCCAACTGCTGCCCCCACACCTCCAGCCAACAAACCGGCGGCGATCTTCCTGGAAAGAGACATGTTGCCTCCGGCTTTCTGATCGGACCACTTATGCTTGAGGTAATCGTAGAGTCCCATTCGGGTGGTGGAGTAGAGACTCTGGCGGAGGACCGTGGCGGAGACGCCGTTGTAAAGAGCGGCAACACCTTCTTGTTTGATGATGCGAACGCCGACTGCAATAGGACCAATACGAGCCGGAGGTGGCCCGACGCTGCCGGAGGCGAGTGCGGGTCGGAGGTTGTGAACGGTCGGAGCGTGGGTTTCGCCCTGAAGCTGCATTCGGACCTTGATGAGGTCGAGAGGGTGGGTGGAGCATCCAGCGACGATGGAAGCGATGCCTCCCTCAACAAAACCTTTGATAGTCATATGGAATGAATTTTCTTGGGAACCAAACAGGAAGCAACGAGGGAGGGGGGGGAAACTATATGGAGGGAGACTGTAGAGGAAGATACAGGAGGAGTGCCAGCTAGGGTTAATGTTAGGAAAGGAGAAGAAGGACAGAGGTGATGGATGGAGGAAGAGTGAGGAACGTTAGGCCATTGAGAAATAGTAGTACGAGAACAAGCAAGAGAAACCATAAGAGGACACAAACGCAACGAAGAAACGAATTGATTGGTATGAGCGACAGCGGAATGCAAATATAGCCAAAAACCAATTTATGGCAAAGAGATTGTGTGGGACCCTTGCATTCTCAGATATATTTACGAGATAAAAATGTTGAGTTTGGACAATTAATTTAGGACGCAATTCAAAGTCACTTTTGGAAGGAAGCAGGAGTGTGCGCGGTTACTGGACTGTGTTTCTCTCCTTTTTTTTTATTTTAATTTTATTGGTTTTACCTAGAATATCTATACATTTATAAGTCTAGTTTACTATTATTGAGAGCATTTAATATTTTTTTTTTACTTTTTCTATATAAATAATGAGTTAATTTTCATCTAATATAGTCTTTTAACTTCACTCCCGGTAGTTCATTAATACATACGGAAGAATAGATAAGGTGATAGTGGACAAAAATGAGAGAAGACAAAACAGGTGGGATGAGACCCTGACTAAATGAATGCAACATTGTAATGAGAGGGAAAGGCAGAGACCAATAATGGAAGAAAAGAACAAAGACAGAGGGAAGAGGACGAAGGAGGTGGGGGTGAGTGGTTAAGAGGCGTGCGTGAACGGAGGGCATCGAATTCTTGGGGTCCTACTCTTAGCTTGCCCTTGTCCTCTGCAAGGACGATTGCCCCCTCCGCCTGCCCTCTGTTGCATCCTCCATGATGAAATTTATTTTTCCAAAAAAAAAAAGGGAAAAGAACCAGAAACGTCGCCTGAGAGATTCGAACTCTCGCGGGGAAACCCCATGTACTTAGCAGGCACACGCCTTAACCACTCGGCCAAAGCGACGTTATCTGCTTGTGGCGCGTCAATAATAATTGTTCACCAATGGCTAAAGCTGCACAATTCGTTCTTCCTGTGTTTCAGTAATTTTTCATGGAACCTTTCCTACCCCGAGCAGTAAATAATTTTGCTAGTATCGCTCGTACATCCCTCATTATTAAATGATTTTTGTTTTCACATAGGAAAACTAACCCACAAGAAGTTTTTGATATCGAGCAAATCACATATACCATTCTACATGATCTATCATTTTCTATGAAATATTCGTGCAACTACATGACAGAATTTTGCTCCTAGTTGCCGTCAACTTGACATAGAAAAAGAAGCCAAAATAATCACTTTTTTTTGGCTAAACACAAGTATTTTTTTATTAGAAATAATACTGTTTAAGATATTGTTAAATACTAAATGTAGATAGATTTAAACTTTGATTCACTACGTTATGAATGACTAACTTTTTTATTTAGATCTAACCCTCACATATTTAAATATCACTTCTTTCAACTCTCGCTAACTTGACCCTACATGCACTAGCTGTTTGTCCATTTGAACAATATTTTAAAGCAGGTCTCATATCGTTTGCACTAATATAATTTGCTCTAAAGCCAGAACGACCAAAGAATAAGATACAAGAAGTAAGAACCAGTCCAATCATTTTCAAAGAAAAGAAAATAAAAATTATAAAATAATGATTCAGTGGCGCAGATGTGTGTGTAAAGTTGCCAACGAGATTTTTTTTTGGAAAAATTACACTCAGGTCCCATGGAGCACAATTAATATCAACAAAGTCCCTGGAAATCGCAAAATGAATCTGAAGTCCCTAGGGACCTGTGTGTAATTAATTCTAATTGTGAAATTACTTACTTACCCCTATTAATTTTATTGCAACAATTTATTTACAACCTCAACAGTGGCTGTTGACAACCCGAGAAGAAATGATTAACAACCTTGACAGTGCTCATGACAACTCACTCTGTGAGATGATTGTTGACAACCCGAAAAGAAGTGATTGACAACCTCGACAGTGCTCCTGACAACTCACTCTGTGGGATGCCAGGGGCGTTGCTGAGGTTGTTAACCACCTTTTCTTGGGTTGTTAACAGCCACTATTGAGGTTGTAAATAGGTTCAAATTAATAAGGGTAAGTAGATAATTTCATAATTAGAATTAATTACACACAGGTCCCTAGGGACTTCAGAATTATTTCGCAATTTTCAGGGACTTTTTTGATATTAATTATGTTATGTGGGACCTGAGTGTAATTTTCCTTTTTTTTTTGCGACCTGAAATTGCCAGTGAGAATTGAACCATGGTGACCAATTTTCTAGCTGTTACGTTATTATGATCAGTGCAGTACAGAAATTACAAATGCAATATGGAGGCGTTTGCCTTAATCTTCTTTTAGTTTTTTTGGTTTTTCCCCCCTCTATCGTTGTGGCTTGTAAACTTTGCTGTTCTGTCGGTTTTGGTTTGTTTGAATCTCTGTACATGGGTGTCTGCCTATAAGCTCTTTTTTTAACCAATAAATATATTTTTTTCCCGCCAAAATTATGACCCCAGATTCAGCCCAACGTTGGAGCTTGTCAAATGTTGTCGCGGATTCGAAGGCTATGGATCCAAAAAAATCATATCTTTTTTATCAGATTGGAGAAAAATTATTTTTTTTCCCTATTGAGGGCATGAGTCACGACTCATAAGGACGTTTACACATGGGCACAAAATGACTTGTCCAAACGCACAGCACAATGCCTGTGCATTTCCCAGTCATAGTTGCAGTGCAAAAGATGTCCTTACAATTACCACGACAAGACAAACGACAAAGAGATTGGTCTCGCGCATATTCGCAATTCACCATGTCAGTCTCGCTCTAAAATCAATTTCAGAGCCAGACCCAATTTTTCTCACCACACTCTGCGCATCCCCGCCCTCCTTCTTCCTGTCTGTCTCCACAATCCAGATGCCCCCACTCTTTCCTCACCTCTATTACTCCCACTTCCCTTCCCAATTCCCCCTTTTGCTCCTCCTTTTCCCTACTCCGCCTCCTTCGGCGCCCGCCACCGTTGCTTCATTGGTTTCTTCCCCTCCACTGCTGCCTCTGTCGTCGACGAATCTATGTATAGCAAGATTGCCATTTTCTGCATTTTATGTTCTGGCCTGATCCTGGGTGCTGGCTAAAAAGAGATGTTCATCCTTGAGCTTTTAGGGTTTCAGGGCCTACTGTATGTCTTCTTGTTGGTCACTTTTTTGGTGATTCGTCACATGTGGAGGAATGCTGAGGTTAGAAAAGAGGAGATCATAAGGCTCGTCGATATGGCGTCTCAAGAGGCCGCTATCGCAGAAATGGAGGCGTCAGTGGAGTCCAGTTTTGTTCCAGCTTCCCGCGAGTATCAATGTGCCGTCTGTTATTCCCCAACTACCATGCGCTGCTCCAAGTGCAAGGCTGTTCGCTACTGGTTCGTTCTCTTTCCTAGAGTCTTTCGCACTTTCAATTTGAACTTCAGTAATGCTTGAACATGTGTCTCCGTGTGGCCATTTGCAGTACTTTATTTTTGTGGGAACTTCTCTGTTCCGTTAATAGGTTGTCTTAAGCTTAAGAGGATATTGTTACAGATTTTAAGTGGAAGGGACGGATGGGAATTTCTCTAGTTACTAATTAAGAAAGGATATGGGCGGAGTTGGATCTTGTTTTTGTGGAGCAATGGTAATTTACATGGATCATCTTCTCCATGTGTTGCCAGTGTTGCTATAAGACGAGGTATTGTTCTAAAGGAACACCTTGTTATCGTTCCCTGACGCACATGTTTAGACTTTGGTGTTCCGATTTCCCATAAATTTTCATATCGACCTATCAATATTGAATTGGCGTAATCAAGAACTGGGCTTGAGAGTTCTATTTGCTATTTGTCTGCTTGATGCAAGATGCCTTGATTCTCCTTGCAGTTTGCTCTTTTTGACTGGTTGGTCCTGTGTCCTTATTTGTACTGAGAACTCTAATGGCGGGGAAATTAAAGAATGAATTAAGGAGCATGTTCCTTAAGTTTTGAGCTATCAAGCTTACCCTTTCCTTGTGTCCAGAGTTATGGATATTTTGAGGGTAAAAAAAAAAAAATTTGGAATGTTTTGTTTGCAATTTGCGTGCAAGTCAATTTGGGCCAGCCTTCTTACCTTTTGTACCTTGTCGCAATGACTCGACAAAGTCACATTCCTCAACATCTCTAGTCTTCGCCTAAGCCTCTGGCGTTTATATTTACATGTCTGAAGCCATCATTTTGGACATATTATTTTATGATCGTAGTTTTTCTTCATTTTCACAAGCATGCTTTATTGTAGTTCTGGCAAGTGTCAAATTATTCACTGGAGACAAGGCCACAAGGATGAATGTTCCCCTCCAATTTTCCCTGTGCAACTCAGAGAGGAAAGTAATGCTAACAGGGTTGCAGTATCAGGTACACAGTCTGATGCTTATGGTAATGGCTTTGCTTGAAAATTGTATTATGTTTTGTGAAGCATCATTTATGGTATGTAATGTAGTTAGACCTTCTGCTGACTCTGAAGGAACACATGCTGGTACTGCTTCTTCCAATAATTCATATTCCAGCTTTAGTCCATCTGTTGCTGAAAGCAAATCATCTGACATTGATTATCGTAGCAAATTGGCAAAACCTGTATGTCATAGTACAGCTGAGGCATCTTCTCATGCCATTGAGACAGTGCCGACCACCTCTTTTCCCATAGACGCTAGAAGTTCAGTGAATATTGAAAATAAACACTCTAGTGCAAGCAAAAAAAGTAAGACGGTTTCTAGTCATATTGCTGATGATACTGCTCCTAGATCAAAACTGCCAAAAACCAAGACCGACAAATCTCATGATGCAGCAGCAAATTTGGTTGGCCATGTACACAAACGAAAAGTTTCCACAGTTGAGAAATCAGAAACAGATACGTCTAAGAGCAGGCCCTTGCCTTCCATGAATTATTCAAGTTCAGAGGCTGTAGCTGCTAATGCAAAAGAAGAACCACATATATCCAAGCATAAAGAAGCAAGAAAATCACCATACAGTGTCCATGTGCTATCCTCAGCTACTAAAGGGGATTTGCTTCTGCATGCCAAATCTCTAAGATCTGAAAATTATCGTGCCTTGCCAGCAAAAGGGGGAGGTATGCAAAGTCTGCAGCAAAATGTTCGTAATGGCTTGAAAACATCTGTGCAAAAAGTGGTCCAGCAGTTCAGAAGCTCCACAGATTCAGTGTCTAGCCTTATATCTGCTGAAAATGAGGTTGAGAATAAGTTTACCTGATATATGGACAACATAGCCTTTAAGTTGACAGTTTTGTGTTTGTCAGTTTTACGAGTTTTAACTTCCTATGTCTTGGCAGATGGGCTTTCCTTATGAACTCTTTACGGAACTCTACTGTCATGACAAGGTGGAGCTATACCCCTTTGGCCTTACAAACTGTGGGAACAGGTGTTGTAGAGTTCTTCTGGCTTTCCATTTTTGGTACATTGTGATGTTACTGTCTCGTTTAGAAATAGAGTGAAAGGAAGGAGGTAAGGAGAGCGTTAGGAGTCTGATTCTACCCTGTTTTAAAGGTGTCATGTTCTTGTTTTCCTAAACGCCCTCTTGGAAGATATAGTCCTTGAAATATAAGATATGATGAGTATGATAGCTGGGGCAGAAGAATTTGTGCAAGTATGCCCCAAGGAAATTTGTGGTGACATATTTTTAAAATGTGGTATTTGTTGTGGCTAATTGTTTCGATTGTTATAAAAGGGTGATTCTCTCAGTGTTCTCTTACTGGTACTTAGTGTTTGCCACTATATTTTGTTTTTATGTGGTTAGAAGGGGGGGGGGGTTAATCTAGTGTTAGTTTGGATATTGATTTTATCTCTTTGCTAATAATGAGTTTTCTGCAGCTGTTATGCTAATGCTGTACTCCAGTGCTTGGCATATACTCGGCCATTGACTTCCTATTTCTTTCATGGGCTACATTCCAAACAATGCAAGTTACCCTTTCTTGACTTTTGGACAAATTAACTAGTACATTTATTTTGAATTTTAGCTAATTTACTTTTGCAATGTTGGCCTTAGGTCAGAAGAATGGATGGTGTTTTATGTGTGAATTTGAATACTTAATTCAGAAGGGCAAAGAAGGGACTAACCCACTTTCTCCCATTGGGATATTATCTAAAATACACAAGATTGGGAGCCACCTTGGACATGGAAAGGAGGAAGATGCCCATGAATTTTTGAGGTGAGCCAAATAATCGATTAAGCTGATTTTTTTCCCATGTTCCCCTTGGCATGTGTGAGAAAAATGCCACTTTTGTTACACAATTGTTTTACGCAACACAATAAATTGCTGAAATGGCAGGTGTGCGGTTGAGAGCATGCAATCCATTTGCCTCAAGGAAGCTGGGGTCTCAACTCCATTGGCAGAAGAAACAACCCTAGTTGGGTACACTTTTGGGGGCTATCTTCGATCTAAGGTGGTTTCCTATCTAAGCCTGCTCAAGATTTCCCCCCAACTTTTATTAAAGGAGAACGGGATGATTTTCCTCAATATTTCAATTTATTGGCTGCAAACTACAGATAAAGTGCTTAAGGTGCCTTGGAAAATCTGAGAGGTATGAGAGAATGATGGATCTTACTGTTGAGATTGATGGGAACATTGGAACGTTGGAGGATGCTCTTGGTCAATTTACAACACCGGAAATCCTGGAGAAAGATAACAAGTATTATTGCGGCAGGTTTGTTGATTTCCTTACAATTGTGACCTTTGTTAAAGTTGATGGGCTCCTATGCTTGGTTTCATGTTTTTAACGAGTACAATATACTACTCTTACTATCACTGTTTCTATAGCAATTTCACTATAGTTTCCCCTCTCTCGTATTATGTTCTCATTCTATTTTCAACGTTCCTATCTTGTGGCGAAGGGAGCATATCTTAAGAAGCAATTTATCATTTCTTTTTACTTAGATGTAAATCATACGAGAAAGCCAGGAAGAAGTTGACAGTATTGGAGGCACCAAATATTCTTACAATTGTGTTAAAAAGATTCCAGGTACATATTTGATACCAAGTTTGACGTGTCACTTATTATATTTCGTGTATATGTATTTATGCTGGCTCTTTATAATGCGAGATCATGCTTATTCTCCTGTCCATGTTGGCAGTCTGGTAATTTTGAGAAGTTGAATAAGTTGGTGCGGTTCCCTGAGGTTCTGAATTTGGCTCCGTATATGAGTGGAACAAAAGATAAATCTCCATTATACAACCTTTATGCAGTGGTCGTCCATTTGGATATCATGAATGCTGCATATTCAGGCCACTATGTCTGCTATGTGAAGAACTTTCAGGAAGAATGGTCTAGGATTGATGACAGCATGGTCAATCTCCTCTCTCTCTCTCTCTCTCTCTCTCTCTCTCTCTCTCTCTCTCTCTCTCTCTCTCTCTCTCTCTCTCTCTCTCAAATGAGTTATTAGCTTTCATAAATGATGTGGTCATTAGCTTTCCAGTTTTGGCTCATGTACATGCTTGTCCTTTTATTTGACAATAAGTACTCATTAGGAAACATTTGAATTTAAGTTTAATATATTAAGAATTGAAGTTAATAGAGGGAAAGCAAATTCCTGTTTTGTTGATTCTTTTGAAGCCAATGTCATGTAAAAGCTTACTGCTCTTCCGAGATGCATCCTCTCCTTTTTATTCCAATAGTGTGTCCAGATATAGGAAAGGGGATTGGTTTCGGTTTCTCATTTATGTGCTATTATGAAATTAAAAGGAGCATTTGGTATCATTTGGAAAAATGTGCTCTTTTTTTTTTCTTTCTTTCTTTTTTTAAAATGTGGCTTCTGATTTGTTATAAGTCTAACCATACGTTAATTGAAAGACTGAGTGCTCGGCAACTTTCTGGAATTTTATTTTTCAGCTGCGTTTTTTTGGGTGATTATGTTTCATTTACTATTGTTGGGGGAAAAAAAAACCAAAATATACTCACAAGACTGCAATGAATTTTAAAATGTATATTTCATCTAACTTCTATGATTAGTAAATTAACCTACTGACAAATAAGTGAGTGAAACACCTTTGCACGAGTGCATTAGATTTTCTAGTTATCACCTTAGCGAGTTTTGGAATCAGTACAATGTAGTCTTTGTATTCATGTGCTCATACTATTGCGCACACCGGGTATGAGAGGCATTTGTTAGTATACTGAGGATATCATTTGTGGTTCTGTTTAGGTGACACCCGTTGAATTGTCCACTGTTTTGTCACAAAGGGCGTACATGCTTCTTTATGCAAGGTAACATTACCTTTTGCCATGTCCTGTAATTTTCTAATTTCTCCGAAAAATTCTTCTGACCAGCAATACTCTTGATTATGTGAATATATTTAGGCACTCTCCAAAGCCCCCAATATCAATAACTAGCAATGCAATCTCTGGAAAGTACAAGAGAAGGAACTTGGAGGCAATTCCTGCTTCTAAAACCAGATCAAACTCGTTGGCTGGAAATGCATTTCCTCCCACCTCACAGCCTAAGCAAGGCAGGCACCCTCATCAGAATGCTGGTGAAGGTCCCTTGAGCAGCGAGTTTGTATATCCGGAAGAATGGAGATTCCACTATGGGAATAGAAACGCAACGGTTGATTCATGTAGCGAGAGCTCTTCCCTGTTCAGCTCTTCAGACGCAAGTTCTTGCAGTACTGCTAGCACCAAGGACTCAGGCAATACTGCTGACTTCTCTGAGTACATATTTGGTGAGATGGCGCCCAATTGGGAGACTCACCATGGGCTCTCGTCAAATTTGGTCACGTATTGTGAAAATTTGGGCACAGATTATTTAGTGGGTAGTAATGATCCTTCTAGGAGGCTGAGGCAGGACAGAGAGTTAGAAGATAATGCTGTTTTTTATGCTAACAGAAATAGAAGTCATAGTGGCAGCAGGGGAAGTGACCTTAAAAGGTACGTCTCTGCTAACCAATGTGACAGATTCTGGTGTACATGTGAGAAGAACTAGTCGGGATATACGTCAGCTCAAACGTTTTTATTGAGTTTGAGTTGAGATATCGGTAACCATTTGAGTCCATGGGTACAGTGAAAATCAATTTTTTTCAGTCAACCAATCTCTTCATGAATAACATTTTTCAATTCTTTTTTCTTCTTTTTTTTTGGGGCCAAGTTACTATGCCTGTACAGTAATTAGGTTGACAACATGAAAAGAACCTTAAATAATGCTGAATACTTGGTGGGAGAGTTTTACCGCGAAGTTGAATGGTCCAATATAAGCAAAGGAAGAATACTTTGGTGGAGCTGTGTATATCAAGTTTTCTAATTATATATTTATACATGATCATGTATTTTATTTTTTTATGCGAGTTTATAATCAAATGATATTAAATGTTAATATTTTAAAAATAGAATGCATGGCTATTTGTAGCGGGAGAACTTAATATAATAGATATAAAAAACTTGATTTAAGTATTATCCTCAACAAAAGAACCTACTACCAATGAAATTAATTTAAATTTGAAGCCAACTTGTCTTTGTAGACAAAGTAATAAAAAAGATAATGTTTAATTATAAAGAGCGGTTAGAATGATAGTTAAATTTCCCAAAAAAAAAAAAACATTGCTGCAAGATGAGTTATAAATGTCTACCTAAACAGTTATAAATATGAGAACTTAGTTGTACTTTAAGCATTTTCATATATTAATTCCAGTGATTTACGATTGAAATCATGATGTTTGCAGTTGTTTGAATTGTTATGGTTCCTTCAGGCCTGAAAAAAAGAATTGTTATGGTTCCTAGCTAAACGGTTTTTAACGAGATTTTTTTAAAACTTAATTGTTAATTAGAAATTTTTTTGGGACCTAATTGTTATCTCTTATATTTCTTATTTTGCAAATAATTTGAAAACTTTTAATTTTTTAATTTTGAGATATTAAAATCCCATATTAAATTTAATTTGTTGTTCACGATGAGTTTTTATGATAAAAGAAGTACCTGTGCATATTTCTACCGTTTTCAATCATCCTGTTTAATTTTTATAATTAACATTAAATATTATTTATCTGGTGGGAGTATGTATAATTTATTCAATTCAGTTGGCAAAAAAAAAAAAAAAATCATTCAATTCAAAATAATAGGGGGAAGACTTGGGACGGCTGGGGGGCGATGAGGAATATGGATGGATCCTCGCATGAATTTCGACCATTCTGTATCATAGAAATTTTCCGAAGGGGGTATTATAGATGGTAGCGGCAGTAACTATCCCCAGCTGCCATCAACGCCTCAAGCTAAATCGCCATTTCTACGCCTCCCTCGTCTCCTTCGCCAGAGCCAAGAATATCACCATGGCCAGCACTAGCCGCGGCAGTTCGGGGGCTTTCACCACTATTCAAGAGAAGGTCACCTTCGAAAAGGAGATCAAGAAAAGCAAATTTATTGCTGTTGCTGGCCCCATTTCCGACGAGAAATCCGCCATGTCTTTCCTTTCCCAGGTCCTCTCTTTATTCAACGTCATTTTCATTAATTCTTCGTGGCAAGTCTAATATGCTGGTCTGTTTTCATTTACTGTTGATGATTTCTCAATTATGTTCATCTCTCCTGCTTCTGTGAGTTGATTTAGCTGATGGGTAATTCGTTAAAACAGTTTGTAGTTTATTCAGTGCCTTTTTTATTGTCAGGTTCGGGATTCCCGTGCTACTCACAATTGCTGGGCTTATAAGGTAAACGTTTTCTTGGCTGAATGCCGAATCGCATTTTGATGCTTCCCACTGCATGTGTTGTTTTCTCTAGCTTTGTCTGTCGCTTTTTAGGTGAAGAATCCACTATAAGGAAGATTGTGAGTAGTAGGATATGATTACATGCCTTTAGTCATATCTTTACTTTGCCCATCCTGTGGCCTCAGAATTGGAGATGACCGTTAATTGCTAGCTTGAGCGTAGGTTGAGATTCCGGCTCACTATGGAAAATTGATTATTAGTTTAAGAATGCCTCCACCTCAGGGTGGCTCATTGTACTTGTCCTTGTTCAATCATTGGCACCACATGCGAATAAAATGGCGATTCTTAATGTAGCATTTTCGCCAAGTACCTTGGGTTATGTTGTGTGTTAAGAAGAGGCGTACAGTGAAGGTAGATGTCGCGATGTGCATTCTCTGGATTCTGTTTTCTTATGATTATCTTTCTGTGTCTTTCTTTTTTTTTGGGTTTTATATGTTCCTCCCGTTTATCACAGGTGGGAGATCAATACCGGTCCAATGATGATGGTGAACCTTCAGGTACAGCTGGGAAACCAATACATTCTGCTATCGAATCCTCTGGCATAGATAGAGTAATGGTGGTTGTGATCAGGTTAAAGTCTTTGCAGTATTGGTTTTTAACTTTTCACTTGTCTATATTAGTACTGCTTTCTCTAAATTTCATTCGTATATATGTGCAAGCAATCTCACTCAATTTTTACTTGTCAAGCATATTGGTTTAAACTAAGTGTAATTTGGAACTGCCAGGGTGGCAGCTTCCCTCAAGTTCATTTGTGCCCTTAGACCCTTTGTACAGGATTATAGTTTTAGCGTCAGTTGAGTCCTGTGTAGTGTGAATTAAACCTGGTCAAACCATTAAGCTCCAATGTCAATGATGTTCGGGGTTGTCAGCCCCTAGACCTGGCCCGGTTTAATGGGCTTTTGTATTTTGTAGCTTCCATGTCATTTTTTCCCCTTAAAAGAAACTAAGCAAGTATGATGGTGGAATTTCTTTTATCTATACCCGTGCAATTTTATTAACTTAAAAGTCATTATCATAATCTGGCAACTTATTAACTTCCAGGTATTTTGGAGGTATCAAATTAGGCACCGGAGGATTGGTCAGGGCTTATGGTGGAGTTGCGTCAGAGTGCCTGAGAAACGCCCCAACATGCCTTGTGAAAACCAAGGTAGTTCTTTGCTTGCACTGTAATGAATCTTTGATTTTTGCTTTGTGGAGCTCCACCTCTTGGAAGTTTTTAGATCTCAATATGCTTATGATGTGAACGTTTATGAAAATTTAGGTGCCAATGGGTGTAGAGGTTCCCTTTGACCTTTTGGGAGTGGTCTACCATCAGGTAAGTTCTTTTAGATGCATGTTAATGTCCCCTTTACTTGTCCTAGTATGCTGCTCCGTGGTTTTACTCGAGTAGTTTCAGGTAAGAGTAGGAGTGACCGTGGAAAAACTTAAACAGTACAAGATTTTCTCTTCGATTTTTTTTTTTAATTTTAGGTATATATTAACCATCATGACTAGCCCTGTAATCAGTTATCGTACCCCGATCTATTTTGAGCTTGATATTTGGATTTTTTTTTTTTTCCCACGCTTCGTTTCTTGCATTGTGTTCTGCATCCCTGGCTCAAGTAGTTCAAGCTAATCAGGACGTTGTTATGGTAAATGAATGTGAGCTGCATTGACACTATTTTCACTTTGATGTTGCTTTCATTGACGTGTGATGTTTTTGTCATCTTCAGCTGCAGTCTTTTAATGTTGAAGGCATCAAGCAGGATTATGATACTGGTAAAGACGGCACAACCATGGTCACCTTCAAAGTTGATTTTGATCAGGCTCAGAAATTGGAAGATGCGCTGAAAGCCAATTGTAGCAGAAATCTGATCTTTTATAAGAGGTGAGAGTGTCCTCACTCTTGTTTCTCGTTGAGGAAATGGCACTGATGAAGTTGGCGAGAATTGCAGCTACAAGCTCAGCAAATGCCTTTCATTTTGCCCCTTTTTGGGGAACTTTGTGCTGGTAATTGAGCTGGTTTACTGATATAACCCTACTGGTTTAGGTGGGTATTCAGTTGTATTTATTTATTTAATGTATAAAGCAAAACGATAGCAAACGTAATAAAAAGATTACGGAGATAATTCCTGACACGTAGGCCAGGAATTACTAAAAGTAAAGTTATAATTAGATATTATATTGGTCCAGCAAGTAAAGGAGAAAATGGGGGAAAGATCTTCGTTGTCTACAATTAGTACTGGGCAGCTGGAGAGAGCTGGAAAAGCTCTTTGTTCCTGCGGATAGTGGAAAGAGGAAGTGGTTGAATTCGGTTATCCAAGCGATAGCGCTGTATCCAGTATCCACCACAGAACAGGTCTGAGGCAGGCATTCAAAAAAGAGGATCGCATGGGCGCCGAGACCTCCATGAGACAATTTGCAGAATGGAGAAACGGCAATTAAATACATGTGATAATTCATCGGAGAATTTTATAATAAATGTTTGTGTCATGATCAAGTCTACCGTCATAATATCCGTGCAAACTGCTTCTTTTCTTTTTTCCTTTTTGCCTCGTTCTATAAGTAATTTATTCTTACTTTTATTGTCTTATTTTTCATTTCCAGAGTAAGGGATAATAATTTGTGTCAATTATATTAAATCTGCTTAACATGCATAATGGTAATTTTGGAAAATAATTAAGTGTCTGATAATGTTTTGAATATAATTACTTCCAATTAAAGGATGTGCATAGTAAAAAAGAAATAATAATTTTGGACCTTGAAAAAAAAATTACTTTTGTATAATTGAAAAAAAAATAGAAGTCAAACAAATTAAGGCATGATTATTTTTATAAATATACAAAAACATCACAAACATGATTAGCACTAATAGAGAGGATTGTAAGCCACGGTTAGCCCCTAGATAGCCTGTCTTCTACAGAATACAGCGTGATTATTAACCTGACCTTGTATCCTAGCACTATACTAATTTGATTATTGCGTCAATCCAAGTAATCCTAAAAAATTACAACACCGAAAAGTCACAATTATTGAGTCAGACGATGCATCTTGAAAGATGGCTTGCGCATGACAGCCTTCAGCGTCCTCTTCAGGACAACCATCCCTTCATTTCCTTTTTCCAGGCCTTGAACCCACAACACATTTCTGGTTCTCCCTCCTACATTCACCATCTCAGCCTTTACCACCTTGACTTTCACCGACCTAAGAGCCCTTGTAATGGCTGACATTATCCCTGGCCTATCCTCACAACTCAAGGTCGCCTTTACAAGGCCCTCCTCATCTTTACAGTGTTCCAAGTTCAACTTGTCTACTGCACTGGGAAACACAGTGATCTCACCTGAACTACTCGTACTAGCTGCTTCCAATTCCGATATGTTCTTTTTCAGCTCCTTTACTTGCCTTATAGTCTCCGCCAGTACTGATGCCTTGTCCATCTGTTCATCAACCCAAAGTAAGTACAAAATAAGGAATTTGGATACCCCGATCGATTCGACTGGTATGCTTAAGCCACTGAATAAAAATTTCGATGCGTTAGAAATTGACACCATGCGATGAACTGTTTTATGAGAAAGTTTGAGTTATTGAATGGTAATTCATAAAATACAATTCACCACAGTCTCTAGCTGCAGGTGTGAGGTGTCGGTTTTAATTTTTAAATTCCGTGGCTAGACTAAAGGAATGCATAATCTGCAAGATAGGTTGGGGAAATTCTCAGTAATGTACACTTGAGAGTATCATGCGGTGAAATTCACTGATACTTTAAATTTTTATGTAATTCTTGCAATTCATGGCGCTGCAAATGAACTTATAATTTTCTGATAGGTTAAGTGCCGCTCACTTTGACCAAGTTGGGGAGGATGGTGCGAAGGGTGGCATATTGAGCATTGATTCGCATCCTGCGTCTCTTCTCTGCTTCACTGTGTTTCTTGGCAGCGAGTAACTTGATCTCTGCCTTCGATTTTGGTTTTAAGAATGAGTTTCTGTATGTCTCCGAGATAGTCCCTCGAGGAAAGCTTCTTCTTAGCTTGTATACTTCCGAGTTATAGTAATTTTGAATCCGCATGCCCTGTTCTAAATACGTTAGTAAAAGTAAAATAAAATAGAACTTTTGAAAAAAAACAAGACAGGAGACACTTTTAACTGAGAAAAAACAACTTCATGAAAACCTTAAATGGGGACCACGTACCTGCCGAACTATGACCATTGAATTGAATTTGAATTCTTTTTCTGTAACAGATAGCATATATAGAGATGAAAAGAGGAAAAAAAGCAAGCAATGCAAATTCGCAGAAGGGAGATTGGGAAACTTTTTTACCTTGAATAGACAGAACAAAATATATCTAGGTAAAGAGGTGACAGTCTATTATTAATGAGTATTAATTATTTCATTGCAAATGAAAAATATATCAAAATTTAATAGGATTAGGGGGAATTTATTTGCTTTTTATTAATAGCAAATCAGAGGATGATCCTGTCATAACTCAATCAGCATTTAAAAGTGAGGTGATTTCAAAGTTAATTTTAGAATCTTTGTCATAAATAGATTATCTGTTCTTATGTCATCAACCCAAAAAAATCCAGAGTCTGTTTTTCTTTTGGCCTTTCTTCTTCTACCTGAGAATGTAGGACACAATTTTGAAGAGCACATATCGTACAGGTTATGCATGTTCAAGTCTTTATGAGACTCCACAGTAATTATAAAAATATGTTATGTACAAGCAGATAAGTCACAAGATATACCTGTGATCTGTGTGTGTGAAAAAATGATGTACTAAACCGAAGATCCTAAAATTTTTGAACAATTGTATGCATTCATAAATCACAGAATCTTATAGGCTGCATACAATGTTTGCTAGTCTTGTAGGCTGCATATCCCTCTTGATCAAGTCGTCAAGGTTCACTCATGCACAGTTAGAGGCTAATGAAGTAACTAGTCAATTCTTATATTAATAATAAGATCTATTACTGTTCTGTTTTTAAAGTTTTTGATCGCACAACCAGAATGCCCACCCCACCTGCTTGCTCAGATAAGACTTTGTTGTTGTTGACCAAAATGACCGCCAAGTTTCACAAGGTTCAGGATTCTTAGCTAAAAACTAAGGTCCCGTTTGGTAAGAAGTATTGAAAATGAGGGATACAAATTAGGATTAGAATTGAGAAATTCTATCAACATAGTGTTTAATATAAGAGATTGCTTGTTACATGACATTAGATATACCCATGTATGTGGGATTGGGGATTACCATAGGGAGAAGTGGTATTTACCAATTCCACTTTCATAGGTTTGCCTAATCCTATGCAATAAACAATTATTTATGCTAAATACTTTTTAATGATTTTTTTCAATTACAATCTCAATCCATATCTCTCATTTTCAATACTTCGTACAAAACGGGGCGAAGGGTCTTTTAGCTCATCATCTTGGTCTTGAGAAGAGAAAAGTGTTTCAGGTACAACACATTCAGTAAATGGGACACTTCAGACATTCAACATGATATGCATTTCTAGTTTATATTCATCAGTTTAAAAACAAACCTTCGAATTAGGAAGAGAGAAGAAAAGCAAGGGGCTAAGATTGGAATGGAAGCCACAAATCAAATCACGGACATCTCAAAGAAAGACATGTTGAAATCAGAGGATATATCATACAATAAGGCTGAAAAGGCATTATAGCCAAGAGAAGTTCCGGTTCCCAAATTTTTGTTCTTTTTTCTATCCCATTCATAGCTGTTCATGCGATGTTTTGATGATGATTGTATTATGGGTAATAGATCAGATATTTTGAAGTTGAACTAAACCTGGAAATGTTTTGATTCAAAAGAGTTTAATCACTAATTTCGAAGAAAGAAATTCAGCAGAATACACGTCTGAGGTAAGCTGAATATGATAAATCAGCCAAAATACACGCTAAGACTTCCGTTATACCCTACCAACCAGTAACAGCCACTTCAGGCTGAGCATCATCAAGATGAAAAAATTTCAGAACAATCCGAAGATGAGATCCAAATTTCCTAGAAGCTTAACTTCTTAACTGTATTGAAGGAAAAAGGTAAAAACATCCATCTTCTCCAAAAAATAGGCATACCTTCTAAAAACTATAGAATTGAAAAACCAAATCACCCACAACATGGAACAGATCATGCTCAGTATTTCTCTTCTCTTTTTTTTTTTTTTTTAAAATGAAAAACACAGATTATGATCAGTTGACACAGATTCTCTTCAAGGAAACCAAACATTTACAGTACTTTTTCATCAGTAGAACAAAATTGGTATTGCAGAAACCGTTAATAATAAGACAATGCAATACCTCGTTTCCTACTAGACGTTATACATTATCGACACCTATCATATGGACCTAAAGTATTTTTTATCTTCAGAGTGAGTAGAACACAAGCCAAGAACACTGAAATCTGCTACATGGTGCTAGGACTACTCAAAAAGTTACCAAAGTCCTCACCTTCTGTACCCCTTCCATTAATTAGCTAGTCGTACACAAACAAGGTCCTCACCTTCTGTACCCCTTCCATTAATTAGCTAGTCATACACAAACAAAACCATCTCCTTCTGTAATTTCCAACTCAGTCACCATCTTCTGCATCCAAATCCAACGGCTCACCATCACTATCCCGTGAAATATTTGCCTGATTTCTCATCCTGTTCCCGGTCATCTTCTTTGTGTTTCTAGCCACAGTTTTCACCCTCATCCGCCGCTTCCCGTTTCCCGAATCTTCATACATTCCCCCACTCCCCGCTTGCTCCGCATGCAAAACCCTTTCCTCTTTACCGATTCCGCAATTCTTTGATAAATCGTCGACGTCATCGTCCTCGGGGGTATCAGCAGAAGATTTTCCATTCTTAAACCAGCCTTCCATACTCCACGGTTTTTCCATATTGGACTTGCTTCCATTCACGTCTGAGTGTTGCGACGGTGGATACCTTAAAGGTACGTGCGCGCAAAAGCAATAGTATTGGTCTTTACCCTTCACTAACATGTCATTCGTTGGAGGCTTGACCAATATCCCCTGAAACACCCTCCTGCATTTCTGGCACCGCAGAGAGCAATCTTCGTATATGTTTTCATACTCATGCAGAGACCAACAATAAGGGCACATAGTCCAAAATGTGGCTTTCTGTTCACCTACATTCACGTTAGGACCATTGCTGGGTACAGCGCCAAATCCCTCTTGCTTGCTCCCACTACTATGTGTGCAATGTTCTTGGGGAACGTAATCGCCGATCGCCTGCTCGTATTCGGCTCTCTTCTCTGGGTCCGAAAGCACGCGCCACGCGTCGCGCACGAACACGAACGCTTCATCTGAGGATGCAAACTCATTTCTGTTTGGGTTCAAGAGCTGCGCGAGCCTCTTAAATTGATCACGTATGAGTTGGTGGTTTCCGGAGTCAATACGGCGTAGTTGGAGAATAGCGTACCAGTCGAAGTGGCCGTGAAGGCGCCTCTCGGCGGCGAGGTGAACGTCGGTGATTGCGAGGATTCGATCGACGGTGTCGGAGATGTCTGGGTCGGACCGTTGGATCCTGAGAGCGAACTCGCGGCATCTGGAGAAGTTACGAAGACGAAGCAGCGACTTGCATAAGCCGAGGAAGTGTAAGTTTCCGGGTTCGGGTCCGGACCCGCGTCCGGCGGTGCCCTTTTCTGGCTCCATTGTCGTTGCCTTAATCAAGTCAATGCAGCCACAGAGCGTCGCAGGGAAGCGGGTAAGAGAATAGAGATTAGCTGATGTGGAGCCTAAGGGGATTCCCACTGCACTTTTTGAGCAAGGGAGGGCAACGCTAGGGTACTCATGGGCCGGGGGCCGGGCCGGAGTAATAATCGTGTATCGTTTGATCCAAGTTAAACTTGCTCGTGGTAAACGGGAGTTGGTAAGCGGCTTGGTACTGTTTAAGCGAGGTTTCGGGTTCGAGCCTTAGCGTATACAAAAATTCTTATTGGGAGACTTACCTATCACAACCAGGTGCGCTACGTGGGTTGGATCCAGATATAATTGGAACAAAGCTGCGGTAAACTGGGTGGGCGACCTAAAAAAAAGAAAAAAAACTAACATTAGATTGTTTTTAGTGTTATTGGCAAAAAAAAAAACAAAGATGTGTTTTTAGTGTATCATATAAAGTTAAAGAAGTAAATCATATTATTCATCATTTATGAATACAATGAATACGGTTAGATTAGATAATTAGATTAAACGTGATTAGGTTGAATAGGCTCATAATTTAGCCAAAACTAAGATGTCAGGCATTGGACATCTCATTTACTCACATAATCAATGCCACATGTCCACATTGAATCGGTTATGGTTCACAAAAACAAGCATGAGGAAGATGAAAAACCAAATGTATGGGGTTGCTGGGGAAAATTTCAAGTCCTGAGTTCTTATTTAAAACTTTTGAACTCCCTAATAAATTATTCTAACTTATATTCTATCTAAGGTTTTAAGAAATGAGAAAGGCTAGGGTTTGGAGGACTTTGAACCCTAAGAAGTCCCTACTGATTGATTTGTATTTAAATGAATTAATGAAATTAGATTAAGTGTTCAATCAATTTAAATTTACTCTACTTCATGATGTGAAGAATTTAGAGTTAATGTTTGTAAGAAAAATGTTAGGTTGTGATCATTTCTCTTAGTCTAAGATTGTGATCCACTCGTGTGCAATAATACCGCTTAAGCCTAGTGGGTAAGAGAGGGAATCCCCTTTTCCTATATGAGTTTTGTTGCCTTTGGCATGACTACATATCATGAGTGATCTTGTGTTCAGTCATAGGTTTCAACGCGGATACAAGAACGATGATGTGAAGGTATATGTCTTGAATCGAGTTGTTGGTTACTGAAGTAATATCAATAAGAAATCTTAAAGAAAAGTTGTCCGTGACATGAGACTTGCATTCTTATTGCATAGCCCCGTTCCCATTTATCATGTGCTTAATTATTGTATTGTTGCCGCCTAGGATCCTTTTGGTCATTTGACATACTCATAGCTATAATATCCCATTTGAACATATTATTGGTTTTAAAGACATTTACATGATTTTTCATATCATTGGAGATGCATTGGGTTGCTAAGTGCACTTGGAATTGGACTGTTTTTCCCTAGGAACTCTACCTTGAGCATATTTAGAAGGTGATAGTTTATGAACGGAATTAGAATAATGAACGGCTTAACGAGTTATGAGTTTTTGTTGGGAGAGAGCTGTGAATTGGGTTTTCGATGAGTTAGGATTAAATAGTTATGTATGGACCAGTCCATTGAGATGACTTGTATGGATGTTTTGCTTGGTTGGCTCATGATGAATTATTGCATTGGGCCTCAAATATTTTTAGCCCACTCTTGACATATTTTAAATTAAGTTGGATATTTGAATTTTTGTATTCTTGGATCATTTCCTATTTAATCATGGCAGTCTTTAAATATTAAGTTTTGACCTTTTTACCATAGTTGATAGTACAAAATTGACTTTTAAATTCTATACCCGGATAATTTTATATATGTAGTTTAATTATTTATTATTAAATATATATACTAAATTGGATGTGCTTTAAAAATGCAGAAGAAAATATAAATTCATTTAATACAAAATATCCTCATTACTTGATATCAAATATTTTTTAGTCCAAGTATGATTTATTTGAAAAATACAAAATAACATCTTTATTTCATAATCATTTTTATTTTCATGTTGTTTTTAAACAACAATAAAATATAATTTCTCATATATGTTAAAAATAAATAGGCTAAAGCATACATATGATCCTTTTTGTATAAGGTTTCAATTTGGTCTCTTAACTTTAAAAAGTATACTTTTAGTCCCTTAACCCTAAATTTTTTTTTAAAAAATAATGACATTAAGATCTTGAATGTTGATAAAATATTCTCAAATGCTAACATATTATGTTTAATTTTCAAAACATCCATAATTGTTACACAAAATCATTATTAAAGCCTAATAATTTTAGGGTAAAGGATCTAATGTATGCTTTTTAAAGTTAAAAGACCAAATTAAAACCTTATACAAAGTTAAAGGACCGAATATATACTTTAGCCAAATAAATATAATAAAATTATTTGATACAAAAATAGCAAAACGTAGGTCATTATTAGTTACAACCAAACACATAATAGTAATGTATATGCACAGAGTCATGGATACATACATTTGTAAATTATTTAGTGTATATTGCCATTAACTAAACAAAAATCGTACTGTTTATGATTTATATATTAATTATACACACATATATCTGCTATAATATGAACAAGTATAGATATGACTTAATTTTCAAAACATGTTCAAGGAGAACCTCCACTTGTAAGTTTCCCAACTATGTAATGTAAAGATGTAAACCATAAAATGTTGATGATTTTATACAGGTAAACTGACATGAAAGAAATTAATCATTTGTATTGCCACATCCTATTCTTTAATTGTGTCCACACTAGCTTTTGTAGATGTGGGGAATTTGAATGCTAAATATTATTTGTCCTTATTATAACTAGAACTAGTTGGAAATTCAGTTTGATTCTAAATATAAAATCCCAAATTTATTTTATTTTTAATATTTATTCATTTTACTTTTAACTAATCTTTATAGTAATTACATATGTTTTTAATATCCCAAATTCAAGGTATATGATTGATTGGAGTATTTTAGAAAAAATATCTATTTATTACAAATAATTAACTTAATTGGTTTTCTTATAAATTAGTTATCTAAACTCTTATATCAAGTATTGGAAATAGTAATACACATCCTAACTTACACTATGGTCCTTTTCTTGAGCATCTTCAGATTGCCTGCGCAGCACAGATATGCACAACTACATCCATCAATCAGTCAAATATCTTCTCTTACATATTTTCGGGTATCACGGAAATGAACAAATATTTTCAGGCGCAAAAAAAAAAAAAAAAAATAGAGCCATATTCACGGGGGGAATTTCAAAATTGATTCCAGCAGTTCAATACTAAGTTGTTTTTACCTTAACTGACAGGGTACCGTTCTGCTTGCTACTGAAGGCAAAACTCTTCCTTCTTTTACGCCACAAGAGAACCATATATGTATAAATCACAGTCACTGCTACAATGAAGACCCCAATATACACGCTTGCAGTACCAACACATACGTAAACATACCTGCAGAAAAAATGATCAATGTGAGTCTCGCAATGCTTGACCTGTGAAGATGATAATAGCCGAACAAATTCAGGAAAAATCCCTTGAACTTCAAGAGTTCCTTTTTTTTTAGGGGAAAAAAATTCATCGCGAGTAAATTTTAAAAAGTTAGGACGGTTCAGAGTTTCCAACCATTCAACAGCAGTCAAAGCACTGAATTCAGAGAAGACTTACTTTGGAGAAAAGACGCTCCAAATAAACAAATGGTTCCTCATCAACAGCAACACAATCGTGTATGCAGTCAGCAAAACAGAATTCATGCTCAGGGGAACAAGGCAAGACAACCCAAGCACAGTCTTGAGAACTTCTCCTGAATTTCCATCCTTGGAAATAAGAGAATAGACGGTGTCCTTTACAGAGATGTACAGCACCATACTGACATAGAATAGCATGGGGGATGCATAGGTAATGATGAACATTAAAAGACCCGAAAGAAATGTTGAGTGACTTGATATTCCCTGCAATTGAATATTTCAATAGTTAGAAGATGGCCATCTCACAAGTCTTCAACCACAGAACAAAAATTTAAAGCCTTGTAATAATAATAACCCAGTGAATAAAAGGTTAGTTACAATAAAAGCTCCAGCAACATCAATGGTAGCCAGTGTATTGCTGTTCCCAAGAGCAAAATGACCTGCTGATCCCAGATAGCACAGTGCCATAATCTGAGAACAAAATGCAAGACAACAGTATTCAGTACCCGGTTTACATTTTGAGCCCTCACTAAAAAATTATGCATTACCAGAAAATGAATGTGAGAATGAAGTGCTGGTGGCGTTATCCAAGTACAATTTGCTAATTCACATCCAGATTACGAAAATCTTAATCTTTGTAAAGCAGTTTTGAACCAATCAGGCATTTTTAAGGCAGGACAAGTGATCATTTAAGTTGTGCAACTTGTGCTCCTTATATTGCCTACATCTCAAAACGAGAAACTCATGCTCTCCATCCTTGTATATACACTAGACCATGCAAACAATTAATGGAAAGAAACATTTTATAATAATTCTGATCCTTCTGAAAAATAGTCAAAGGAGGCTAGTATGAAATGAAAATTATAGATATCAACATATCTGACAACGATGATCTTTATTGATGATAGAAGAATTACCAACGTTGATTAAGCAGAACGAAATACATATAAATCAAAATTGCCAGTTTTGTCAAAATATGGGTGAATTTGCCTAGGATTTTATCTCTGTTTAAATTTCAAGTTCAACACAAGAATAGACACCTGTGATCATGAACACCATACTGACATAATTCTATGTAGTAGCAAAGGTCACATCTTGAAACTCTAGTCTAGCATTATTGTTGGCGCAGTTGTTACCATAGATAGAGCCAAGCTCAAGAGTTCATAACTAAATTTGAACTCTATATATTGAGAGAATGACCTTTATTCATAAGAGGATCTTGCAACTAACCTCAACCCATTGCTCACGATGCAATTCACTGAAAGAAAATGTAAGCATGCTGGCCAATACTTGAACAAAAAGCAACAACACAGGCATCGCATTAATAGGTTGTTGCAGCAACAGCTGTAGGAGACACCAAAACGTCACGTACAGACACCCAATCATATACAAAGCATCTTTAAATTCAAAAATTGGAGTCACATTCTGAATTTCAACAGGAAGCATTGTTAACTTGTTGGAGATCCATCTTGAGCACATATCAGGACTTTGCATAGGCTTAACCCATGGCAAAGCCACAACAGCTGCAAAAGTGGTGATTCCCAGGGTAACATAGATTATTTGTATTGATAGGGTAGCATCATCACTGGATGATGCAAATGTGTCTTGATGGTTCATAACATGTTGAAATATCAAAATGCCCAACATTAAGAAGCTGAATCCAACCACCAGAACAACTTTAGTCTTGTACCTCATTAAATATAAGGCAAAAAGGCCTAAACAGGTAATAAGGACACATGATGTCAGCTGAATCAACTTTATATACTGACTTCCATCCTGTTCAAGCCACTTAGATACATCAGGAAGGTTTGTCCAATTCACACCACCTTGATGCCAGCCTCTCAAAATTCTTCCACAAAAAAGAATCAAGAATAACAAACTCATTTCAACACCTGACCTTTTGATTTCTCCTTTTATCAAATTGAGATATTCATGTTTGCTATTAGATTCAAATGACTGTAATCTCTTGCGGATAAATATTAGAATAATTGATGAGTTAAGAAAATGCCAAACATAATGCTCTTCCTCGATCATAGAACTCGATCCCATACTTATAACCATAATTATTATGCCAAGCAAAATAAATGCCTCATCCATCTTCCATGACTTCAAATAAACAAGACTGTGCTTCTCTTCCCTAGGAGGAACTTCTTTGTGTATGAGAATCACAAGACTCAATAGCATCAGGGATGACATGGCAATCGCAGTGATTCCAGAAACAAGTAGACCAATTGGTTTCTGTACATGAGTCGTCAGGAGAAAGAACAGAAAGTGAGAAAAAAGAATAATTTTAAAATTCCCGGATATGAAACAACCAATTTTACACATACATCAGTTGATCTGTGTGACAGCCACTCACTTGCTCTTTTAAGAAACTCATGATATGCAGCAATAACGCTGCTGCTGTCTGTGCTGTTGAACCTACAAGATAAGTTGAGGATGATGTAAAGTATAATCAACCAGACTTTCTCTGCAGTTATGTTATAGATTTAGCACAATAGAATCATCACATATCCACCTTGATATCACTTTGGTTTTCCATGCATCATGAAGAGCAGCAGCATTTAGATATAAGCAACAAAACATCTCCTCCTTGCTACCATTACATTCACTAACTCCAGATCCACTATCAGTAATGAAGTCCTCACATGGGAAATTTTTACAAGACAAGCCTGGCAATTGCGCTTGAAGTAATCTAAATAATTGCCAAGAGTTCAACTGAAGCGCTCTCAATTTTTTATCATCTGCTCCATCAAATAAGTTGAAAAATAATAAATAAGATCACCAAACAATTTTTTTTTCCAGCCAAAAACACATTTATGTTCAAAAAAATGAAAGCAGATGCAAAAGCACCAAATGGCTTCTCTTTGATTTAAGCCTTGTATAGACAGGCATACCAGCCCAGGGAATAAGTGACCTAACCTGTCAGAGAATCAAATATTTTGGAGATCAAGACACCGATACTGTTTCTAGGTATTGGTACACCAAAAAGCAGAGCTAATGTTGGTGCAATGTCAACCTGGAGCATAATAACAACATGTAATTTGACAAATATGTAATCACTTATATGACAATATCCAGGGTTTCAGTTAATGGCATTGTGTCAAGCATTGAAGATGTTTGCATAGTTTAATGCAAAACATTTACTACTTGCTGCATAAGGATGGATAAGAACAGAAGTTGGTTGGTATGTTTGCTGCAAAAAGATTCTCCCCGAGTAATCAGCATCTTAAAACTGTTCTAATAGCAGTTTCAGGTTCAAGAGCAGAAAAGCTTCCATATTTGGGTTAATAAGTGCGTAGCCCATAGGCAGGAAATAGAGTTTAATTACCTGTGAAACTTGGGCATAATTGGATAATGCATGATCATAGACATGGTCTTTCAGGCCAATAAATAGAGCGAGGGAATCAGTTTCCTCATGTGAAGAACCACCATGATTACCATTCTCAGTCATGCCATGGTCACTAACCACCACCTGAATAAAAATATTCAACAGAGATGAACTAATCTAAGATTAATCAATAGACTAGGCATATAAAATAATAGTTACCAATAGCCCCAAAAGGGGGGAACACATTGAGCATTAAAAAAGGATCAAAGTAAGAGAAGCAGAGACATAAGGCCAATCCCATAATTGATAAAGATTATAACTGCCGACAAACATAATAAATACGGACATCAGTCATACGGACATGTTATGGAAGAATGAGGAAACTATCATCAGTAATTCCCGAAATCCTAGAATCAAGAGACATCATGGTATTAAGTTCATTTGTGTCTACTTAATGTTGCCAGATAATCGACAGCTTTGAACACAGCCAATGGTCATTTAACAATAACTTTAATAAGCAAGCTTCTCAATATAAATTGAATGTTCGTTCTGTTTTCTTATCCAAGCAAGTGTCCAGGCTCACATATGAAAGTAATTGTTAAATTAAATTATAGAAGTAAGATCTATAATGTTTCCAAAGGATAATCAACTGGTAAATACTAGATGTGCCAATATTCATTGTCCGTACAGTAGCAATGAACAATACAACAGATTCAAAAAATTAACTCAGGAAAGAAACAACGAAAAGGTGGTCACAAACCAGAAGAGTCCTTCCTTTGCCATTTTCTATATTTTTTACAGTATTCATATGAATCAACTTCACCACTTCATCCATTTCAGAAAGTTTCGGAATCATTAAAGCACTGAAAGAATAAACACCCGAGTGAAGCTAAAAGAACAGAATAGTGTTATATGAATAGAGCAATCAGATAATGATGATACCTGTTGCGTCCACCAATATGCCCAACATGATCCAAGCCTAGATAATGAAGAATCTAAAATATAAACTCAGTCAAGTGTATTTAAATAAAAATAAACAAACTACTGTTTAAAAGAATTACACTATCTAGAACAACAAATTATAAAATAACATGCAAGATTACATTTGACACGGATTCAGTGCCACAATAGCACGAAGGGGAAACATTGACTTACTAATAATTTCCAGTCATCCCGGCCAAGTTCATTCCCAAGATGTCGAGACACATTTTGATCTACTTGTACAGTATCTTTAACCTATATCAACAAGAAGCTAGTCAAAACCCATGAGATGCTATATGAGCTGATCAATAAATACAATTGCTATGTAGAAATTGACATTCAACTTACAAAGAAACTGCTCACACCATCGTGTCTCACAAATAAACCAGGAAATAATTTCAGCCATGTATCATCACCAAGCATAACCATGTTCCACCCAATCTTAAAGAACTTGGCTGAAAGAAGTAAGTGACAATGAGAATTACCACTCCTAGAGTCGTGTTTCTAAGAAGTTTGATCAATTATTCAAACATGATTTCTATGCTAACCAAGAACATTGTCCTCTAGGAATGCCTGGGAGTTGAAGTTCAAAACCACATCCAGAAAACCCCCAATGGCTCCAGAAACCATAGCCTGAAATGTCATTCAAAGATAGAGCAAGAGGGTAAGAAAAAGGGAAGGAAACCTATAAATCACGTGCACTTATTTTGTTCTTCCACTTTTAAATCAGCAAAGCAAGCCAACCTTCAAACGGGGCATGGTAACAGTTGGAGCTGCGGCAATTGCATGATACCCAACTGCCTTACCAGTTGCTAACAACGACTGAGTATATGGCATAGCTTCCACAAAAGCCTTGCTTGGAGGCCGGCCATTCTTGCCAAGCACAAATTCAGCTGGAAGACCATCAATGACCTAAAACAGCAAGATTTTAGATGATAACTTAATTCTGACATCGCCATTAACAACTAATAAGTATGCATGACTGAAAAGTCTTGGACCTCGACAATTATGTATTCCAACAGTTTTACGTACCATGAAGACAAGTCGGTCAAATGAAGGAGGGATTTCAGATACTGCCTACACAATAAACGATAAATCATTTTCTAAATAGATAAGAACGCACAAATCTAAACAAGCACTGAAACATGTTTGTAGTAAAAACAACTACTTTATATTATTTAACGTGAGCAAAGATTTCTCATGACAGCCCATCTTTGCAGCTTTTCTAATTGAACATGCATTAAGATAGAACAATGGAGTCTCTTATCACCACCGAAAAGAACAAGAACCAATAAACGACCAAATACCCGATACAACGACTCAAGCCGATCAGGAGGCAAAGATGGCTCGCTCTCATTCTCAATGCCATTGCACGTAGGCGGTCGGAAGCTCTCGACACCACTAGCAGGACAAAGAAAATTCAATTCATTACTGAGAAATCAAGTTTCTGAAATTCTCCAGAGGAAATAACACTCAATACATTAGCGAAGTCAAAAGTTAAGATCTCTCTCTCTCTCTCATGGAATAAGTTTCCGAAACTCTCCAGGTTTTTGCTTTCGAATGGATTGTGGCCGGGCGGGATGTACCTGTAGCCAGACAGAACAGGCTTGACAGGGAAGAAGCCGAACACGAAAACGGAGAGGCCGATACACTGGATGGTAACGGCGACTATCGTCAATAAAGTTAGCTTAGTACAGGTAATTGAAGACATCTATGGAAAGTGGAAACTACGAGCTACAGTTCGGAGATTCGGAAAAGATTGCGATCTCCCAGAGGAAGAGCAGCACAGTCAGCACCGGCGGAAGGTGAGTTTATGAAACAAACCAGAAAACGGTTGAACATGAAAAAGGAAAAATCCCACCAACGTTTGAATTCAGATAAATATAATTAAATTTTGGCCCAAAAAAAGATGAATATAATTTACATTTATAAATAATTTAATTGTTTACAGATTTTATTATATATATAATAATGATGTTAATTATCACAACACTATTTTCTTGCGGAAATAATTTGACTTTTTTGTGTGAATATAATTCGAGGTTTTTATTCCTACACAAATATCGAAAGTGATACTGAATAAAGAGGGATTAAAATTCCAAACCTGATTACAAAATTAATATCAAATAATTTTTAGCTGTAAAAAATTAAAAGATTTGACAAAAACTTGCATGCTTAAACAATAACTAAATTAATTATCTTGACCTAAATGTAAAATTTAATTTGTAGCGCAAACAAACTAAAGGAGCTCAGACCTTAGTTAAACAGATGCTTGGTGCCTATATATGCTATTATCCATCTTTTTCATAATAGTCTCATTTGAACCTGATTTAAATTACTAGAGATCTTTACAGACTTTTCTAATTAAAAAAGAAAAAATATTAAAATAATTAGCCACAAAAACAATTAACTTACAGAATAAACGTTACATTGTACCTAGAGATTCATTTGCCGCCCTGGAATAATGCAAAATACAAGAGACAACGCTGCTTGACTAACCCTCTGAAAGGGGGAAAATACATATGAAGACCTGAAATTTTGATTAGACAATTTTAAAAATCATAATCATTTTTAAGAATAAACACTGCTACTATATTTTATGAGATGTACCATTAAATTTTAAGAAAGCTGTCAAATTTTAAAAATGTTATAATTTCATGATACTTCCCTAAAATTTAGTAGGAATCTTTTTTAGAACATCTTATAAAATATTATGGCAACTTTGATCATGAAAAATAATTATGATCTTTGAAGTTCTTGAGCCTAAATTTGTAAAGAATTGGGTCCTCAGATATAATGTCTCATCATGTAAGATTTACAACCGACTCAAGTAACTCTCCAATCAGAAGTTTATGTCCTCACATCTTTCAGTACACCACCTTTTTCAAGCTCACTAACCATATCCCTCAACGATGGGACCTTCAAAGCCAAGGTCCTGTATAATCTAGAATACCTTGCTCGAGTTCCATCAGCTGTTCTGGCTAGGGCAAGCAAGCTCAGAGCCTCTGGGAGATCAGAAAACACATGTTTCATCTCCTCCAAGCTCATATTTTCCAAAATGGATGGTTTCGGGGCGACCCTCACAATCTCACCACCTGTAGGTTCCTGAACTCGAGCATTGGCTTTGATGACTAATTTTGAGTCCGAGTTTGCTCCACATTTGATTATGAATGGTGTGGAAGAGCCTGTGTTAAATTGAAGAACATTCCATTGTGCCACGTCAGTTTCAATTCCAGACCCCACATCAGTTGATGCCTTCCGAGCATGTGGTAGATCCTGAATACGGTCATCTTCGGGAATAGACTGGATCATATAAAACGGAAGAAAAGAATTAGGCATAGCAAAACTCGCCAAAGAACCCAAGTAATGTCACGAAAATCTGTCTAAAACTTATCCATTATTACAAGGAATAATAATGTTACACCACATTTTGATCTGTTTAAACACACTACCTTTTTTTTTTTTTTTTGACCGGAGTTTAAACACAAGACTTTACTCCCAAAGAGAAGTGCAAACAATTAACTTGGTTTCACTTCGTAATCCATTCACCATCTAAAAAGCTACCACCAAGTACACAAAAACACCAGGTAAAAGGAGGGTAGGCACCCAAATCAAATGGTTCCTGCTCCTTGCGAGACACGCTTTCTTGTTCATATACTCTTCGGTCCTTAATATAGGACCCATTTAACTAATTTGATTAGATTAAGGAAGTTAGGTAAGTTAGTTAATTATAAGAAATATGATACGTTTTTCCTAAAATATCATAATCATCTTTCTTAATACCTTTTTTTCCTCTTCTACTTAATTATGATTAAGGGAGTATCTATAAGAGTAATTTAGAAAAAATTGATAAATATGAGAAATGGGTCATATATTTAGGATCAAAAGCAATTCAACAATTGGGTTCTATATTAAGGACTGGAGGAGTAACATTTAAAGAGCAAAAGGTTGACACTAAAGTATGCCAGGTTAATTCCAATGCACAATCTAATTCCTTCTGTATTGACACAACAAATTTACAGACAAAGCCGAGCACAACTCTTGGCAGACAGCATACCTCAATCATGCGGCAAGCATCTGCAATTTGCTTCTGAGCACATGGATGATCAATTTCAAGAAGCGAAGGCATCCTTTGTGTTAGTTCATCCAGAGAAGCAAGCATTGTTCTTTTCTTACTGCCGCTCAAGGCATTCACATTAGCCTGTGCAGTTATATCCTGTTCAAATAATTATTTGAATTATTATTTCTTATTTAAATGATAAACAATAGTTTTTTTTTTTCGTTCAATAAATTTGAGGAAGAAAAGAACCTTGATTTGCTTTAATATGCCATCAAGTGCAATGAGGGATGCTAATCGGGCATCTTCAGCTGCAGTAGAAGGACTTTGAATTGGTGAGCCACCATCGTCCAATTTCAGCAAAGCCACATCACTTCTCATTTGCTGCAAAATCTGATAACGAGAAGCAAACAACGTCAATGCATGACAAGTGAACATTTACCCGACAAGAAAGTGTTGAGATTCCTCTTTAGTTGAGTACAAAACCTGCTTATTTGTTTTAATTTTAGTTCTTAATTCAATTTAGGATTTTTTTTTTTTTTTACCAGTCAATTTAGGATGATTTGTTTTTTGTTATTTTTAGATAACATTTCCATGCGTTAAGGATTAGTTTAAGTGTTTGGTTTTGATTCGGATAGAGTTATCATCTAAAAGTATAAATAGCACATAATAAGCTGTATTCAGTGAGGGCATTTTCTTCCCCTCTTTGGTGCAATCATTTTCTGAAAAGCTAATGCCATGATAAATACTGCAATTCAATTCATCAAGGAACTTTAATACATGCAACAGAAGTTAATATGTTAAGCAGGCAGAAATAAGCTATAATAGTTGAACAAAATAAAGCACCTTTCTTCTCTTGTGATCAACAGATTCAAGAGCTGAACGCAGCTTGGCTACTTGTGCAACATCTTCAGCCTCTTCAGTTGCCAAGGTACCAGCAATATCCTGATAACCAAATGTCAGAAGACATACATCCAACACATTATCTAAAATGTAAACGTCAGAAGTTCATGGATTAAAAAAAAAAAAAAAGTTGAATAAGACATGCATTTTATTCATTAATTAATTGTTCATTATTAATTAAATATTTCCACACCAATTCGTCTATTGTAATGTAAGACAGCATTTATAGCGATAATTGGGCAACCTGAATTAATGAACAAGTTAGTAAGTAGAGAAAAAGAAAATGATGTTGCATTACTCTCTGTGGCAACATTTTGGCTCAAACGGGGTTCAGATCAAGAGTTTAACAAGTGGAGAAAGGAAATGAGGGAAAAAAAGGTTAAGCTAATAAGTAGAATATGATAGGAGCGTACTTTAGACTCACATGAGGCTATTAAAAACCAACTGTAGTGTCCTGAGCATTGAATGTTATTTCCATCATCAGTAGACTTGTTTACCAGATGTGATGATAAGTATCCAAACTCTCAACATATTTCCCAATATAAACTACAGAGCTTCTTTAAGTATATTAGGACATCACAGTTCAACATTACACATACCTTCAGGTGCTGCAGTTGAGAAGTATAGACGCGTTTTGAATATTCAAATAAAAGCTGGCCAAGAGCATCAGTATTGGGAGGCATGGCAGCCCCGAGTCCTGCCATCCAACCATCCATAATTGCAGTTGAAAGAAGCTCCAACTGACCAGCTGACCCCCCGGGTGCATCATTTCCAGTAACAGATAAAAAATCAAAGTTCTCTGCAAGCCAGGATCTAATTTGCCGCTGCAGCTCACCAGCTGGAGTATGCACAAAGAGCGCAGCAAGACCCTTGTTCCCAATTGCGAAGCTTTTGGCTTCTTCAGTAATTTCCCTAAGCTTCCCACCAGTTACCTGCTGTCTCCAGGTGTCCTGCACATTCGCCACCCCCCAAACAACACCAGAAAGGAAAAAGGCCAACCAAAAAAAAAAAAAGGAAAGAAAGAAAAAGAATGGTAAGATAAACTAGATGAAAAGAAAAATAATCCATATAGCTAAAGTTCAACCTTCAATTCAGGATAATGCCCAAAATTAAAAAAAAAAAAGGAAAAAGAAATTATTTAAAAAACACTCAAGTTAGTTGATAGAACAGAGGACTACAGCAAAAGGAAAAACACCAAATTAGCAGGCTCTACAGAATGAAAGACGGGCCAAAAATAGCAGCAAACTATGGTTTTTCTGCTCTGTCGGTTTTCATTGGTGACTGGATTGGTAGGAGGATCAGTTCCCATTTTTCCCAGTCTGGTTAGCAAACTGTGGTTACCCTCATGAATTTTCCAATCGTTCAGTTGAGCTCCTCTTCATATTAGTCTGTAGAGCATAAACACAGAAAGCATAGATTATAGTTGCAGCTACCTGATCAATTCCACGTATCTTTAATACAACAGATGAAAATTTGGATTTCTTCTCTGGCTTCAGATTAACTTTAAATCCTTGGATCTGCTCATCAACATATTGCACAGGGGATCTTCCAGGACTATTCCCCCGGCTTGAACTTCTACTGCGCCCAGTGTTAGCTTTTTCAAGAAAGCACTCAACAGGCAAGACCTTCAAATTCAATGTGCAAAATTCAGCAAATTGACAAATGGTATGCCCAATACGTTCAACAGAACACTGCTAAAAACACATTGAGATAACCTTATAAAAACATAAAGAAAGTTAAGTTTGATAACCTCTACCCAATTACCTTGATGGATTGCAGTTCTGGCGATCTAGCAAGTAAAGACCTTATATACAGAATTCTAACACGAGAAACAAGCATCGTGTCCATTACTCGCTTTGGTTCCATTTTTCGAATAAAAGAGAAAACAGCATCCCTAATCTCAGCAAGTATCTCATGCTCTCTGGAGGCACCGGCTTTAATTACAGCAGCTAGAACCTGCAAATATTATAGAGGATGTTAATAAAATTTATCTAGCTTGAAACAGAGATTATCATGCTGTAAGAGGCTGAAACTTCTCTAGGCACTGTTTGAGATGCAGAGTAACAATCAATATTATTGAAAACGAAACATCAGAACATTCTAATAAATTAAGCTTCCATTAATTTTTAAATTTAATTAGGATGCATTGACAGAGCACGAACTAAAGCCAAACTTATAAGCTGAACCTCTGAACATTTTTTCACTTCATCGTAGTCATTGCTTCATAAAGCAAATACCATCAAGGAAGAGGTAAAAGGATCTAAACATTTTACAATCCTGGTTAGATTTTGACTAAAATAGACTTGCAACCCAAATATAAATTTCAACACAAAATGGAAAGTACAAAGCATTCATGATAAATCTTATGGCAACACTTTTCTGCTAGTTGAACCATAAATCAATCAAAACGCATACCAGCATCAAAAGCTTGTTTGCACCATCAGAAATGGCAGCAAGGCCTTCATCTTGATCTGGATCAAAGTCATTCAGTGCAGCAGTAAGATATTCACCTGCAGGGGTAGTCTTAACTTTTTCAGAGCCAGCTTTAACTAAGGCAACAGTTCCATCATTTTTATCCGAGGCCACAGGTGAAGGAAGGGCATCCATAGAACGAGCTCTTGTATTATTGGTGTCATTCCTGTTTCAAGCCAGTTAGAAGAAGGTCAATAGCACACACTTGTACTAAAACAGGAAAACACACCGTAAGTGGAATAGCTTATACCTCCCTGCATCTTGAGGTTGAGCATTAGTTGTCCCTGTAGATGATGGGCTTGAAAGCTGAAAACAAAGTGTCCATTAAGATTCAGATATCAGAAGCACCATATGGATAGATAGCTCAGAAACATCAATTTCAATACAAATTAAATGCCATGGTATAGATTGATACATTGCTGAATCACTAATTGCTAATATATGTGACCAAATGGCATATGTTACTGGTTGATGAAAACAATGGGAATTATGATGGCACAAGGGCTATGAATATATTGGATATTAGCCAAACAGATGGACCGATTTATGGATAAGAAAATCTTCTGAATCACAATTGTATTTGCAGACAGAACAGAGAGACTTTGCATCATTTAGTTGCAGTTCTTTGTCATTACAATCCATTATAAGAACACAAAAATACTAGGTGGAGCATAAACTGATCATAAAACACCAAAATTATGAAATTATGGAAGGCAAAAAAATTTAAAAAAAAAAAAAAAAAGGCTGTCTGACGATAGGACTGACAAAAGATCATATAATGCTTCTATTCTGTAATGAATCGAATTTTGGCTACCTGAGGAGTCACAGCCAGCGATGCTTTCTCAGTCAACCTATCAAACAACTTCTCATTTTCTTCATGCAACCTCTGGAAAACAGAAAATTCAGCTGGCCAGAATATAATGCAACTGAAGGAAGCAAAAAACTTAATGATTTTTTTCAATAAAGACATCAATAGTTAATGAACGTTACAGAAAATTATTCAGAACTTAACTTAAGGTTCAGCAAAAATTTTAGCAAGTAGTTTCTAGAAAGCTCAATGAAAGATGAAAACCGAAATATCAAGCTGAGATGTCTAGGCTGCAGTTCCAGTTATCCCCACCCCAGACCCTAATAATTTAATCAATCCATGATCCATCCTCCCATTCACTTTGCTGAAATTTCTTTGAGCCGTGAATGCAAACATGTACTTTAATATGCTCTTATATGCATAAATATTTGTATTGATGCAGTGTTATAACCAGTTATGCCTTTTTATTTAGCAATATGACAGATTAAAGTTTTGAACCATAGATCTCCTTCAACGCTACCTAAACCCTGTCACTGATACCAGCCAACTTCTAGTGGCTTCCAATTAATGCCTGTTATAGTTTTAATTAGCTACAAAGACAAAATGTAGACCAACCAAGTCAAATGCAACAACCAGTCATTCATAACAGACAACAAATGGGAGACCAGTACAGAAAATTTCAGGCATCAAATCACAAATTATAGCAGACCTCAATCAGAGCATCTCGTTTCTTGAGTTCCTCTTCTAGTTTCTTGGTAACTGCAGAAGAATCCATGCCATCTCCTCTGGCATTGGATAGAGCTCCAGAATTTGGCTTGGAGTCAAATGTTGAACAAGGTCCGTTCGACTTCACGGCTTCATTGAGTTGCGTTTCAAGAGTCCTTGATTTGAGCCTGTAATAGTAAGTACTTTGATAAGCTGCCAAACACATAGGGCAAAAAAAAAAAAAAAAAAAGATGATCTGATACATTCTTTCTAACGCCTCAATTAAATTCATCAAAACCATATTAAAAAATAACCCAGCAAAGGAAACAAACGATCATGTTGAAACTTCCAAGAGATGAGAAAAATAAGTTCAAGAATGCCCAATGCTTCAACTTGTGGCAGAAACAATGCTCTATCAGTTGTGTGTTAGAAGTACTACAGCAAATCCATTAATCAGTATTCCATCGTAAGTCTGATGAATTCAGAAATAAAAAACCCTATCCCATAATAAAAAGTGATCTCTGCATCAGCTAAAAGAATATCATTATTATACACAGCAAAGCATAATGACAACTAAAACTTTGATTTTTGCTGATTCTCTAGTCTGTGCTTGGCATCTGAGTCCTCATCCAACTTAAAAAGAATACAAGCCTTCCTGGCAGTTTAATACTCCACAACTTTACATCAGAAAACAGATGTGCTTATCAGAATACGACAGAAACTAGACTGAAAATTCATATACTTCTAAACTGATATTGAATCGAACAACAAAAATGCGACATACCTGTAAACTTTGGATGGTTGAATCTTGCTCTTGTATATGCAATTTCTGCTCTTGTTCTAACTGATGCAATTGAGCCACTTGATTTCTAAGCTGAGCATTTTGTTCCTTTTCTATCTTATGCTTATCCACTAACATAATATGCTCTGCCTGCAGCAAACAAGAGCAGAAATATAGCTTATAACAGGCCTCACCTAAGCAGAAATACTATGTCTAGAGCTACCAACCATCCATGAACAGAATGCTAAGAAAGCTGAAAGAACAGAAATTGGCAGATCTTGCAGAATACAATATCTGAATCTCCCAAAACAATGTAAATAAGATATCAATCCTTTCAAATGAATACCAATTAACACTGCTCCGTTCTTCATAACATGGAACACTTAGAAACAAGGATTAAAGGACATGTTAACCGTTCGGAGAGCTCCAAAAACCAGTGAGGTCCATTGAGTCTTTTCCTCATTGAAGTTTGAGAAGGATACAAATAAATTCCATACCACCTCTTGACCCAAAACCTCAAGGAAAAAGGTACATGGATCCAGTCTACTTATATACTTCTTTAATCCAATTCTATCAAATATGAAACTTTATCTTACTCTTTACTCACATTTGACCCCAACTGTCTTTTTCTCAGTTGTAAGTCGATCACATCATCACACAAACATGCTCTCCTTTATCTCTTCCATCAATGGCAATCCACTCAGAAGAGCCCACCTTGTCAATATGACCGCAACTAATAGGCCCTCCAAATGGGTGCAAACGTGGCATTCAACCCACTTGAGCCACGTCTACATGTCTCAATCAAACCATCAGCTCTAACACAACTATTAAGGCCCATAAAAGGCTCAAACACCAAAGAGCACTATTCAGTCCTCTTTTTTTTTTTTTTTTCAATTGAACTTTTACGAGAAAGTACACAAGTGAGTTTGACACCAAATCTCGAACTTTTTAAAGGAATATAGGGGTCCTTTCACTTTTTATACTTCTCTAATCCTACTTAATGAGGTTTTTTCGCTCTCTTTACTCACAATTGACCCCAATAGGGAAGTCAGGTCGTTGCACTTGTTATACCTTCCTAATTCATGCAATAATGCAAAAAAGTTGAACAGAAAATCCAACTATGAACAAATTCCATCAGAATATCCACAAGTTGCGCTTCATCCCTAATGTAATTTAATCACCCATGAAACCATGTATTATTGCATAATTGTTCTGATATTTTGCAGCAAGAAAAACGCATATGACTAAAGGAATTAATAATATTTGTGGAATCCATGAGCAGAAAATTCAATTGTCACATCACTAAAAATAACCTGTCACTAAGTAAAATTGAAAACCATGCTAAAATGCATTAGACTACAAGACCTTTAAATCTGTCTGCAAGGCAGAAGAAACTTTCCACGCCTTCTGTACTTCATTGAAGAGTAGGACACACTGATCATTAGCTTCTTTCAATGCTTGCTTCAGTCCTAAAACCTCTTGTTTCAGACCTTGGACTTTATTTTCCTTCTCATGCAACTCCTTCCGCGCATCATTTGCCTACAAGAACCATAAAAAATTAAATTTAGTAGATAAACAGCAAATTAGCAGTGAAATCTTTATCACAATCGCCACCATATATCTTACCAAGAATATCTTGTAAAATGTTTTGCTATATAGGCCAAAACAGCTTATGAATTAAAAAAATTGAACTTCCTACTCACGCTCATTGAGAGCATATACAATAGGGATATATAATGAACTCGAAGTAGGTCCTAAATTACTCTCTTTCTCCTCATATAAGTTTTATTAAGTAGCAAGCCTAGATAGATGCCAAATCAGAATTCTTCGCTCATAACATTTCTAAGAGGCAATTGTTAGTAGGTTATCACTTCCTCCCGTTTCAAAACGATTGTCTCTTTAAAGTTTGATTAAGGCATTAATTAATTTTTGTACCATTTTATCCTTCATTAAGGGTATTTTAGTAAAATAGTATCAGATATTATTATAATCTAGGCTATAGTAAATTCCTCGTCCTTGCACATAATTTCAAAGCAACATTTATTTTGAAACTTAGACAGCATACTAAACTGCCTTCCACAAAATCCAAAGTGATGAAAGTAATCTTGTTGTTAAACCTTCAAGATGGATAGATGCAAATACAGACATTTCGAGCATTGGCTGATGAAATTAATGTTGATGAAAGTAATCAAATATCTATAATCTAGGCACAAAAATAGAGCATAGGATCATTCGTGCAGAAGGAAACAGGTCGCAGAGGAACTTACAACATCTCTCCACTTCTTAATTGTATCTCGATTTCCTAGGCTTAATACAGAATTTCGAGCTCTAGCCGAGAAATTGAGAGATGATAATGTCTCGGACAAATTTTTAACATTTGGACAGACATTTACCATCATCAGAGTTTTGGAACTCGCACCTACAAAAAGAAATGGACCATGTGTGTAAAACATTCACAATAGTAAAACCTTCAAGATATAAGAAGCTCACTTTGCTAACACCAGAATGGGCCTCAGAAAGAGGTGTATTCAAATTATGGATAGATGCAAATTCCATGTCACTATTCAGGTATTTTAATGATGGCTAATCTTACCCAAGAGAGATCACCTTAACCTAAAAACAGTAGCTAAGAAATTTAGCGTCAACCGTCAAAAGGTTAAGCTTTCAGGATATTTGGCTCCTTCACTTATAAATGCTGTGTGCATCTACTCACTGGTTTCCGACTTTGCTAAAGGGTATCTTATTTCCTCTGCCTACCTACATCCTTCTCTCTTGTAAAAATGTTCTATTTTGCCAGAAAATGAGTTATTAAAACAACGATTTCTCTCAGCAGTAATCAATTATAAACTCTTTCACACAGGACTTGACCTTTAATTGAAATTTAAGAAAGATTCCTACAAGAAAAAAGGCTTACAGAGCATTAACTTTGAATTAAAAATAACGGTTCAATAATTGAATAATCATAAATAAAAAGGAATTAGAACAAATGGAAAGTGCAGTTGCAGCATGCATTTCCATATTAGCTCAAAGATTCACAGCATAGTGAAATCAAAAGCTCATGTGGCAGAGCATCTAAGGATTGACTGGATTGCACCTTAACATTTAAAAGCTTATGAACATCTTAACAAGCAGAGAAAGTTTTTAGTTACCTTTAATCAAGAAATAATTCCTATAACTACTGTCTATTAAGACCAAATAGACTTGACCATGAGTAAATAAACAGAATGACTGAAGGGAAAATTGTTACCAATTGAATCTGCAAGCAGATTTGTAAGCACTGAATTCTCATAAGGAACAATATCCTTCTTTGAGGTCAAAGAGCACAAAACATCCCCCAACCTGCAAAAACATGCGGCGAGAAGATAGTTAAAAGTGTTTCCTCTTTATTTTCACCCAACTTGTCGAGCACTTCAGTATGAATGGAATAGGAAACTCCATAAATTCAACAGGAAAACAAGCAAAGGAGTGGGGGAGTGAGGGAAGATTAGATTTCAGTTTTTGTGGATGTTTAGTATACTTTGCCTCACAAGGATAAGGGAAAGACGAGCCTGAAACAGGCTATAGGACACCACCACCAACTATCCATAATTCTGATCTCCAAGTAGAATTAAAGCCATTAAGAGACTGGTTGCCTATGTTGTTAGGATCGCATATTTATCTGTAATTATTTTCTATTGTATATGTCACAGTTTACCCCACCTAGGGATAAGGCTTGTTGTTGTTGTTGTATATGTCCCAGTTTTCTAGGAACATAATCAGGCAGTATCTTTAGACTAATTATTTCTATTCTTCCCCGATCTCACTGCGGGAATCTGGCCAGATTTGATACTTGGTCTCTTGTATATATCTCCTCTACACCATAATGAAATATACATGATTCAGAATGCTTAAAGTCACAGCCTAACATAGCAACATCCACACCAAGAAATAAATTCCGATGTGGCATATCAAAAATACTAGAAGAAGAAAACTTGAGTGCTATTACACCTAGTCACATGAGCAACCTGGACATACATCTGATTGACCATCAAGCAGAGAGGATATTGTTGATGAAGAGAAAGGTAATGAGAATGACATACGCTGACAGTGACTTCATAACATGCAGCAAATCTGTCACACGCTCCCCGCTATCATCTTCTGTTATCAGACCTTCACTTCCAGCCAAGTCAACCAGAGAAAGTTTGCTATATGAGCTTTCCCCAGTGATCAAATGGTCATAAAATATATGTATTGTGACAATCCTAGTAAGGCAACACATGAAATCCACAGAGCATAATTAGTGAAAGCACTCAGAAAATTATTTAGTTACATAAAATAGACGGATCCAGATATCAACTTCACAATTAATTACTATGAATTATCACAAGTCATCTCTTTTACAGAATAAATCAGCGATAACTACAGAAAAAATGTTATCGCAAACCAGTGAAAAATCAGTCTTCATTTAAGCTTTAAAACCACATACCATTCATTACCAATGTTTTTTTTTTCCCTCCCAATTTTGTGCTTCCCATCAGTATTTCAAGTCATGCAATGAAAATTTCTAAAATTCCCTCCAGCATAATAGGTTACATCCTAAAAGTAAATAATTTCAACAGTCTTTTGTGCATAACCTCTCCGATCATTTTAAGCTAACCATAGTCAAGAAGTTAAGAGGCAGTGCACAAAAAATCCATGAAAGATTTGTTTTAGGGGGTGAAAATGTGCTGTTTGTATAGGTTTGTCATACAGTAGAAAACAGTGAAAAGGAAAAGGTCACAGCAGAATAAATGCATAACATTAACGTGGAATTTAAACCATACAAATGAGAGACATTAATCTTCGATAAATCATTTCCTCGCTTCTGAAATGCATTTTTCAAAACCCTAGAAAAGTCAATAGGGTTTTCAACTTTTTCCTGCACCAGTTCCACAAAATATTGTGGTGATCCTAAAGAGAGTTTGGGCATGCTTTTCCCCGACTCCAAAAGTAGATCCCTTGTCTGCATAACCACATTAAAGGGGCTTAGTAAGAACCTTAAAAACCCTATCTTCCTAACAACAAAAAACCAGCAAATCAAACCATAGACACAACCATGTAAATTGTACATGGCAAGAGAAATAAACCTGTTCATTATAAAGGTCAAAAATTGTAACAGAGAACTTGTATTGAGAAGTAGAAGTTGAATCTGAATTGGCCAAATCAAACAATTCTTCAAAACAACGAGCATATAAACCTCGATCATAGCTTGGTCCTTCCTAAGAAAGACAAATGATCATCCAAGAAGCAATTCATTAGGCCAAAAATTCATTTAATTGAGAAGCAAAAGAAAATATAGAAAAGGGTCCACACACAGGACAAGCATATGAATTATTAAATCAGTATTAAATTTAAGACCCCGACTCAGCTCTTTCTTTCTCTTGAAAGGCAGGGCTGGTGATTTGCACACGCATGCATGTGCATGCTAAAAGTTTAAGAAAGAAAAATCAACCATAGTGTGTGTCTTTCCAGAATGTGTCTGCCCATATGCAAATATGGAGACATTGTATCCATCCAAAGCTGACTGCACCAGTGGCTGAACATCGTTAAACAATTCGGCTACAAATAAAAAAATAAAAAGGGTTATTCATGCAAAATATTATATGATTGCCCAAATGTACTTACATAAAACAAAACCATGTTACCTTGTCCAACGTGAGGTCCATAGACACGATCAAATTCAAAATCTTTCTTGGAGTTGGACAATGATTCATCACCAGTGTTTACACGAATAGTATATTCATCTGGGAATTCAACAACTGAGGGACCTTCATCTTCAAATAATGGTCTTGCACGGCAGTATACTCGGATGTTTCCTGCAAATAATAGTATGACAAAATTCAAGATATGTAGAAAGAACGAAGGCAGAAAAATCTTTTGTAAAATATGGAATCAGAATATAACATAATACATCATAAATTAATAAAGATGGAAGAAAATTTTCTATTAGAATACGAGCAAGGGTTTTAAACTCATACTGCTAGTAAAGCCTAAGGAGAATCTCCCAAAATTACAATGAATCTTAAAATCTACTTTGCCTATCTCTACTAGTTTTCGCCTTATTTATAATATAAGAACAGATATTAAATAATAAAAATAAATAAATAACTGACTAGATTCCAATAAACATTGACTCAATAATTAAAAAAAAATCCCAATTGAAATATTTATAGATAATATTTCTTTATTATTTGTAACATAAGTACTTGTTTTGGCAGCTAGACATACGTTATCAGCTCAGCAAAACATTAGCACCAGAATATACTTAGAAAAGTCAAAAGATCAGCTACCTTAAGTTTTAAATACTGTGATCCAGAGGCAGATGCAGCAATGCTATTTGATGACTATAATTGCCGTGCATCCATATAAAAGAATATTTAAACAATTTGTTAAATTATTAAAAAGATCAATATCAACATAAAATATATAATCTATATAAACCAAACTATTTATAAGTCACGAAATGCACAGCTCCTCCAAAGCTCCATGCATAATTTTTTTATTCTTTCAATCTTTCTCCACACACTTAATTGGGCCCCATGCAACTCTTTAATCTAGTTCTCCATTTTCAGCACTGCTTAAATGTTAAGAAAACAAATACAATCTTAACAAAACTTTCAAGTTCTTATCCATCCTGTACATTGCAAGGGGAAAGTATCTAGTTACTTTTATAATGTTAGAGTTAAGAACATCTATTTTAATAGACTAGCTTTAGACATGGCTTTTTAAGCAAATACTACAAAATCGATATTTATTTCCCAAGATTTGGTACCTCGCAACTACAAGTGTAAGAGGTTCAAAAATAGAAATAAGTAATATTATTAAGAGGCAGATGAGATTAGTAATAAAACTTGCAGTAGATTTAGTGTGGGCATACAAGACACCAATGGATTTAGACAAATAAAGTAAATTTCTCTTCCTCCATAGTTGCAGTGATGTCTATCTGATGTTTTCTAATTTTAAACCACATCCTTCTTGACTAATAATTGGCAATGGGGTAGTTCCAAATTCACAGTAGAGGAACTAATACAATCTCCACAATATGTGCCCCAGTTCCCATTGTAGATCCAAACTTACATCATATGATGTGCACAAAATATCTCTGAATAAAAGTAGATATAGAAACAACCATTAATCAATATCAACTATTAATATTACATAAAGGACAATTACCTTTAGATGTCAACAAGTCATTGAACAATCTCCTCTTCTCGTTGATAATTGGCAAAATTCTGGTTTCAGTTTCAAGGGCAGCTTGATCTAACATTCATATAGGTGGCACCAAAAGAAATTAAAAATTTAATAACAGAAAACCAACAGTGAAATGACTACACTAATAATAATAACCACAAAACCAGCGCAGGCAAATCTAGGCACATTTAATTTGTGCAATTGTAAGAAACTAAAAACACCTCAAACGAAAATCTGCTATATTTCTCATTGTTGCAAAGTCATAGCACATGTATACTATATGTCACGACAAACTAGTTTCATACCCAACTTGCGGGTCTTGTCTGCAAGAACACCAAGGTATCGGGTAACGCGGTCAAGTTTTGCATTTGAGTATTCTTGAAGTTCACTCGCCTCTTGCCTTAACTGCTGGTAGTCTTCTCTAGCGAGCTGTGCAAAATATCATATGTATTTGTTTAAACAGGTGCTTAAATTAAGAATTAATGGTTCATAAAAGATCCACTAGTAAACCACATGCTTTTGAAAAAATCATATTAAAATTGCTCATAACGATGTACTTTCGAATCCAATGCAGGTTTGTTTTTTTTTTGGTTGGATGATCCAATAGTGTTCCATATACTGCAATTATATGAATGAATTAAAAATATATTGAGATGATATTTATCAGCCACAAATGCAGGAAACAATAATATTTGGTAAGAAAAAGAGCTTTATGCTGTCTCTAACATTTGGTGATTAGAATTTAGACTAATATGGCAAATCTTTACAATGACAATAATCCACGCTCTTTGTAGAAGATTATTTCATCTTAATAAGCCAATAATGCACCTTCATAATCTCCAAAATAGCACTTGGTTTGCTCATAAGTTGTACATTCCTAACATTCTGCTCAATTACTGCATTGATCTAACAGCCACCCACACATATCTGGGGCTAAATTCATTTCATTGAAACTGTGAGACCACCATCAATGTGTTCTTCTCATCATCACAGTCCATCAAACATTACAACCATGACAACACGCATCCAGCAATCAAATAAGGTTCAACCAAACACAATGGGGAGCTTGTGACTTAATTGATTTCAACAATAGAATAAATGACGCCAAATCTTCAACAATCAAACTGATCGTTTAGTAAGATTTTTCAATCGACCAGCAACCATACGAGTTTTGGATAACATGGCATATAGCTCTAAAAAGCCTCAGCATGCCTCAGATGATCTTACTAAACCTGCTCCCTACGTTTCCATTGAACATAGAAAATTGCTGGTGAAATGTAAAGATGAGCTTCATTAGCACTGTCACAGTGTCACATGCACCTTAAATTTTAAGCAACATGCTATGCATAGTAGCAAAAGAAATCAATTGGTTTTCCGTACTGGAGTCTCAACAAATGTTAGCTGAATCTGATATCTCAAGCAATTGCTGATAGAAGATAGCATCTAAAATTGAATCCACATGCTCCAATAACAGTTCAAATAAGGATTCGGGATTGAAGGCGGTGAAAACCTTCTTTTCTTACAGTCTTCTGTACATAAAAAGAGGCACATTCTGCCCCTCTAAATCCTGCTGTCCAGCTAGCAAAATTATAGCTTAAAACTGGAAGCGGCGACTTTCCAGAATTATGCAAAGTACTTTCTCAATATAATGTCTTACGCGGGGAACCAGATATTAACCGCACCACAGTGGACAGAATGAAAGGTGACTTTATGTCCTAACCTAGTTCAGAGTATACTGTCCAAATTCCGCGACGTTCTATTGACATTAGCCAAGACGGGGTTAGACTCTGGAACTTCAAGACATGCACTTAAAACGATGCTCTCCTCGTCATCGTCACTGATAAGCACCCCTTCTCAAGAATACATACATTGCCATTAACAACGCTAACATAGAGTAGACGCTAAGACTCTCACAAGAAAAAGCTGAAAGCCAAAATTCATCCAGCAGGTTGGAAGAGGAGGAGGAGGAGACGCAGCAAAGATGGAATGAGAACCCATTACCTTAACTTTGTCCCCCAATCGGTGAAGCTTGGAGGCCATGGAGTGTTTGGACATCTCTGAGTGCGGAAGAACCGAGGAGGTGGAGATGGAATACCTCCTTACCAATGGTGCAGGGGGCTTCTGATCGTGTTGCTCAAATGAAGAAGAGGAAGACGAAGTCGGAGACTTCCATGGGTCGAACCCACTCACCTCCCAGTTCCATTTGTTCTTCTGTTCCGCCATTGATTGGCTGCAAAGCCCTCAATCTGTGCTTGGATTTCCTCTAAAATTTGAAACTTGAGAATGCAATCCAGAACATTAAATTTCGTCCCAAAAACAAAAAGCTCAAACATCAAACAAATTCAAGTAAAAAAAGGAAAAGAATAGGCTCAATTCAAGAGCTTTATTTTTGTCATTATTGTCATCACTGGGACTAGACTAGTGATGTCCTTCACCTTTTTGCGCCATAAACGTTTGACAAATTTTTATATATTTGTTTCAAAATTGTATTTTAAAACTCATAAGGTAAAAGGTTGGCAAATAAAAGTATAAAACTGATAAAGTAAAAACATAATATTTCATTCAAATTGGTTAATTAATTATTAACTATTGATTAATACAGTAATTATTAACTTCACGGGTTCTTTGCATATTATCTGAAACCAAGACAGCACATCTTTCTGCAGATTTAATTCTCTTTTTTTTTTTTGGCAATATATAATTGATTAATTCTGAACTAGTTTCACTGCTCGTTACTTTAATAAATATCTTAAACTTATTAGATTTTAATTGTTCATATTTTATTTGAATAGCCTGAATTTGATTTTTTTTATTTTTATTTGTTCAAAGTAATTATTTTAATATGTATAGAATATAAAATAGAGATAATCTTTTAATTATTATTTTTTTAAAAAAAGTCTTTTCTGTTTAAAAATAATCAATTAAAGATTTTAAATCTGAACCATTTAAATAAGATATAAACAGTCCAGATCTAATAAACTTGTACCAAAACTAGTTCGGATTAATTCATCTTACATGTTAAAATTTAAATGGAAATATTCCTTCGCCGTTAGGTTTGTAAGCAGAGTCGTATGTACGGTGTCGTTTTTAAATGGGACACTCTTGGGCCTTTGTGGGTCACAAATTAATGTGCGCTTGTTATTCGTTCACACTTCGTTCTCGGGAATTTGTGAAGGATTTTGTGTTGCTTTTGGATTGGAGGTGGAGCTCCAAGATAAGGCAGAAAGGGCGCCACGCCAGCGTGTGGCCTGGAGAGTTCCGTTACCGGCTCAAGCTTCAAGTTCAATTTTGTTCTGAACGTATCATGATCAAAAATCATATTCATAAATTGCAACAACAACAATAATAATAATAATAAATATATTTAGTAAATCATGTCAGAGCCCTGTGAGGAAGAGACATACTGAACCAAAGATGAGAACATTCTCGAGTAGGTTCCCAGCTTTTCCATCCCATTTTCTTCAGGTTCACGTTTAGTCATTCCATTATTATTGAACAGTGACGTACGTATGTGCTTAGTAATTTCGGATGTGTTGTTTTGCTGTAATTGTGTACTAATGAGAGGACATTAGAGCAGTAATTGCTGGTTTGTGTTTCTAAGTATTCGGATTTACATTTGTTTGGTATGTAATGAGTAACGTGTGCAAGCGCATAACCAGGCAAAGCCAGCTAATTTCCCAGCTCTGGTCGACGAGTAATCCATGCAACCTGCTTCTTCAATAGTTGTATCTTCGTTATGATACCGGGGCTTTTGCTTCCTTTTTTGCATTCCCCCCCCCCGGGGGTTCCGTGGAGTGTGGAGCTTTTTTTTTTTTTGGTACAAGAGTGTGGAGCTTTTTACAGAGGAAAGATGGAGACCACGTTGCTAGATCCAATATCTGATTCCTAGTTTCGGCCTCTAACTCTGGTCCATGTTGGGTGTTTGCAAGCTCTTAGCCGCTTTTGGGCTTTACAAAGGGATAAGATATACCACTTTGAAGTACTACCTCATCTCTTATAAAAACTCACTTAACTTTTATTTTATTTTTATCTTTATTTATTTTTTAAAATAGTTTATGTAATAATAGTAGTTATAACCAAGATATTTAATTAGTAAGAATATTTTAGGAAAGACAATACCTATTTATTACAAATAACTAACTTAACTAATTTTTTTAATCTACTTAAATTAGTCAATTAGCTTTTATATTAAGGATCGGAAGTAGTATTTTTGTCCTAATACTTAATGGGTGTTTAGTTTCTCTCAAAAATACTTTTTAAAAGCACTCTCATGCAAATCAAGATAAAACTCTTATCACATACTTACTTGACTTGAGTATATCTAAAATTATGTTTAAAGTCATAATTTGACTTCCATCCCAACACTTCCTAATAGCCTAAACTAATGATTAATTCAGTATTGCAAGATACTTTTCTCAACAACAATGAGTATGCTAAACTTAGACTAAGGAATCCTACCACAGAAATATTTTAAGATGCTGAATATATTAAAAATTACCAGAAAAATGCTTTACAATTATGAGTTCTGCTAAAAAATTAATAATTTACAGTATCGAATGAACCGGAAATTAAATCAAGATAATGAATGTTACTAAAAAAATTATTTTAGACTGTTAAATGCAATTTAGAAACCCCCTCTTGTGTGTTTGCCTGGTACACGTAAAGACAAGCTTGTCTGGGCGGCTAACGGATCTGGAAAGCCTTCGGCCTCTCATGCGTATTCCATGCTAGCTAGCTCAGCAATATTTTATAAGCTTCGTCTCCATTCTTCAGTCTGGGAGAAGCTTAACGTCCCGGATCCAACGGTGCTCTTCTTTCCGCACCATCTTAAAGAGTACATTCATCAAGCATACAATTAGCGTCTTGTCCAATTTTTTTTTTTTTTCTAAAACATAAGTATTTTCCTATAAGAAACAATATTATTTAAGATACTGTTAAGTACTAAATATGAATACTTTTTCAGTAAGAATTTTAACTTTAATTTATTATATTACGAGAGACTAGTTTTTTTTACTAGATCTGTGCCCCTTGTGAAGTTGCTTGAAGACGGATGCAGTATTTGCAATGCAGGGTACAATACTCCAAGCAAACAAACAAAAAAACGGAAAGAATAATTAAACGTAGTACTTACTTATCCTCGCCACAATTGATCCGCCCGACACCCCCGGGCCCCCCAGGGGGGACTAAAGACAAGCTGCACGTGCCAATTCACAGCATAATCCATGGGTTTCAGGTTTATACTGGGAAACAAAAAAAAAAAAAAAGAGCATTCTTTGTCTTTCCTTTCTCCTCCCACTCATCTTCCGTCAACAGACAGCCCTGTAAGTAACTGTAGCTTTGTTTGAATGAATTTACAAAGACTTGAAATAGGGAAAGGTACTGCACGATGTTTAATATTTGACTTATGCTGGCTGTAGTTTGTAGATATTACCATGCCCTCATTTTTTTTGGGGGCCCCCTCGGGGGCGGGGAGGTATGCCTCATTGTGAGCTGAAGCTAGTCAGAGACCGCTGATGCGGTCCAACGCCCAGAACCAGTTTTGAGTATGTTTGGATTGGTTACGGTAAAATTGACTTTAATTTTAACTCATTTTTATTTTAATGTGATTTATGTTTGGATAGATGTTTATAAAAAATTAATTAAAAAAGTCAAAACTTGTTTGGATAATTAATGAAAAAATAAGTTTAGATATAAAATGATTTAAAAGAATATGAATTATATTAAATAATACATATTTATATTATATGTATATAATGTAACAATTTTAAGAGAAATATTAAAATTAATTGTGAGAATGGCTTAAAAGGAGTCCGAGTATTATTGAAAAATTTGTAAAATATAACTTGTCATATTTTAAGTAAAAAGCTAATTTTAATATTTTTTTATTTTGATGAGTCAAACATAAAAATCAGAATGAAAATAAAAATTATAATTTTTAATCAGTGAATTGTTTTAATTTTTTTGGGGACAGACTATTAGTTATTAAAATAATAGTGACTAAAAATGAAATAAAAATATTAACATGGACTTCATTATTCATGAGGAGGGAAGAAATGATGCGTGTGAAAGAGAAGATGGGCATGTGAAAAGCCTTAACGCTGGATGCGGTGCTAACGTGGGAAAAGGAGCAAAAAATAACGTTGGTTTTGGGTATGTTTGAATTGGTGTTGGGTAAAATTGAGTTCTAATCTAACTGATTTTTATAACTAAAATTAGAGTAAAAGTCAGTTAGTGTAATGCAATTTATATTTGGATAGATGCTTATAAAAAGTCAGGTGAAAAAGTTAAAAGTTGTTTAGATGATTAATAGAAAAGTTAATTTAGTTGTAAAATGACTGGAAAATGTATGGACTTTATTGAATAGTAGTGTTTGAAATTTTATGTTTTTAATGTGATAATAGTTTTAAAAAATACGTAAAATTATTATGATAAAATATAAATAGTTTATTTGTAAGATTATAAAATAAAAATATTTGTTACAGAGAAAAATTTGAAGACACATTGTAAATAATTAACGAAATACACATAATGGACAAACATGAATATAAATTAAAATTCATTTGGTCTCTAATAAAAATAAATGAAATCACATAACTAATTAGATCATAAGCTTTGCATGATTTTTTCATAAGTCAGTTAGAAAAGTTGATCCAGATCGTGTTGGATAAGTCAATTAGAAAAGTTAATTTTTCCTATAAGTCAGTTAGAAAAGAAGCCCTATCTAAACAATCTTTTGAGTCACAATAAGCCTCTAACCTCAGTTTCACACTTCCTCATGTGTTTTGGGCTTCTCCAACTACAATCCAAACATAGCCTTTGTCGAGTGATAAGTCAGTTATGAGCTTTTTTAATAACGCTGATCCAAATAAACAAAAAATCACAAATGAGTTTTAACCCTTCATTTCACAAATTCCTAGACGTGTTTGGGTCTTTAAACGGTGATATAGACAAATGTTTTGGGTGTGTTTGAATTAGCATTGGTCAAAACTGACTTTTAGTCCAACTAATTTTTGTAACTGAAGTTAGAGTAAAAGTCAGTTAGTGTAATATGATTTATGTTTGGATAGATGTTTATAAAAAGTCAATTGAAAAAATTAAAAGTTGCTTGGATGATTAATAGAAAAGTTGTTTAGCTGTAAAACAACTAAAAAGAACATGGACTTTACTGAATAATAGTGTTTGAAATTTTATGTTTTTAATGTGATAATAATTTTAAAAAAATACGTAAAATTATTATGATAAAATATAAATAGTTTATTTTTGAAATTGTAAAATAAAAATAGTTGTTACGGGAAAAAATTTGAAAACACATTGTAGATAATTAATTAAATATACATAATAGACAAACATAAATATAAATTAAAATTTATTTGGTCTTTAATTAAAGTAAATGAAATCACATAACTATTAGATCATAAGCTTTATATAATTTTTTCATAAATCAGTTAGAAAAGTTATTTTTTATCCATAAACCAGCTAGTAAAGAAGCTATATTCAAATAATCTTCTGAGCCACAATAAGCCATAAAAGTCAGTTGCACACTTTTTCATATGTTTTTTTTTAATCTCTAGCGGAGATCCAAACATAGCCTCTATATTTTAAAGGATTTAATTGTCACTGCTATGCGAAACAGGACTATGGATCAGGTTAAAATAGTACATATATAAGTAGTTTTTTTAATTATAATTTATAAATATGAACTAAATATATAAATAGAGTTTTATTTTGATTTATATAAAAACATAAGTACTTTTAGACATTATCCCAAACAAATTTTATGTCTAATATCCTTCGAGATCATATGAGAGTTATTTCCATGAAAATATTTATAAGCCTCAATCCTCGTATTAGTTTGGTCCGTATCCCCTAAGGTGTGTTTGGTACGAGGGATTTGAAGAAGATGAGAGGGATTTTAATCATTTTTTGTTTGGTAACACACAAATTTTAAAATTTTCCCTCCCCTCCCCTCTTTAACCTCCCTTCCAAAAGTGGAAGAATTTATAAGGAAAGGTAATATTTTATCATATTGTAGTTATTATGTTCATATTTTGTCATATAATGATTATTATGCCTATATCTTAAATAAAATAAGGGTGAAATTGTTTGTGTTAAAATATTTTTCTCTCCCCTCTCCTCATAAATCAAACAAGGTAATATTAAAACTCCTCATCTCTTTTTTCTTTTTATAAATTCAAATAAAGTAATATTAAATCTTTCTACTCTCTTTTCTTCCCTTTTTTCTACTCCTCCAGTCCTTAATATAGGACCCAATTCTTGAGTTGGTTTTGGTCATAAATATAAGACCTATTTATCATATTTATCAATTTTCTCTAAATTACCCCTATAGATACTCCATCAACCATAATCAAATAAAAATGGAGAGGAAGTATTAAAAAAGATGATTATGGTGTTTTAGAAAAAATGTGTAACTTTTCTTATAATTAACTAACTTACCTAACTTTTTTAATCTATCAAATTAATTAAATGGGTCTTACTTAAGAATCGGAGGAGTATTAAAATTCTTCTCTTCTTTTTATCTTATCGAGCCAAACAGATCCTAAAGAAACATGGTTAGACAAGCGCCAAATTTTACATGTTTAGGCGTTTAGCTAACATTTACAATTGTAAGAAGACAAGACAAGGGGCCCTCGCATTCCGGAAGAGCGTGGTGACCAGAGAGGAAAAGAAGTCCAGGCCTAACCAAATAGACGGATCAGGAGCGAACCGTAAAAGGATGCCCTCTACTAGTAGAGTCACTCTCACAGTCACTGCGCAGGGCAAGGCGAGGTTGATTGGGCTCATCGTTGCAGGGAAGCCCCCCACAATTGTGCCTAACTCTCTATATTTACTTACTACCACAACACTGTTACGTCCGATGTGACCTATCGGCTTTTCTTTAACCTATGAACCCCCGATTGGGTATTCTCTCCCACTTTAACCTATGAACCCCCGATTGGGTATTCTCTCCCACGTCAAATCGCCACAGTCCCTCACAGGCTCACACCCTTCTGGGCATTCGTCTTTGTTGTGCAGTGAAACCAAAGTCACTGTTTCCTTCTCATAAATATATGTATTTATTGACAGGTACATTCATGATTCATTAACTTGCTATTCTCTCGGCTCCACAGTCACTTGTTAGCTTTTTCACACAAAATTTAGTTATTAAATTTATTCTAAAATAATAAAAGTTTGGGAAAATTAGATAAAAAATAGGATAAATTGCAAAAAAAAAATTTAGAATTATAAAAACGCAAATAGAAATTTTTGAACTTCACTTTGAATTTTGAATAAAAATAATATACCTTGAAATTGTCAAAACTCAAAGTAAGGTTATCAAAGATTCTTATCTATGTTTTTGCAATTCCAAACTCTTTTTTTTAATTTTTTCTAGAAAAAATACCCATTTAAAATTTATCTGAGAATAAGTCCCTGAAAAAATGTCAGAGAGCTTGAAGTCCTTAAATATAAATAAAAAATTCCAGATGAAATTACCATATCATCCTCACTAAAACTTTTTCCTTTTTTTAAAAAAAAAGAAATCAACAAGAAAAATCAGGGCAAGACAATTTGAGGGGTACACACCCACACGGCGACACTCCAGTAGCATGCAATGTATCATCTCTATATGTAACTAAATTCTGTGTAGGTGTAATTAATCTTTAATACAGCTAAATTCTAATAAGCAATTAACCTTTAATACAACTAAATTCTAGTAACGTGTAACATATCATCCCTAAATACAATTAAATTTTGTGTAAGTTCAATTGATATTTCAATTAAGTACACTTACGTTAGGTGCAATTAAACTATAATAATGTGCAATATATCATCCCCAAATACAATTAAATTTCATGTAGATGCAATTAATTTTTCATTAAATACACTTACCTAAGGTGTAACTGAACTCCAATGATACAGGTAAAAAAAAAAAAACTAAACTTCAATAATGTGCAATATATCATCTTTAAGTATAACTAAATTTTCCATTATGTGCCTATATATTAGGTACAATTGCATTTTCCTTACGTGCAAGTCAACTCCCCATAAATATAATTGATATTTCATTATGTGCAACATACATTAGATGTAATCGAATTTCTATAACATACAAGATGTCTGCCCCATATGCAATTAAATTCAGTATATGTGTAGATAATCTTTTGTTATATTCAAAACACGGAGTGCGCAGTTTAACTTCCATAACATGCAAGATTATGTGCAATATTCCGAATATGTGCAAATGATTTTTCATTATTTTCAAAACATGGAGGGTGCAATTTAACTTTCATAGTGTGTAAGCTATCCTCCTCACATGCAACTATATTCAATGTATGTGTAAGATATTCTCCTGTTTGGATGGCTTTCAAAAAAATGCACGTGTTATGTAAATTAAGATAAAAATTATTTAACATATTTATCTTATATTTTATTAATCATGATTAAAAAATTAGTTATAAAATTCTCCTCAATATTTTACATTTTCTTGTTTGTTTTCTTTTTACGTATTCTTCGATTTTTAACATAAGACTCATTTAACTAATTTGATTAGATTAAGAAAACTAGTTAAGTTAGTTAATTATAAAAAAAGTGACACATTTTTTTTAAAACGTCATAACCATCTTTCGTAATACTCCTTCTCCCTCTTCTACTTAAATATGGTTGAGGGAATAACCATATAAATAGAATTTATATTTAAGACCAAAATCAACTCAAAAATCGAATGAAATATTAAGAATAGGAAGAACATATACAGACAGTCCTTCCCTTGATCATTAAAGGCCTCTTCTTTTGCACACGCCTCCATTGGCGAGTTTCTGTTACGCAGCGCACCACAAACGCTCTTGCACAACCAAACGGCACCTCTAACCAAAGCCACCACCATCTCCTTCCCGTGATCCAGCGAGCAACGCTTTCATGGGCTCCATCTCACAGTTCAATACCATTTTCGTCGCCTTTTACTGCATCTAAAATTTTCCGTTGTTCAAGAATTTTCTAGCTGTCTGCATCTGAATCTATAACGAGACGACTTTTTCAGTGACTAGGTTTACCGATGAGATTGTAGCCTAAATTTAGCTTAATGCCTGCCTATCTTTTCCCATAACAAGTCGCTCTGGTATCAGGCACCCCTGGTTTTTGCGTTTGCTCAAATACACCAGAAGTTCCACCAACAGTCATCCAACCTTCCTTCGCTTCACTGACTTTTTTGTTTTCTTTGTCTTTTCAGGTGACCTTCTTTAATTGCATGCTGGTTTATTGTGTGTTAAAACTCGGCCAAATTCTTTTGTTTTTTTTTTCTCCTGATCGGATTGAGAATCGAATTCTAATTATATGACCTTGATAGTGACTCCCGTACTTGGAATGATAATGTTCTATGTTTTCGCTTTTTCCCCCCAAATAAGAACAAGGTGAAGAAGAAGACTATGGCGAGGGAGAAAATTCAGATTAGGAAGATCGACAACGCCACGGCGAGGCAGGTGACGTTCTCGAAGCGACGCAGAGGACTCTTCAAGAAAGCTGAGGAGCTCTCAGTTCTCTGCGATGCAGATGTTGCTGTTGTGATCTTCTCCTCCACCGGCAAGCTCTTTCACTACTCTAGTTCAAGGTTTCTCTCTCTTCATCACATCTCCATCTTTCTGGCAAAATTATCACTGAACCGAGGGTTTCATGAGTTGACTGAAAGGCGTCTTTAATGCTAAATATATAAATATCCAAACGGTCTGCAGGAAATATCATAATCATAGTCATAATTAATAAACAGCGGGAGAAGCAGACTCTCGATTCTCTACTTTATTTCCTTTTAGCGTCCAGATCAGGAAGATAGTAATGTCGTCTGCGTTCTTGAAGCTTCGATTTTTATATTCACTCTTTGTTGTGTAAACCCGAAGAAAGTTAGAAAAAGTCATCAGTGAGTTCTTTCTTTTTTTTTTTTAAGATCTCTTACTCATTGCTGCTAGTTTACTGTTAATCGAAATAGGCGATGAAAATGCAAAAGACAGCATAGGGGTAGTAGTGACGACTTCTTTTCGGTGCAAAATGTGGGTATTGTTTTAATTTCTAAAATTTAAAGATGAGTCAATATATATTATACGATGCATCCTATGCCCTTTAAAAATAAGACAAGGTTAGAGTGCTTAATCTGCTAAAAATATAAGATGTAAGATGGGAGTGTTAGATATACTGTAAAAACACAAAAAACATGCACTTTAAATTTTTCTCTTTTGAGTGAATGCACGTAAAATTAGATCAGATGGATGCATCTTTCCCCCGTGCTATATACAGACAACTGTGCACGGCGTGCAAAACAGGCCTAGTAAGTCCAAGTCATCCAGGCCTATCATGCAATAATTTTTTGGCTGACCATATATTGTCATTTATTTTTGACACTGTTTATTGAGTAGCAATATGCATGAAGTGAAGTTTTTTTTTTTTTTTAAAAAAAAGATCGAAGCACGTACTTCCCAAATATTAGTGAGAACTTCCATTACGATTTATATTTAGTAGTGGAAGGCTTTAATTTTATGTGATGACAGATATGTTGATGATTATTGAAGTATTGAATATTTGGTATCATTTATAATTTTGTCCGGTAGTTTAACGTTTTTATAGGAGGTCATTACTTCTATTTTAAACACACGCACATATTCTGAGTGAGAAATGTATATTATCGCAAAATACAAACGGCACTGACTTTTTTACTGGCTATGAAATTGATGATTATCATTATTATTTCTAAATTCTAGTTAGTGTTTTCATCCAATCTGAATGAGCACGATTCATCACGGTAATAACTGATCAAAATTTCTTCATCATTGATCAGTGACAAAACAGGCTCGCGTAAAACGAACCTGTGCCATATTTGTCGTTCAAAAGTGATTCGATGTAAATTTAAAAATTAAACGTCTGTGATCTTAATTTAAGTTGTTTTCAGAGCCTGCTGTTGCTAATCTTTTTTTGCTATAAGAAGTTCTCTAACATGCATTGCTCAATTTCATTATCTATGAACTTGGAGTTTGTGGCTCAGAAAATTCCTTATGTTGGCTTATCATGGCATCTGCGAATTTTTCAGTAATCTTTCAAGGGTTGATTGTGTGTTTGTGATTCTTATTCTTAATCTTTTGACGCTTTGCTTCCGGAAGCATGAAAAAAATACTAGAAAGGCGTCATTTGCACTCAAAAAACCTCTCGAAGCTGGACCAACCGTCTCTTGAGTTGCAGGTCAGTGAATACTGTTTCATATGTATCGTGAATCTAAATTTGTCATGCCAAAATTTGGTTGAAGTTAATTATTTAAAAGATGTATAATATAACCTACATTGTAGCTAGTTGAGGACAGCAACTACTCGAGTTTGAGCAAGGAGATTACCGAGAAGACCCGTCAGCTACGGTATTTATTCCCTCAATTTCGTGAATGATTTTTTCGGTCATGAGTGGGAGGAACCTTTTCTATTTAAAAAATTATATACAGGCAAATGAGAGGAGAGGATCTTCAAGGTTTGAATATCGAGGAATTACAGCAACTTGAGACCTCTCTTGAAGCTGGGTTGACCCGTGTAACTGAAACGAAGGTCTGTTGAACATACATTGCTGTTCTATGGAATCATTGGCTTCGTGCCGTCTTTGATATTCCCTCTAATTAAAATCTTAATGCTTAATTTCAGTCACAGATGATGATGGATGAGATCATTGATCTCGAAAGAAAGGTTAGAGACTAGAACTCAGGACACTTTATACATTTTATTGGCATCACTTTTTCCCGTCAACTAAAATCTTACCGGACCACCAGGGAATGCAATTAATGGAAGAGAATGAGCGTTTAAAACGTCAGGTAGGAATTGATCTTTGTTCAATTTGTATGCCTATCATCTGTTTGCTGCAATTGCTAATAAAAAATCCTTGTCTATTTGTTGTTGGGACCGAAGGTGACAGAAATGCCAAGTGAGGAATGTTGTGTTGTGGAAGGTCAGTCATCTGAGTCTGTCGATAATATTTGCTGCACTGGGCATCCTCAAGAATATGATGTCAACTCAGACACGTCCCTCAGATTGGGGTGAGTTCTATTGAGTACTAAACCATTTAAATCTTCTTTCTGGGCAGATGTTCAGTAGTCAGGCATATGTATATACTCAATCCGAGATAACCACCTTTTTTCTTGAATTGAATTGTCGATCTCTTACTTGCAGGCTACCATATTCTGGTTGAAGGAGATTTCCAGGGTTGGAAAGCGTAGAGAAAAAGGAAGGATAAAGTAGTTCCATTCCCTTAATTAAATTGCATTTGAACCTGTGCTATCCTAAGATTCTATCTCTGCTAACTGCTAACCTATAATAGTACAATATGACAAGTCGAGAGGGTATGGATTGAGCAAATGTCGGGTATTTTGTAACAAGTAGCCGGCGCATGGCGTGGGTCATGTAAGGGAATTGTTTGTAACTTCGCATATCACCTGGATTTGGATCGGTGCAAGTTCTAGAGGAATGAATATAATAAAAAAATTACGTGGACCAATTAGATTGCTTCGTGTTGACCAAAAGCAAACAAAAAGTTAGACAAATTGATGACTTCAAAATTTGGTGGATAATAGAGAAGAGAAAGAAGAAAAAATGGCTTCATAACAATATCGAGACATGTCGAGGTGCTTTTTACTGAAATTTATGATTATAATATGATGAGCAAAAGGTGTGCTTATATGTAAGTTTTGTTGGATACATACTTTTATATTTTTTTAATATTCGTACATAAAATGATTCAAAAATGTTTATTTACAGGGTCAAAATGTTTATTTAATTCTTTTACGTGCTACTAAAATTTGAGTTGAAGCTTTACATTAAATCCGTATTTAGGTTTGTTATAAAGTGAGGTAAAGATAGGGTTTATTACTAAAATTATTGGATGCAACTTAATTTTTTTAAAAAAATTAAATATATATTTAGTTTTTTAACTTTACATAAAGTTTTTATTTGTTTTCTTAATTTTAAAAAATATATTTTTAATTTAAAAAATTATTAACAAAAAAAATAATACTACTATTTTTAATGTTGATAAAATATTTTAAAATCATAGTTATTATAAAAAATTATTATCTAAGTTTAAGGATTTTAGGATTGAAAAAACTAAATATTCTTTTAAAGTCTTATATTTAAAACCAGAAGAGTATATACTTTTTAAAATTAAGGAGTAAAATTAAAATCTTTAATTTTAAAAAAACTAAATATATATTTTAGTCTTAAAAACACAGCTTTATTATAAGTCCGGCTAACAATAGCCCAATAAAATTACAAAATCGTGGTCGTATATTTTTCAGATGAATTTCTATGGGGCAAAAATAATAACGGATCCTCACACGTGCGGAGGGTCGTTAACATCACGAGGTTACCGGTAAAATCGAATCTCGCGGAACGCTGGCACGACACCCGGTACCTCCACTCCCTCTCCCCTGCTCCCAATATGAAAGGCCTGATTCTTCTTTTCTCTTCCATTTCTCACTCCCTCTTTCGCACTTTCTCTTTCCCGTCTTTTCTGTATCTTCGATCTCTATCTCCGCCATGGATGAAGAGTATGATGTTATAGTGCTCGGAACCGGACTCAAAGAATGCATCCTGAGTGGCCTCCTCTCTGTCGATGGACTCAAAGTACTCTTCTCAATTCCTCACCAAGTTTATTTTCTTTTTTTCTTAAGAACCTCTCGTTCCGTCAATTTGATTAGCGCTGGAAGTTTTTTCTCAGTTCTCCCTCTGAATATTTGATTATCGATAACATGACAACTGGATTACAAAAGAACAAAATAATATGTTATCAGATTTGTGAGAGATGCTTTCGTAAACTTTCTATCATCTCGGTACCTTTAAGTGATGGATCCGTGTAGTTTTCCTTGCATCTACCTACGGCTTTAGTGCACGGACTTATCGGTACACATCTACCTGCTGGTGTTTTGGTCACATCTAACTGTCTCGGCTTTGATCAGGTGCTGCATATGGATAGAAATGACTATTATGGTGGAGAATCCACATCGCTTAATCTTAAACAGGTAACCGATTAGTATTCATCTGAACTTGTTTCTCTTTTTAGGATTTATATGATTAGTGCCATGAATTTCCTTTTTGCGTAGCTTTGGCAGCGATTCAGGGGCAATGACAATCCTCCAGAGCATTTAGGCTCAAGCAAAGACTACAATGTTGATATGATCCCAAAGGTATGCTGGACGAGTACATTTTCTTAAAATATATTACCTATTCCGATCATTGTTGCAAGAGTAGAGTAAATGAAACATTCCTTTTTTCGCATTTATATCGAGGACTATCTGATACTTCTTTGACTGCTACTTGGCTTGTGCTTGCTCGAATAATCTGCTGTTTGGCTTTTGATATTTGATGACAAACTTGTTAAGAGAAATTCAAATGAAGTTTGAATCGTTACATGGAACGTTAAAGTATTAGCACAGGGAAGGTACAGGTGTGACTGAAACACGTAATCCTGTACTATTTAGCATTTGATTATTTTAGGTTTTTACACTAAGTAGAAAAACCAACTGCTAAACCATTGGTGATGCTTGAAAGTTAGTAGCCTATAATTGACCTGCTGATAAAATTTTGATTGACATCTAATTTTGGCCAAATTTATTAAAGGCAAGAACCACTTTAGATTACAAAAAAACCAATATAATGCTAGAGATTGTCCTACACTGATTAGTGCTTACCATTAATATTCTAATCACGCTTCAACAGTTCATGATGGCCAATGGAACTTTGGTTCGTGTTCTCATCCATACTAGTGTTACAAAATATCTGAATTTCAAGGCAGTGGATGGCAGTTATGTTTACAATAAAAAGAAGGTATGAGGTTCTGATGTTAACTAAAATTTTGTTAAAGCCTAGTTATTTATTTTCTAAATAAAATGTAAACTGATGACTTGGATTGTATGCTTCAGATTCATAAAGTACCAGCAAATGATGTGGAGGCTTTGAAATCTCCCCTTATGGGATTGTTTGAGAAGCGGCGCGCTCGAAAGTTTTTCATTTATGTCCAAGACTTTGATGAAAATGATCCGAAATCTAAAGAAGGACTGGACCTTAACACAGTTACAGCAAAAGAACTCATTTCGTACTATATCACTGTCATTTACTCTTGAGATCGTGTGTCTGTGTGTGATTAATTTAAGCACTTTTTCTTGCAAATTAAATAGCAATTCAAGCCGAAAGTGATATTTCTAATCACAGTAGGGTTCTCCATAATTTTTTTTAAAAAATAAATTATTGAACCACTCTTCTATTTTTGTTGAAATTTAACAGATCTTAGTCTATTTTCAAAATATATTTCACTTTATTAATTTATTCCTTCTATTAAGATATCTTCCATTAAAAATATGTCAAGTGGTTCAACTAAAGTATAGTTTTGTTTTTAGAGTAGGCTAATGTATATTTTAAAAATGAAGAGGTTTCTATACCTTTAAAATAAATTCAAAAAATATTTGTTTAATTTATTTACTTTCCAGTAATAAAATTTTTGGAAGCCGTCCAAAATGTTGGATGAGGAGTGACGTTCTTTTCTTTTATGGCAATAAACTTTTAAATAATCTTTTGATTCGATTATTCGCTATATTGAATATCTCATGCTTGTTTGCTTTCCATCACAATGATTATTCGCGATGCAAAATAACTCGAAGTTTGCTTCTAATTAGGAAATACGGGCTAGATGACAACACAATTGACTTCATTGGCCATGCTTTGGCGCTCTATTTGGATGATGCTTACCTGAACCAGCCTGCAATAGACTTTGTGAAAAGAATGAAGGTACCTAGTTCTTCTAATGAATTTGCTTTTTTGATTTCAGTGCGTGTGCATGTTATATGGGAATTTGTAATTAGTTGGGAAGAGATTCAGTAGGTTGGTTAGTAAGCTTGTTATTGTATATAGGGCATATATATATGGATGTAACACGGATCTAATGACTTGAATACTACTTTTGTACGTATCATGCATCAATGCCGTTGCTTGGAAGGTCATTTCCTATTTCCCGCTGTGTCCTTTAACCAGCCAACTTGCTGCCCCAATAATTTTGGCATGGCCTGTTAGTTAAGTGTTTCTTGGGATTCCCTTCTCCTTTTATCAACATCAGACCAGTACAACACTGCAAAAGTAGGTTTGTGCTTCCTGCTTCTAGAAAAATAAACGTTACCTTAGATTGATCAGTGATAAATGTGTGGCTGATGTCAAAGGATTATCGTACTGGAACACTTTCTTATGAAGCCCTCCGCTTTTTTTTTTTTTTTTTGGGGGGGGGGTGTTTGGATTCGGATGTAGACAACGAAATCAGAATGGTAAGGTTTTTGTTATGGAATCATGGGAGTGGGAGAAGTTATGAAGCGTTCCGAAAAGCCTATTTCAAACTTCATATGCATGATATCAATCTAATCTTCATTTTTAACTTTCTTTTTATGCAAGATTTTTCATCGCATCTGGTCTATGATGGTCTGAAGCATAACAAGAATTGGATTTTGTTCTCTTAGAGCTTTCATTTGGAAAGAGAGTTTTGTCTTCTCTCATGCATGCACTTGTTCACAGTAATGATTTTGAAAGTCTAATTTATTTTAATTATGGTTTTGCAAAAGCTATACGCAGAGTCTTTAGCACGATTTCAGGGTGGATCCCCTTATATATATCCACTTTATGGTCTGGGAGAGCTTCCTCAGGTTTGTAATACACACTACAGCGGAGAAAGAGCATGCCTTTGGAATTTCTTCGTCACTCTGACTATTGTAATTATTGGCAGGGATTTGCCCGTTTGAGCGCTGTTTATGGTGGTACCTACATGCTCAACAAACCAGAATGCAAGGTATATATGTTTTTATAACTCCAAGTAGTAAGTACGTAAAAAATATGAATTCCTTATAGGGTCCTCCTCGATAATCAGAGCTTGATGCAGGATTTTTTTATTTTTACTTACGACAGGTTGAGTTTGATGAAAGTGGAAAGGTTGTGGGCGTGACCTCAGAAGGAGAGACAGCTAAATGCAAGAAAGTTGTTTGTGATCCTTCATACTTACCCGACAAGGTACAAAACTTGTAACGACCACCAACTGCCAACTTACGTGATGATCATTTTGAGTCTTTCTTAAAATTTATTTATTAATTAAGCTAACCCTATCAGTTTATCAATAGGTGAAGAAGGTCGGGAAAGTGGCCCGTGCTATATGTATTATGAGCCATCCGATCCCAAATACTAATGACTCTTCGTCAGTCCAGGTTATTCTGCCTCAGAAACAGCTTGACCGTAAATCCGATATGTACGTTTATCAAGTTCTTACGAATAGTGAACTAAGCATGTTTTGAATGTAGCCGTTAGTTAGTTACCGCATATTTAGTAATGAGAAACAATTTTAAAGAAAACACAGAGGCTTTTTACAAATACAGGATCAAGTTGAAAAATATTACAAATAAGAGATCAATGTTTTTAAAAACTAAGAATAAATGATATCTGATAAAGTGAAAGAAAGAGAGAATGAAAATAAAACAACTGAATCAAAATTTTTATCTTAACATGTTAAAGTTTGAGTCTATTAATATAAATATGAAAACATAAGTTTTTCTTTAATTTCCTGCAATTCTCTGAGCTTTAGTAACAAGATATAATGTTAAAAGTGTATTGTTTTTAAATTTTGTCATTTGAAAAGGCTCAAGTTCCAATCTAAAACCTTCTACCATTTAAAGCATGATATTGCAAAATATGAAAACTATTAGCTACGTTACAATATTTTTACTCGTGAGTTTTATTTTTCAAGAAATATTGAATAATTTTTCTTTTTATAAATTGATTACACAAATAACGTACATAAGAAAAGGGCTGTCACCCCGGCCCTTGATCTGAATGACTTGGAAATAGTCTGCTCAACGGGATATCTTATTATTTTCGGTTAATGATTGCTTAAGGTACCTTTTCTGCTGCTCCTACTCTCACAATGTCGCTCCAAAAGGAAAATACATCGCTTTTGTTACCACAGAAGCAGAGACTGACAATCCTGAAGTGGAATTGAAGCCGGGCATAGATCTTCTTGGACCCACAGATGAAATATTTTTTGACACTTACGATAGATATGAACCAGACAATCAAAGCGCTGATGACAACTGCTTCATATCCACGGTAAGTTTAAGGGGAAGTTTTATATCTATCTCTGATCTGGCAAGTTTGTGTAATTGGTGTCATTTACTTTAGCCGCGAATGTTTGATACATGAGAGAGAATAGGTTCAGCATTAATTCATCTCGTCCCAAAAGGATAATGTTATGACATTGTTAACTTGGCTTTTATTTTCATCTTTAACTACTCGTTTATACAAGTTATTCTTATGGGAAGAGTTTTATTTACAGAGCTATGACGCAACGACCCATTTCGAAACCACGGTGAGAGATGTGATTGCCATGTACAGCAAGATAACTGGAAAGGTAATAATTTCTCTCATCCTCTGCTTACCATGCGAACAAATGGTTGCCGAACCTTCATTTATTAGCTCATCTAAGAACTAAAGAATCAAGTTCCCCTCTGCGTGCTGAAGTTTCTAGTATTTTAGTGTAGCTGTAGGAAACAAGAACATGCGGACATCTGCGTTTTAACTGTGTTTTGGGCTTTTAGCCTTTCTTTTTTTAGGATTTGACAAAAAAAGGAGCTCACGTTTAGGGGGTGTTTGGCAATCTCAAAAGTGCTTCTCAGAAGTACTTTTTTGTAAAACGAGACAAATTCCTTCACATATTTACATCGTAAACCGTAAAAGCACTTCTGAAAACTATGGTTTGGTTTTCATCCAAACACCCCCTTAGTCTGAATCCAAATTCATTTTTTCCGGGCTTATACGGGGTGGTCCTAAAACCCCTTTTTATATATCAAGCTGCTTATTTCAGAGTCCCGGCAAATCTATAGGCATTGGGGTAGTGTCTATCAAATCTGTGAACCATGATCCTTGTAAAGAGAATACTAGCCCTTCGATCTTTTATTCTCTCATAGACATGAATGAGGATACTGATTAATCATCTTGGAGTTAAAAGAAATGCCTCAAGATTTGACAAGCTTCATGCATCAAACTGCTTTGATTTCAAGGTTTTGGGCCATCAGGGTCTCCTTTCAGTTTCATTTTTAATTTTCCGCATGGATGAAAGATACTGTCAATACTAAAGTATTTCAACTAATTCATTATTTTCAATGATTCCTAATCTCAGGAGTTGGACCTGTCTGTTGATCTGAGTGCTGCGAGTGCTGCCGAAGAATAAATTTGGGCATCTTAGCGGTAAAATTCTGAATCAGCGCCATTGCGCCTGGCGATTGATGATATTGTGCTTGCTTATATTTCTTCTCCCGAACGCGCGGGCTAAGATTGACTTTGTCCTTAAAGTTTGTGTGCCCTCTACTTTGTCCAAAGAGCAAGGAGAATTCTTCTTTTGACGCCTTTTGTTTGTTCAATTCCTATTAGTTTGACAATTGTGCTTACCTCTTTGACATTGCAAATAAAGTAAAAGTTTCTTCATTAACAGGTAGCTGAAGATTCTGTGCAAATATGCTGCTAGTATCATCACCCAAAAAAAAAAAATAATAATGATAATAGTAGTAGTCCAAACATTGATGGAGCACAAAGACCAAATTATCACATTTTAAAGTTTAGCTTCTATATTAGTATTCGATTTCATTTTTGAACACTTCTCTTGCCTCCATTGGAGAGATTTTTGAAAAGATGTATGTATCAAAATTTATATGGTCAAAATAATTATTTAAAAATATGTTCATCGAGGTGGGATCCAACTTGACCCGGTCAATTGATCTCTCAATCATGTTGATTTGAATTGTCTTTCAAATTTCTAAATTGTTTGAAATCCAACTCGTATACATTCCCAATATGCTTGAGTTCTTGGTTTGTTATAGATCACAAGTAGTGTTGTGATTTTAAAATATAAATTATTTTTTACTCTACACCTCCATGGGATTAGTAGTGTTGTGATTTGATGTTGAAGTGTAATTTAGCCTTAAAGTTGTTAGTTTACCCACTCAAATTTGATCAACTTTTGTGTGGAAGTGAGACATCAGAAATTGAAATCATGAAACTAATTAGAAATAAGGTCTCGTATATCTTATGATATTTATCTCTCTAATTCCCCCGGGGGGGGAAGGAATGTGTGTTGATGGATTTCACTATTTGAAACCGAAAAGAATTTCACAATGAAGAAAATTAGGAAGAGAAGAATGAGCTTCACTTTCATGGGATCAACATGCGTAGAAATAAAAGCACAATCTCTTCCTAATCCTCTCTAACTTTGCATTTTCACGGATCTGAGGAGATTCTGATCCCTGTAAAACCCAATAGAGTACCCGAGGATTAAATACAAACGAAAAAGACAGAATTTTCTGTTTCCTACAAGATTAAAATTCATTACCTTAATAACAGGCGAGCCACTACACATTAACCCAATTCCACTGATGATGCCGTTATAAACATCACAAAGAAGGTGCTATACCTGCAAAGCAAAAATTATATTGAATACGACAGCAACTTGGGGGTTAATCTACCTCAAAATTCAAACCTCATACCTTAGTCATAGAAGCCATGAAGGCACAAAACCAAAAGCCTCTTTCATCCCATAAAAAGCATAACGAATGGCCTAGATGTTTGGCAGACAAAGAAGATGAACCTGTAGTATTACTGATCATAGATCATAGTTCACACATCTTCTCGACCAAAGGGATTAGGCAACTAGAAGAAAGCCAACTATTTCAGGGGATGATGGAGCAAGTTCAAACCTGTAGATTCCATAAACTCATATGTTTCATTTAAGACTTATCTGACTTTTTTTTCTCATCTCAAGTACTGCCTCGATGTGTCTAGTAAATAAGACAAGAAGCAGAGACATGTTATTTGTATAACTAGTCTTCCGGTCTCATCAAGCGAATAAATTATAAAACAAAGCATCAGTCATGTACTTGCCTCAGTAATAGAAAAGCTGATTGATGGGGAGCTAACAAGCACACGAGTCTGAGTCTGTCATTAATAGTCACAAGTCAAAACTTTATAATTGAAGGATATAATATATGCTTCAACTTTGAGCAAACAAAGCAACAAAAAGTTTAATTTGTTTCAACCTCACGGAAACTTCATAATATGCCCCACATTAAGAACAACCTTGATGCTATTTGTGGTAACGTTGCTGCTACAGGAGACCTCACCAACCCTTCTAGAATGAAAAGGGAGAAGAAATCCATAATAAGCACTGATTCTTAACACAAATGACGATCTTCATAGACTAAGGTAATGACTGATGAGCAAGGGATCTCTCACCTGCTAAGCCATGAAATATCTACCACATTGTTCAAGTCAAAGCCATACCAAGGAAAAAGAGAAGGGAAAAAGTTAATATAACTCCACAAGGAAACAAACAGAAGTGTTTATCCATAATAAAGAAGAATCTGTTGTTTTTGGTACAGGTACCTCTAATACAGCAGCTGTTTGAGCAAAAAGCAAAGGCTTTCCGGCCACATTGTATACAAGTTCATGACCCGATTCCTTCAATGTCTTCAAAACGAGATGCAGCACCGGAAACCTTCTCACTCGACAGAAATGAGGCCGAGGTGAAAGGGGGGGAAAAATCAAATTATTTCATTTATATTAATGTGCAACTGTGATTGACACAAAAATTTAAAAAAAAAAAAAAAGATGATCAGACTTCCATTCTAAAAATTTTCAACGCATATAGTAAATGCAAAGTAAGACAAAGTATTTGGCTAAAAGAAATTATGGGCTAGTACCATCCAACATAAAGGGTCCAGTTGTACAGAGCAAGGTAGAGGCGTCTTATGAGTAGGATGAAAGCTGTCATTGAAGAAAGTGATGAGCAGAAAGGAGGGGGAAGGATGGAAGAAAAGACAGAAACTAGCTATGAAGAGAGTGCTGGAAGGCTTGGAGAAAAATAGATGCAACAACTAAATAAAATGGATAGTTAAGTGGTAGGCCTATTTATTGTTCAAAATTTAATACAGAAATTTTCATAACTTGATCGGAGGAAATAAGCCATTGATCCATGTACCGAGCAGTCTTGATCTTGGAAGAACAAGTGAAGCTGGATGAAGATAGGAACAAGTGTGACTGTACAGAATGGAGAGTGGCAATAAATAACAATGAATAATAAATGGCACACCTGATGCCCAGTTGCTCACCGACCCGCCGGATGCCCAACGCCACGTCCGCTTTGGATTCGCTCACGCTCTCTCTTTCTCATGATTTTCTTTAAATATTGGCTGTAGGAGCTAAGAGACTTGCTTTGAAGGCCTCAATCTTCCGTTTCTAATGTGATTTAAGTAATTAAGAGTATTTTAGATAAGCCAGCATAATTTTTTTTATAAATAACTAACATGGCTTTTTTTTAGGTACATGTTGTTTTTTTTTTATTGGAAATAGTCCTGCTTAAGATAAAACCGAGTACTAAATGTAGATACTTTTTGAACTGAGATTCAGATATTAATTTATCAAGTTGTGAGGAACTAGTTTATTGTACTAGACTCAACTCTTATCGGTATAACTAACGGTTTTTTATTATTATTAGTTAGTTATTCATTTCTCGGGAGAAAATGAGCCCTGGATACGGATCTGGGGAAGTGTGTATGGCCCAGTATTCTTGATTAGGATGTTTGTGATTGTGAGCGGGTTCCCAATGCATAGAGATAAGTAGTTTTTGTTTACTGGAGATTTTCTAGGCCACCCTGTGTGCCACCAAAAGATAAGAAAAGAATTGAATACTTGCTAGGAAATAGGAATAAAGAGGTATTTAGATGGAATTAAAATCTTAATTTTAAAAATATTTTTATAATACACAAAATAAATATATAAAAAAATTTGTTTCTTTTTACGAAAATGCTTTCAAACACCCCTTAAATCTATGGCCGGAATAATGTGGGTTTGGGTGGCATGGGCCAATGATAGTTTAAAACCCAACCAACACAATCCCGGAGTCCAATATGAAATGGATCGAAACTATACTAATTTGTCATGATTTGAGATTATATGATACCCATGAATTTGAATTTGAGAAGCGCTGAAGCGCAGACTAGAATCTAAAAAGAGAATGCTGCCCCCTTCATAATTTTGCAGGTTATTCTGGGAAACTATGGCACCCACTTCGCGGGGGATTACATCTAAACAAAAAAGTCTTAAAAATTTCATGCTTAAATATTATAATTATTTTTCAAGCTTAAATCTTAGACGACTTACAGATAAATTTCTCAATTAATTATCGTGAAAATTATTATCAAAATATTTAATATTACACTCTTCTCATTAAGAAATTCATAAATTTGAATAAATTCTATCTTTTCAGCAGCAAAACCAGAATGATTATTATACTGCTTATAATTATATTTCAAATTTGGGTATCATATGCAATTTCTTTTTCCCTATTACTTATTGTGGTAGCGGACGCGAGGAAGAAAGAGATATTCCAATTCCAATGTGGTGTAAAGCAAGCGCCAGAAAAGCATAAAAAGGGAAAGGAAGAAAAGGAGTGGCAAGAACAGCTTGCAACAAATAGACCCATCAACCTCTGATATTCCATCACATGTCATTAACATTCCTCCCGCCGCTGGCTTTACCGTTTTAGACAGAGACAATATGATACCCTATTTGATTAGACGCGGAAATAAGTTGGATCGATCACACCTTGCCCTTTGATTCTTTGATTATTTATATTTCATATATTTAAAGTAAATTTAGGATACTTTCACAGATTTACCAGGAGTGTACGGAAAATTCGGAAGAAATATTTACATTTAGTATGGAATAATGATTCAAATAAAATTAAATTTAATATGAGAATATCTATACTTTAAAAAAAAAGTACGACACTCTTAATGATTAAAATCTCATGCATAGAAATTAAAATACCTCAATAAGCCATTAATTAGTTCGCTCAAAATATACTTTGTTTGACTCCTCATCCTTGGATTCAACTGGCGAAGGGGTCAAACTCTCTCATAACATGGAGGGGGTTTGATCCTGAAGTTAGTCGAGATACTAAAAGAGGTATACTTGAAGCTAAGACCTTAACTCGTAATATGTAGTGATCCCTTATATGGAGTTTTTCCTGTCCCAGATCATGGGTGAGCTTTGTCCTATAAATAAGTAAGGAATGACTCCAAATAAATCATTTTTTTGCCAACAAATCCAAATATCATTTGGCCAATGAGCGAAGTTAAATATGGCATTGGATGTATCGTTTGCAATTAAATTGCATAATGTTAAAAACTGCAATATATCAGCTAATGACTTAAATGCCTCTTCACAGCTGGTCCCAGCTCGCCAGTTCTGCATCTCATTATATACATACACTTATTGCCAACGCATTATATATATATATATATATATATATATTCGTATTTATTTTTTTTCCGGCCAAACTTATCCAGCCGACTTTTTTTAATTACTAAATTCGATTTCTTAGATTCACGGAGGTGAATGTATCACGTCGATTTTTTTTTTGTCACATTAGATGTATCATACATGTATTTATTTAATTTCGTGAATGTAGGAATTGAATTTCTTCCAAAATTATTTTTTCAACTTTTTATTTTGGGATTTTACCCTTATATTTAATTCATAAATATTTTACTAAATATTTCATAACACACTGGGGGTGAATAAATTGGAAGTTAGACTATTGGGAAGAGATGGAAATTTATCTTGCTCTTTTTTTCAATTGCTCTATTCCCTCAATATTTTGTGTTTCAAGTCAAAAAATAACATGTTTTATTAAGAATAATTGTAACTTTTCATAAAAATAAAAAAAATTAAAGAAAAAACTCTATATATTAACTTGGTATGTAAGTAACTCGGATGATGAACCAACATGTCATGAAAGTCAAGCCACCCAATTTATAAGCATATTTTTCTGCCAAGTGATGCAGCTTGAAACCTCGTAAAGATCGTTAGTTCTGGACACCAACGTCGATGCTGGATCTGATTTAACTGAGATGTGCGTTTATATATATATATATATTATGATCATAATTACGATAGCTTATTTTGTATGTGCCCAAGCACGCTTAAAGATCACGCTCTGACTACCTCTTTATTATTATTATTATTGTTATTATTAATCTTTTATAAGCAATTAATAATAATCTGAGATTCCATGCTTATCTTGGAATTTAAGTACATGAGTCCACTCACAAAAAAGAATTAAAAAATATACTTTTTTAAAAAAAGAAGACTCTGGGTCTATGAAGTTGAACTTAGACCATTGTCACCGACAAATCTCACCTAAATTAGCGTGTACTCTTCTTATTATAAGAGACAAATAACCGAAATACGTTGATCAAAAAAATAGTTAAAATTAGTTAAGAACAATTAATGTGTAAAAAAGTATAATTTTTTTTCCAAAAATGCCCTCATTAATAAGGAGAGAGAGCATGAGAAAGAACAATTAAATTATTAAAAGAAAGAGAAGTGGGAGGGAGAGAGAGTGTGAGTTGGAGATAATAAATATGGGTAAAATAGGAAATCAACACAAAAAAGTAGAGACAACTTTTAAATGTCTCTTATATATAGGAACATGCTCTAAGCATCAAATGTCTCTTATAATAAGGAACGGAGGGAGTATCATTCATTACAAATCCAACCAAAACCAATACACCAACCGAATGAAATAAACTTGCATATTTATTTGTTTAATCAATCTTGAGATTCTATTGAGCTATTTTCAGAAGTTTATATTCCATTACAACAACTCAGCAATGAGGATCTTTGCAAGAACTAGGCATCTTCACTTATTTGCTTCTTCTTATGGGAGATTCCTTGTAAGGCCAAATG